TCGTCCACTCTCTTTGTCGGCTTGTATTCGTATACATTGGGCTTCGACAAATCTCAGTCACGATGGCCCCAGCCTCGGCCGTACAGAGGGGGATCCAACACTTTGACAAACGCTATCCTGATGACAATGAAGTGCGCTCGAAGTGGGAGTTCGGTGCCGTGCTCTCAGCACAACCGAACCAGATGGTTGTAAGCAAGCACATCTGTTGCTGGTGCAGTAGCAGCTTGCGTTTCACCACGGACGACAGCCGAAGGCAGCAGACTTTTCGCCCAGAGTGAATGAAAGCACATCTGTTGCCCCAAAGGTGCCCAGAGCTTGCAAGCTCTCCTCGGGGGCGCCAACTGGGAACTTAGTAATGCCAAAGCAGCACAAGAAGGTTGTCATGGGTTCAGGGGTTTATGGCTTAGGGTTTGGGCCCTCAGCCCTGAACCCTGGCGGTTTAAGTTCAGGGTTCAGAGTGTTTTACGGGGGATGACACGGACACAGAGATGCTTTTGGGAGAAGTTCAGGGTTCAGGGTTACTTTAAGGACCAATCGACTTGTTGCCGAGATGGTGCCTAAAGTTGTCAGTACTACAAACTAAGTTCTGTTAACTCTTACCGTAGACTCTTACCCATGTCATAAGCTACTTGACTTGCTTAAGGAGTCGTTAAGAAATTATGCGCTGCAACCCCTACACTGTAAAACCTTGGATAAACGTCCAAATGAACCCGAACCGTACTGAGCTACATAGCGTGAACACCTGGATACTCAGCGACACCACTTGGAGCATCATGGGACTTAGTAAGTAAGGTTATAAGTACCCTAACTGGGATTAGAAGTAATTATTACTATAGTTACCCTATTACTAAGTCCCATGATCCTTCAAGCAGCTCTGAGGATTCCTGTGCATACATCTCTTCCGCTATACCCGCAAACTCTAGGCCCCTTAAGGAACCCTTTTAGGGAACCCTACTCTAACTATGAAGGCCCCATATTCTAGGACCTAGAGTAGGCCCTTATTCCCTTTTCGTAGGGTTCAGGTTCCCTTACAAGCCCCTTCTAGAGCAAAAAAGGCAGCCTTTTTTATTCCTAGGTTACTCTTGGGTCTAGTATTACTTCCTCCCTATCGCTTTCGGAAGGGAAGGCCAGGGCCCCTTTCAGATGTTCGTGCACGGAGGAGGCCAGAGACCCGGAACATGGTGGCCTTTAAATGGTCGGGTCTGCTCACAGTAGTGTAGGGGACTTACGGACTAGAAGAGGGTTTTTGGGGTGTATATATATATATATATACAGATCTAAAATATCATACTATACTTCCAACAAGGAACCCTCCAAAAGCTTATTCTAAATACTACGGTCCCTACATTACCCAGGCTACCCAGGTTTGGGGCCAGATCGTTTGGTCACCCTCCTGAACCCTAAACCCTAGAACTCTAAATACCCTTCCGTGACTTTGGAGTCATGCATGCCTAGAGCGCACCGGGTTTAGGGTTGAGGGTTTAGGGTTTAGGGGTCCGACCGGTCCAGCCAACATCTCAAAAAACTCTAAAGCCTGAGCCGTCAGTTGACCCGTTTCGATGTTCGACCGGAAGGCTGTGCAGCTCATCGATGAGGCGAAAGAGAGTGATGCAGGCAACTAGGTTTTGACTCATAGGTGTTGGGCTTTTTGATCTGCGCCGATAAAGGTTCAGGGACTTACATGATTGGTTAAGGGTAAGCCTAGATCCTAAAGCCAAGACCATTGAGTCGTAGCTGCTCACACACTGCTGACCTTAAACCTCCATCCAGGAATACAACTTAAACCGTGAGAACGTTGTGCGACTTTCTAGGGCTTGCATAAGGAGTTAAAGTTACGGATACCGTGCTTGAGAGTTACAGTATAGTTGCGGATCTTAGTGAGTATTTGGTATGTTCCTGGGACGTTCTGAACATCAGAAACAGGTCCGACGGTCCGACCACATGTGGTCAATGGATTTCTAGGGGTCGTAGCCCAGAACCCCGAAAAGATCCCAAACCCTTAAACCCCTAACCCTGAACCCCAAACCCTAAGCCCTAAACCCTAAACCCCAAACCCTAAGCCCTAAACCAAAAACCCTAAGCCCTAAACCCTAAATCCGTAAACCATACGAAAGTAGTACTAAGTAGATCCCCTGATTTGGGACTTTGTACTGCCAAACGGCACGTTAGACTACTTGGAGGGTCGGGGGAGTTAGTAACTGGTTATTTTAGGGACTTCTAAGTACCATAACCCCAATTAGGGTCCCTTTTAGGGTACCTATAAGTCTACTTACTACCTACTTACTAAGTCCCCCGACCCTCCAAGTAACGTCTCAACGGGTCTTTTAAAAGAACCCTTACAGGCCCCTTGATGGGATTCACTTGGTTCCTTGCCGGGGTCTAGGAAGTGCTTCGTAGCGTTTGGGGGTTCAGGACATGTGGCTTTTGGAGTTTAGGGTCTAAGGTTGGCGGGGCTCGGGATGGTTGTAGTCTTCAGGGTACTTTGCATTGTGTAAGGTTGAAACTATGTTAAGATGGCTCACAGTAGTGGAAGAATGTTGTTGAATTTTTGAGGAGCGCTAACTAAATCCGAGAGAAGCCCTTTGGCAAATCGAGTCGGCTGCCTATCTGAATCTTGCGAGGCTGCTCAAGGAGGATCCGGCGAAGATATCCTCCTCGATCCTTCGCCTCATGACCGAGGACTTTCAGGGGCACACTGCGGCCCCGGGCTCGAGGGCCTGAACATGACCTCCCGAGCCTGGTTGGAACACAGGAGCCGAGTCCAGCAGTTTGCAGGCCCGGTGCGTTGGGGCTGGCAGACAGCCGGGGCCCTGGACGCACTGCTCGCAGGCAGCGAAAAGCGAGTCTACCAGCTCATACATTGCTCCATGTGTGGACAACACTGGCTGGTGAGCCTGAGGGAGAGCGATCCGGACAAGGAAGAGCCCGAGAAGCCCGCGAAGGGCCGTGCGCAGGGCGAGGCGCCAAAGTGAAGGCTGCCGCCCCTGACTGCACTAATCGCCGAGGGGTTAGGTGGGTTCAGGGTTTAGGGTCCCTAAACCCTAAACCTTGAGGGTTCAGGGCTTAGAGGTTGATGGTGTAGAGTTTTAGGGTTGATGGTTTTGGGAGTCAGCGAGAGAGAGGATTCGGGTAACTCCTGCAGCCTCGACCCAGCGATCCTACACCTTTCCTACACCTCTAGGTTCCTTACATGGGTTCTACAAGGGACTTAAAGGGTTCTATAAGAGATCTCTACGGGTCTACTAGGTTCCTGAGGAGTACCGGTTTGCTCTTTTCATGTTATATTTCCCTTATGAACACCGAGTAGTGGAGAAAAGGGTACCGTTGCTATAAAGGAGCACTGAGAAACCTAGACTTTTAAGCACCTATAAACCTCAAACCCCGAACCCAAAGCGTCCAAAGGACTTAACAGTTCAGGCACTTGGGCTTAATGCAGTTCTATGACGGAGCAGTCCATGATGCTAATAAGTTAAGAGTCTACTAAAAGCCGTCTACCTCAAAGCCCAAAGCTACAGCATCAGAAAACCCTGAACTCTACGCCCCTTGGAGCTACTAAACCTCTAAACCCTCTAAACCCTACGTCCTGAAGCCTAAGCCCTAAGCCCAAACTCTGAAGAAAGGCCTTGACGTCGCCTTTTGCTCTGCAGTGGTCTCCAGCTGCGAGAGAGGGAGCCGTTGGGGTGCTCCCTCCCAGAACAGTGTTTAGGGTAGGGTGATATAGGGGGCTTTGTATTTACCTATACGGTCCTCATTGTATTTACAGTATACTATCCCCCAGAACAGAGGGACCAGGCTAGAGGTTTAGGGTTTAGGGTAGCGGTTGAGAGAGGGTTCCTTTTAAAGGGATTTATAAGGATTACTGTAAGTGGTACTATGGGGGTTTAATATAGGGGCCAAAGTAAATACCAATTCTATTTGGCGGGTTCTTCATTACTTATATAGGACACTATGTAGGAGAATATACACCAGAACCCTGTTCTCAGCATAAAGGCCCCTATATTAGGGGTTGAGGCTTTAGAGTTTAGGGGCGTTAAAGGGGTTTGAGGCTTAAGGGTCTTAGGGTTTTGGGTCCGGGGGGTTTAGGGCTTGGGGGGTTTAGGGTTTAGGCGCCTAGCTACAAATACCTCTTTCCTCTTTCGAGAATCCCTTTGGATTTCGTGCTTTATCAGAGCAGGTAGTCAAAACTACATGTGCACATGCATGTATACATCTTACTGCTCCTGAAATCATAGGCCACATGGGTTGCACTGTCTGCGCCGTAAGTAGGGCTCGTGCTGCCGATTTTAAGGACAATGTGGACTCGGGGTTTTAGGATTAAGTATTTGGGGTGTCTGGTGCTTGTTCGGGTTCCTCCCTCTCTAGAGATTGTTTTGGCACAAGGGGCTTGCGGTTTCTGTTCACAGCTTAATTGGTGTAGCCTTGGGAACGTGATTATGGGTTCAGGGCATCCAGACAGACAGGCAGTCAGACGCAGAGACAGAGATAGAGACCGAGACGCAGACACCGACACGGACACGGATAAAGACTGAGACTGAGACTAAGATACAGACAGAGACAGGGACAGAGACAGACACGCACACTAACTAATTGACCGTGAAACCTAATCTCCCCGTCTCGAAAAGCCCCGTACCCTAAACATCCCTGAACCCTTAAGCCTGGACCCTAAACCCTAAACTGTAAAACCTAACCCACCCTTCTCAAGAAGACACACAAAACTCCAAGGGCAAAAAAGGAGGGACCCTTAGTAAGGACCCCTAGGTATATACCCTTAATATAGCTACTATTCAATATATCCATTAAATAGCCCATTATAGGGTAGGGGTCCCCATTAAGGGTTCCTCCTTTCCCCTTTGAAAAACAGCCCTAGTTATATAACTGGTTAAACCAAAAAAAGGAACTACAGTGGAGACTATAGGTAAACCCTAAACTGTAAAACCTAACCCACCCTTCTCGAAAAGACATTCAACAAAGCAGGGACTGCCCTGGCCCTGGGTGCAGCCATGTGCCAGATGGAGGTCGAGCCTGGCGCCAAAGTCTTGGGGGGGTCTTATCTATAGGTTTATGGGCCACTTATGGGGTTTGGGGAAATTGGGGTTAAGGATTTAGGGTTGAGGATTTAGGGTTTAGGGTATACGTTTATAGGTGTTGTAGGGTTTCCGGGAGCTTGAAATCGCGGGATGCTGGAAGCTCTTGTTGGTTTTACGGGGTTTCTAAAGTGTTATCCGTATCCTAGGGATTGCATCCCACGCAGTAGAGTTCCTTGTCCGGTACCTCGGGCTTGTCTTGTTAAGAAAGGTTTGGAGCCGTAGTTCTACCCATAGGCCCCATAGTAGTTCCTTTTGGGGATCTAAATATGAACTCCAAAAAGGAACTACTATGGGGCCTTAGGGTACAACCTTGGGGGTTTGGGGGTTTCAGGGGGCCTGGGGTCGGCAACGACAAGGAAGACTATGGGAGTTTCCGAAAATTAGGGGTACCTTCTTTTGGGGTCCTTATAATACGTACCCTACTATTTTGGGTACTGTATTAGGGTCGCCTATTTTCGGAAACTCCAATATTATTATCAGCAGTAGCGACGCACTTTTGCCATCAATAGTGTATGTGTACATACCTATGTATACATGTATCTGGTCGTTAAGTACCGTTCTTTCTACATTCGTGCCTACCTACCTAACTATTTATCTATCTGTCTGTCTACCCGTCATCTTCTCAATCTGTTTATACATTCACATGCATAAATATGTGTATATATATAGATAGATAGAGAGAGAGAGAGAGAGAGAGAGAGAGAGAGAGAGAGAGAGACAGAGAGAGAGAGAGAGGGATGTGGCATGAGCACACACAAAAACATACACATACTGAGGTGCAGAAATCATTCGGTAGACCCAGATCCCCAACCTCCCTAAACCGAAAACTTCCGAATCCTGAACGCCCAAGGCAACACCCCCAGCCACGCAAAGCCCTCTTTAAGCCCTTGCTAAAGAGTACATAACATGTACTCGTGGGCTATAAACTTTGGGCTTAAGGCTGGTAAACCCTAACTAGGTACTCCTAGTAGTAGAGTAGGTAACCTTTAACCTTTGTTGGAGCTCGTCTCACGCCATTCGCTGGGGACGCAGCTTATTCCACGTCGCGCTTTAATTTGTTTCGGTAGTATAGTCCCTGTATAATCCCTATATAACCAAAAAGGTGAACCTTTAGTTCCCCATGATACCCGACAAGTAGGCCTAAACCCTAAAACCCTGAACACTAAACCCCTAAACCCTAAACCACTAAACCCTAAACCTTGCTACTACAGGGCCCAAACCCTAAACCCCAAAACCCTTATAGACCCCTTTAAAGGAACCCCTATAGATCCCTTTAAAGGAACCCTAAACCGTAGCCTGATCCTGCCCAAACTCAGAGGCCGGTTCACCCCCCCGTGGAGCCGGTCTCTACTTCGAGGGTCGGGGGACTTAGTAAGTAGGTAGTAAGTAGACTTATAAGTACCCTAAAAGGGACCCTAGTTGGGGTTATGGTACTTATAAGTCCCTCAAATAACCAGTTACTAAGTCCCCCGACCCACCAAGTATGCAGTCTAACCGAGGCCGAACGTGGTTACCTGGAGCAGCGTTGCTTCTTCCTGCGGCAAGTCGGGCAGTGTCTCAGCTCATAAGTACCTGAGTTTAGGGTTTAGGAGTCAGGGTTTAGTGTTTGGGACGTAGGGTTTTGGGTTTAGGGGGTGACTTAGTCTTGATTTGCGCCGAAGGCTCCGAGGTACCTGTATGCCAGAATGATAATTCCCGCAACAGAAACCCTACTGACCCGACTTTCCACGTGCAGCAGCCTTTGGGATGTTAAGCTGCGATATTTTTGTTGGTGTTGTCCTGCATCGGTTTGGGCTTTAGGGTTTTAGGGGTTAAGGGTTGTGGGGGTTTGGGGTTTAGGCTTCAAGTTTAGGGGGTTTAGGGTTTGGGGTTTTAGGGTTTGAGGGTTTAGGGGTTTAGTAGGGTTTAGGGCTAGGCTTTCTAACAAGGAGCGTATAAGTACAAGGGTTCTACGACCGGCCGCAAGATGCACGCATTGTTGGTGCTGGACGCCTCCGTTCCGAAACCCTAAACCCTAAATCAAATGGCTACGGCTCAAGCTGTTGGCCCGAGACTCTTGCCCCTTGTTTAAGGTCCCTGTCCTCGCTCTTCATAGGTGGCTGAACGGTGTGGTGGTGATCACTGGCGGCCAGTACCTGTTCTTCAACTACCTGTGCATTCGCTCTGGCATCCCCAAGGCGGACGCGAACTGGCGGCCACTTTTCCTTGCACTTGGGTGTCCTCATTTGGTCGACCTTTTGGCTGGCTTGGATCATCCTTGTCCTTCTTGGAACGTCTGGCACTACCTCTCCACGGACTGCTGCCTCTTCGTGCTGCTTTGGGAGGACTTGTGTTTGGTTGCCCCTGTGGTCCTGCTCGTTAACTGCGACTTCATTCTGGCTTCAACCTGTACGACTTGGGGAGACTTGGTGTGGATTGCAACGACAACATCTTCGTCATTGACCCTGCTCGGTTCGTCATGGAGCCAATCCCCATGGATCGCGAAAATGGGGAGGGAGAAGCCAAGGGGTCGCCAACCGAGATCGCCGAGTCTGAAGAGGAAGTGATCCCACATGGAATGGACCTCGATGTCAAGCAAGAAAGCCGGAAACGAGAGCGAGCGAGTCGTCGCCGCCTTGCTGAAGTGGGTCTTCCAGGTCATGCCGTACCTGTGGCAGACGAATCAGAAGATGACGAACAGCTCGAGTCGCCGAGCAAGCGACCCCAGCACGGGGATGCACCTCTTAGTGGCAATGAAATCCGTGAGCTTCTCTTCGGTCATGTTCGTGAGATGAAAGACGCCTGGAGGAGCTTCCAGGGAAGACTTGACCGGGTGGAAAGCGAACAGCTCCAGCACAACCATGAAATGATCAATATCAGGACTCGTGCAGCTGCTTTGGAGAAAACGGGCTCGACATTGCAGGCAGCACAAAATAAAGTCGCGAAAAGCATGGACGAGCTCTCTGAGGATGTGAAGAAAATGAAGGTGCAGATCTCCGAGTTGCAGAGTCGACCATCGGGAATGCCAGAGGTGGGTGGCCCACTTGAACGAGGTGATGTTCATCGTCGGGATGCTCCTGTTGACCCGTGGGCACAGTACCTTCGCCATCGCGGACCGGGAGAACATGCACGAGCTGGACCTGGTACTCATGCTGGAGAAGTTCCTGCTGGGTCTGGCGATCGTCAAGGAGAAGCTCTCACAGATGAAGAAAAACGCACTCTTGTGGTTGGAGGGTGGGCACGCGACACCAAGCGAAGCATCATCGAGAATGAGAGCGCGAACTTTCTCGGCTCCGAGGGGATGAAAGCATTGCTGGACGTGGACAAACTGGCCATCTTTGGGCCACGGAGATCCGTGGGAATGCTTAAGTTCATCCAACGTGAAGGGGAGACGCTCGCGGACGTCAAAACCCGAATGTGGGCTGTCATCAAGCTCTTCTCCAATACCAAGGTTGAATTACCGAGCACAAAAGAATTTGGGGAAGTTCGTCACATGTGGGCGAGTTTCGTTAAGACGAAGGCTGCCCGTGCAAAAAGTGCCCTCGTCTCGATGACACGAAGGGTGACTTGCGACTTGGCCTTTGGGGCGAAGAATGAAGATGGCGGCATCAAGAACTTGCTGAACACCCAGGCAACGGCCTATGACTGTGACTGGGCAATGGGCACTATATGGTGCGGAAGCCATAAGCTCGCTAGTGTGACCCATAAGGCTCCACGGGACGGTGAGCACGTCCTTCTTTCTGGAGGTTGGGTGGCACTCGATGCTGTTGCAACAACCGCGGGATGTACGGTGGATGAAGCTCGTGCCGCTTTCGAGCGCGAGTTGTGAAAACCGCTGGCAGAAAGTTTCACCCAGAATTCACAGACTGAGGACGACGTGAAGGACCTCTTCAAGGGACGAACTTCTCGTGCTGACCGTTACCCTTCGTGTGTAAGACATCGATGGGGAAGAGTTTCACAGTGGAATTTAGCTGGACAAACAGTACAGCTTCTTGACATTGCTGCCGCTGATGCCGACATTCTCCTTGTTCAGGAAATCGCCCGGGCCAAAGAAGGATGGGACGTTCCAAAGTCGGATGAATTTCATTGGATTGCTCACCGCCATGGTTCTCAGTGGAGAGGGGTCGCCATTGGGGTCGCCTGTGACAAGTTTGACAGCGTGATCCACAAGATTTCCTCCTCGCGCGGGATCTGGGCTTTACTTCGTCTTCATGGCTTGGGAAGGGTGGTCTTAGGTTCATTCCATGGGCTCACCGGTGTCACCAACATCGCTTACCAGACTGCAGTTGGAGAATTCTTTGCCAAGCTCCCTGCGAAATGGAAACACCTTCCCCTCATATGTGGAATTGATGCCAACGAGGTCCCTGTCTGGGACGTTCTCCCATCGGATGATCTGGAAATTGGCCACTGCTCCGAGAACATGAACGTCCTTCTCAATGAAAGTGTCAAGGCAGGAGCCCGCATTGTCCCGCCACATGCTTCTCAAAGATTGACTCCTACCCATTTCCCTAGGGACGAATCTCGCCAGGGACGACAGATTGACACTTTGGTTGTGCGAAAACTTGGTTGCCAGGAAGTTGTGATTGATACGGAGCGGAGATTCACAATCAACACTGATCACGGGATGGTGACTACGGATCTCTTTTGTCGGGGTGCTGCTCCTGATCGCCGATGGGGTAATGACTCGAGAGCCAGATGGGTGTGCAAGGAGATTCCAGATGGTGTCATTGTAGATGCCGAGGATATCAGCAAGATAGCTTCAACCTGCACCAAACCGCGTCGACCGCTCGCCTTCCGAGATGGTGATGAAACGAAGAAGGCAATCAAGCAAGCCAAGAGCTCGCGATCTAAAGCTGCGTGGAAAAAGGTTCATCAACTTCGCCGTCGTGATCGCAAAGATTGGGAAGAAGCTCGCCTTCGACGTATTCTTTTGGGAGGCTGGGAAGAGTTCCGTGCCCTACAGAACGAGAAGAAAAAGAGGCGGGGATGGTGGGGTGAGATGCTCGATGACAAACCATCCTCGCAACTCACGGCCGAAGTACAGCGTCACCTTGAGCATAAGATGGTCGTGCCGGACAAGGATGACTGGGACGAAGTGCTCGACAACATGATCGCTGACGTCCAAGATGAGGACGAGTTCGTTCCCTTCAGCATCCTGGAAGTCCGCACTGAACTTCAACAGATGAAGTGCAAAAGTGCCGTGGGACCTGACGGCATTGGAGTGCACCTCCTTCGTGAACTTGCCAGCCACGATTCGCTAGGGGATCAATTTCTAGGACTTGTCAATCATATCGTCAAGAGCCAGGAGACACCTGAGATCTGGAGGAAGAGTTTTCTTGCCCTCCTTGCCAAATGTCCCTGTCCTCGAGGACCTGGTGATCTTCGTCCCATCTCTGTCAGTTCGGCATTTAACAAGTTGATCAATCGTCTCGTCTGTATGCGAGCCTTCCCTCATCTCAGGAGTGGCTCGAAGATTTCAGCTTGCGGACGCGGCCGGCAAGCCGCTGATCTAATTGGGAGCCTTTCTCGTATCAGGGATGTCATTCATGAATGGCGAATGCCTGCCCTGCTATGCAAACTGGACGTTGCAGGAGCATTTGATCGGGTAGATCGTGGCAAGGTCGCTGGCCTTCTTCGGGACCGTCTTCGTGGGAAGAAATTGTCCGCGTAACTCAAGTTTCTCCTTGGACAACTACACACCCATGAACTGATTGGACAAGTGCCTGGGGGCGATATCATCCGACTTCGTCCAAACACAGGCATTAAACAAGGTGCCCCAGAGAGCGCCGAAGTCTTTGGGATCCTTGTTGATTCCCTTCTTTCTGATCTCGTCGAATGCCCTTCTTGGAAAAACATTGAAGGCCTCGCGGATGACTTCGCCGTTGACTTGCTCTTTTACCAGGACGATGTCTTTTTGGTCGAAAAGGATCTAGGTTGCCTGGTCCGTCGTATCCGAGTCGTTAACCGCTGCTTGGGAAGAGCTGGTCTGGCCCTCGCGACTAATAAGACGAAGATCATTGCCAGTCCTGCTTATCATGGACCGAGGAAAGCCAAGGTCGGCGATGAAACGTTTGAGATCTCGGACAAAGATGAATCGCTCAAGGCACTTGGAGTCAGCTTCAACTTTCATGAAAGCCCGTCGCAGCAGGCTCAGGAAATGCTTGGCCGGGCCAGAGCAGCGGCGGCCTCCCATCTTGACATCCTTTGCGCGCAAGGACCGTGGACCAAGAAAGTTGATATGCTGAGATGCCTTGTTGAGTCCACGTGGTCCTGGACAGCGGGAGCACTTCATTGGAACTCCAATGATCTTCATTCGGCCAACACCCTACAACTGCATCTTCTCCGCAGGATCTTTGGCCTGAAGCGCTTCGCGGGGGAGAGCTGGGTGACATGGAATCAAAGAACTCTGAGATTTTGTAGGGTGTGGCTTGTTAATGGCGGGATTATGAGATGGAGCAGTAAAATCCTTTCCCTTCAGCATAATCTCCATGGCCATTGGGCTCGCCGTGATGAAGTGCATCGACAAACTGGAGAAATTGGGCCATGTTTGCCTATGCGGGCACTTCTTTGGCGGAGCACGGCTTGGTGGCGAGAACAACAGTCCTTGAGTGAATCCACTGGAATGCGCCATCCATGCAGATTTTACGCGAGTAACCCTGAGCGTCAAATCGCTGAATCGCACGGGAACCATTGGTTCGTTGGTGCGAGAAATCGCCATGCTTGGGGATTGGCAAGGGAATACTATGTCCATACTTGGGATGTCAAGTGGACCAGCGGACGGCAGCTTGCTTTGCGATATTGAAAACATGCTGACTTCGCCGAATGATGTGCTGATACACGGAGAGTGTGAGGTTTGTGTGTGCTCGACTCGCTTCGGAAGCCTTCAATGACTCTCATTATCCCTTTATCTTGCAAAGTTGAGATGACTACAGTGTTCTACTTCCACGATGATTCTTTCGTTGACACAAGATACTTTTCAGTGCACTGCCCAGCTCTTTGACCACAAGTATAAGCTGAACCTTATGCAGGATCATGTGATAGCGCTGTCCGACACGTTCCAGATACATTCTGCCAGGCAGAGATGTTGCTGCAAACCATGTTGATGTGAAGGTGCCTTTCCGCGGTGTTGGCTCCAGGACCTGTAAACCCTCGTGCTCCTCGCTTTCATTTCTTCATGGCTACGACCTGCTGGGGGATGTTTTGCCTCCTGGCCGTGCTCTGGCTCCTTCCTTCTTGCTTCGCCTGGGACGAGGACGAGAACACCACACGTGAGGATGCACCATGTGAACCAGCCTCCTCGTCCTCCTCGGCAGCGCCACGTTGGACGACGAGCACCCAGGCATCACCATGGACGTACCATCAGTACATGGAATTCATGGCTGCAGCATGGGATGACGACATAAGCTTGGGGGTTCAAATTCAAGACTACGAGGAGGCCTTCGAGATACCCACGATTGCTTCTCCGTGCCCTGAGAATGTCCCGCTCCCGTTTGGTGACACCACGACTATTTGGAGCGAAGTCATTCGTGGACTAAGTGATGGTCGACAGTTACGTGGTGGAGACAAGGTTGACCCCACACATGTTGGCCCTGGTCGAGACCCTGGCAGCCTGCTGACGTCGGCTAAGAGGGCCTCGAAAGAACAACTTCCTGACTGGGATGAGTTGAATGAACCTACATCCTCCTCTTCCTCTTCTTCCTGGCAATGGACCTCACCCTCTACTTTCTCCGCTTCGGGAACATTGCCCTCGTCCTCTTCGTGCTCTCCGTCGGGAACTTTGCAACCATCCTCCTCATCGTCTTTGAGTTCAACATGGAGCGCAACTGTGGGAACAAGTGGCGATCTGGATCCTTGGGGTCATGCCTGGAGTTGGGAAAGCACATCGGCATCATCTTGTGCTACATCGCCCTGTCCGACATCAACATCCGAGCATGGGGATATATCGTGCAACGAAGCCGAAGGTGTCACTCAACGCTTCAATCGTCTTCGACCAGGCCGAGACAGATGGCATTATGCAAATGGGACGGTCCGAAACAGACTTCGCGAACGACGAGCTGCAGAAGGACGTCTGGATTCCATTGCTGAGAACGAGGCGCCCTTTGTGGTGGATGAAGTGGAGAACACGGAAAACGGCCCGATTGCTCATGCTACCACTTTCTACGGAGAAAAGTTTTCGGTGTGGGCTAGTGGACACGGAGCACTGCAAGAGGAATCTACAACAGCTGGAAGTGAGAACTCCACCGCGGTGGACAGTGCTTCTTCCTCTGAGCAGCACAATGCCATAGCCCTGCCTGTCGAGGCCCTCACCACCCCAGCGAGCTCGGTATTGGAAGATGAAGCGCAATCTTCGTCTGAAGGAGGAGGTGAATCCACGGGCGAAGTGGGCTTTTGGAAGCATGGTGTTTGGGTCGGTCGACCTCGTACTCAAGCTGAGCTACGCGACCATCGAGGTGGCGGAGGAATGCAACGGTGGCTTAAAAACCAACGTAGAATGGCAGCCTATTTTAAGGGAGAATGGCAGCCAGCGTGGTTGGAGCAATACAGAAAGGACAAAGCCCTTCGTCAATCGGGAAACGCCTCAACAAACCACAAGGACAGCACCAGTGATGGAGCGTCGCCCACGGCGATACCTGCTGCTTCAACCTCTCTTGGGTCGACCTTTTCAAATGCTGGCTCGCCAGATACAGTGCAACCCATCCACGAGAATACCAGTGGCGAAATGTGGATTGGTCCTCTTGGAATGGATGGCAAGGCTGGTGGAACTGGGAAGACTGGTCTAGTACTACATGGACCTCTACCTGGACAAGCACATCTTCCTGGAGTACATGTTCGCGACCCACAACTTCGTCGACTACTTCATCTTCTACTCCATGGTTCCCACCTAACCATGGCCTGTTTCCCATTGTCGGACCGGCGAGGTCGACCATTGAGGAGGTTGAGGGGAATGTCCCTGAGAGTTCCGAGGATGAGGAGGACATGGGACTAATGCAACTGACCTATGCTGAAAGAAGGTCCCTTGAGGAGAGAGGAGTGACAAGGACGAACATTGACCGCCTAGAAAACCTGCTGCGTCAACTTGACAGAATGCAGATGGAAGGCCGCGGTCCTGAGGGACGATGGGCGTTGGGATGTTTACACAACCGCTTGATTGATGGGATTGAGGCGTTGGAGGCCCTGCATAATGTACTGTCTCGGCGTTTCATCCCACAAGGCTACCTCCCCGTTCGACGTATTCCCGGACTTGAACAAGAACGTTGGCGCTTATTCAACTGGGTCAGAAACTTTGTGGACCTGTTCACGGGGAACCTTGAGGCGGCGCTCAATGTTCGCCTCCAACCTGCTGACATAGCTGTGTCACCTATGGCACCTGCTGATTCTGTTGGTTCGGAAGAGAGCAGCCGACCCAGCCTACACAGTGAGGGTGAAGAGACAGTAAGGGCGTCTTCTACGACAATGGCGAGCTCGTCTAGTGGAACAAGGCGCCGTGCTGAACGCCGCCGTGCACGAAGGACCAGATCACGATCCCCCACAGGCACCTCGGTACACGTCCCCACGATGGATAGTGCCTATGAGTACAACTCGCGGGGAGAATTGGTCAGCATCTCACCTCGTTCAGACACAGATGGACCATTTGGACCTCCTCCTCCATTACCTGTCAATATGGTTGGCACGGAGCGTCAGGGAATATGGCGTGAACCACAAGAAGAAAGTGAGAATGTCACTGGGGTGCCAGTCGTCGGAAGTGGAGAAGATGAACCTGCATCGACTGTGACGAGCACGACTACGACGAGCACTTCAACGAGCACTACCACGGGGCCTATTTTCTCAATGAGCTCAACAACCTCATGGACGTCTTCGAGTTCTGCATCGAGTTCCTCGACGGCTTTGCCATCTTTCAGCGGGATATTCGATAGTTGGGAGCTATCAATCCCTCTTAGATTGACTTCCACTACGACGTCTACAACATCTATGAATGCTTCGAGCCCTACCCACCGTGGTGCTAGAGGTAGTGACAGTGGAAGATCCCTCCTTTGGCCTGCCGATGTTGTTCGGGATGTGGTGAACAGGAATGCCATACATGGTGGGCAGGTAGATGTGGTAGAATTGGTGCTACGCCTTCTTGCTCAAGTTCGTGGTCTTCGTCATCGCGAACAACTCCTGCTGGAAGCCGTGGAGGAGGTAATGGAGTGGGTGACCGTTCCTGATGGGGCAACACCATTCAACGTTGGGGAGTGGGAACGTCAGATTCTCTCCACGGTGGAACGAGAGGCTGGCTTTGGCAGTGGCCCTTCCTCCAGTTCGAGCCATGTGTGGGTGACTGATCCTTCCTACCTGGTTGGTCCCAACCTACCTGATTCCATGGAAGAAATACGGGAACAGCTTCCTGAGTTTGCCGACCACACCATTGCTGGATTTCGACGACGTGCATGGCGGGCGCGAGTGACAGAGATCTATGCTCTTGCAGGACGAGAACCTCCACATGGAAATTGGCCGTCTGAGGACGATGGTCCTCTCTATATGGTTCAACTCCGAGAAGATGTTGCAGTAGCTAATTGGCCAGCGGGAGTTCCTGAACCACGGCGTCTTCGTCTCAGTGAACAAGTTCGCCCGGGAGCTTCTCTGCTACATGGACGAAGGCGTCACCGACATAGGAGACCTCCGCCGAGATTTGCCCCTGCTGGTGAGTCTCTCCTGACTTTGATGTCCCGTGGTCGTGCAAGTGATCGTCGCAGGTTGGGTCAGTCTGTCCGTCGACGTCGAAGTCGTGGTCGGGGACGTGCACTGAGGCGGCCTAACACTGAGCGTGAACGTAGTCGCAGTCGTGATTCATAAGTTTTCGTGTACTCCATTTGTGGTCGACTCTGTCTGCTGAAAGTGCAATGGAGAGTCGATGCTTTGTTTGATAGTGTATGCCGAGAAGGCAGGCTCAAGACCTGCGCTGCGTGCGGAGTGGGAAAGGGGTCATTGCACTTTAAAAAAGAAAAATCTAAAGGTCTCAAGAGAGGGGTGATGGTTTTGCAGGTGTTTCAGGGAGCACCCAAGGTGAGAAGAGTTGGCAACACGCTACAGGAGCCCGGGCTGTGTTAGGGTTTGGGGATTTGGGTTTTGGGTTTAGGGTTTAGGGTTTTCGGGGTTTAGGGTTTAGGGGTTTAGGGTTTAGGGGTTTGGGGTTTAGGGTTTAGGGTGTAGCTCGGACTTGAGGGTTCTAAGCGCCATGATGTGGGAGTTTCCGAATACAAGGGGTGCCTCGTTTTGGGGTCTTATAATAAGGATCGTGCTATTTAGGGTTGTTTCTAAGCGCCATTTTGGGGGTGCTTTCATATACTTATAGCACAACCGGCCTCAAAACCCTATTCTAAGTATCAAGAAGGCTCCGAGATTGTATAAACTGCCAAGGAATGCTTGGTGTGTTCTTTAACTCGGTTTCGCTCTGCAGCTGTTTTCCCAAAACCCGGAACCCTACTTGGAGGGTCGGGGGACTTAGTAACTGGTTATTTTAGGGACGTATAAGTACCATAACCCCAATTAGGGTCCCTTTTGTTGGTACTTATATGTCTACTTACTACCTACTTACTAAGTCCCCCGACCCTCCAAGTAACCCCAGATGAGTTGAAGGCCACAGGGTTTAGGGCCTAGGGCTTCGGGATGTAGGATCTTGAGGGCCTCGGCAGGCGAGGTCGGGAAGAGCCGCAACAACAGATATCATATAGTGGTCCAAAAATGGTCCAAAATACTATTTTGGTGGTCTCTTTATAAACAAGATAGTATAACATACCCCAAAACCCTATTGAAATGATTAAGGCCCCTATATTATGCCACACTTGAGGCCTCAAACCCGAAATAACACCTTAAACTGAAGTGATGGCTCCAGCTTTGAGCTATCCTAGAAGCTACTGTCAGCATGACCTGCAGACCCTCTAGACTCCAGCTAAACCCTACTGTAATGAAGTCCTGAAGTCCTGTTTAGACCTTGATTTACCCTAATAATACCCTAAACCTAAAACCTAACAATCAAAGCCGGAAAGCCTGAACCCTAATACAGTGCTAAACGCTAGTCGCCCCTTGAAAACAGACAACCGGACAACTGCGCCCCAAAGCAAACCCATGACTAAGTCGGTTTGGGGTGACGGATTTCGGATTGGGGTTTAGTGATCTAGGGTTTAGGGTTTAGGGTTTGGGGTTTGGGGTTTGGGGTTTAGGGTTTAGGCTTTAGGGTTTAGGGTTTACGGGCAAAAAGCTTCTCAGTTTTTGTGGCTTGGGCTTAAGAGCTGTCAGGCTTGGAGATATCAGATATGGGGCTGTGGGCTTAATTACCCAATACCCAGACCCCCGGGAGGATCTAGAAAGTAGATCCCCAAATTTGGGGCCTTATACCACTAAGGGTACTTTGCAGGAACACCCATTCTACCTTTTTGGATCCTCCCGGGGGTTTGGGTAAGGCTCACATGGTATGTACTTTGGCCTTCATGCCCTATGGAGGGAGTCGAGTGCCCAAGTATATACATCCCCAGGGCGAGGGATTTATGGTTTTGGATTCACTGACCTGGACCCTCACGCTACTAACGCCCTAAACCTGAAACTCCTAAACTTAAACCCTAAAACCTAAACGCTAAACCGCTAAACTAAAGATCTTATAAACCCTATAAGCCTATAATCCTGATAAATAACCCTAAACCCTATAAGCCTCAAAAGCCCTAAACACTATAAACCCAAAAAGCCCTAAACCCTAAACTCCTAAACCCCTATTAATCCTATAGACCCTAAACCCTATAAACCTTAAAAACCCGAAACCCTAAACTCCTAAACTCCTAAACTCCTAAACCCTAAAGTCCTAAACTCCTAAACCTTAAACCCTAAACCCTAAACTCCTAAACTCTTAAACCTTAAACCCTAAACCCTAAACTCCTAAACTCTTAAACCTTAAACCCTATACCCTAAACTCCTAAACTCTTAAACCTTAAACCCTATACCCTAAACTCCTAAACTCTTAAACTTTAAACCCTATACCCTAAACTCCTAAACTCTTAAACCTTAAACCCTATACCCTAAACTCCTAAACTCTTAAACCTTAAACCCTAAACCCTAAACTCCTAAACTCTTGAACCTTAAACCCTAAACCCTAAACTCCTAAACTCTTAAACCTTAAACCCTAAACCCTAAACTCCTAAACTCTTAAACCTTAAACCCTATACCCTAAACTCCTAAACTCTTAAACCTTAAACCCTATACCCTAAACTCCTAAACTCTTAAACCTTAAACCCTAAACCCTAAACTCCTAAACTCTTAAACCTTAAACCCTATACCCTAAACTCCTAAACTCTTAAACCTTAAACCCTAAACCCTAAACCCGAAACCCTGGGTCCGAAGGATTATTGGCCGACGTACGCCGGGCGAAGACACAGCCGAACACCTTCTCCGTGGGGTCAGCGCCCTTCGCACTGCAATTCTTCGGTGTTTCGGACCCAAAATATACCTTAAACCACTAATAATAATTAAACCACTAATATAATATTCAGGCGCCCATAATTTAAGGTCTATTCCATAACTAACGGATATTGGGACCCCTTTTGGAGGATCATGGGACTTAGTAGGGTTCCTTAAAGGGCTCCTTTATGGGATCCTTTAGTGTTTAGGGATAAGGGACCCAGACCCCCGGGGGCAGCCATGAGACCTACACCGTCTTATGGCGATTTCCCTAGTTAGTAGTAAAGTAGGCAACCTTCAACCTTTTTTGGGTAGTATAGTCCCTATATAATCCCTATTTTACCCGAAAGGTTAACCTTTAGTTCTCCATGATACCCGACAAGTAAGGTGAGGGACTGGTTTAGGGCTTGGGGTTTTGAGTTTGGTCCTGGTCTGGGCTTTGGAGTACCATACCTGAATGTTTTTCTTACAGGAACCATTGCGAAATCAAAGTTTATACTTATTTTCTCCCTGGTTGCTTAAAAGCCCAGTTTTAGAGCTTAGGGGTTTAGGATTTAGGTTTAGGGGGTCTGGTTTGGAGGTTTAGTGGTTTTGGGATTAGGTTTTTTTGTGCAGTTTGGGGGTACTTAGGCAGAACCCAAACAGTGCTTCTTTCAAGGATATTTCATACAAAGCCGTGTGCAGTCCGATGTAGAACCCTTCAGAAGAGGGTTTTGGAGTCGTTGGCTAGGGAGTTATACTGGGTTTCGAAGCCCTAAACCCTGAACCCCGAGCCCGAAACCCTAAACCCGAAACCCTACGCCCCCAAACCATAAACCCTAAACCCCAAACCCTAGACCCTAAACCCCAAACCCGAAACCGCAAGCGGCGTTCTGGGTCTTTCCCTTGGACTGGAGGGATAGGAACAAGGCCCTGGGATGCAGATTTCCCAAAGGGTCCAAAGTACCTTTAAGAGTTTAGGGTTTCTTTCAGGGTTTAGGGTTCTTTGAAGGGTTCTGAAGTACCGATATAGTAGAATGTAGAGTTTCCATATCAGGAATTACTTTTTCGGCTTAGGGAAGTACCCCCTATAACAGTACATAGGACCCTTTGGGATGTGGAGTTCAGCTTAGCCAGGAATAACGTACCTTTTAAGGACTTAAACAAAGTTAAATCATAATAAGGCCTGCCTTTTTAAGGACGTATATAAGGAAATCGTAATAAGGAGCCTTAAAAAGGTGGGATATTCAGGGTCAAGGTAGGGTTTGGGGTTCATTTAGGGCCCCGGGGCCTGAATCGTTCCTAGCGTTCAGGGTTTAGGGTTCCGGAGAAGTACCTTTTTGCCCTTTTAATTTTGGGATCCCTTGTTAAAATCGACTAGTAGAAAACAAGGTAATTACCCTTATTATGTAGGGGCTACCGAGGCACCTAAGTTTTTCTTACGGTACCCCAATCTTATTTTCTAGCAGAATGCCTTAGGGCCCTAAGGGTCCGGTCCATGTGCCCAAATAGTCAAAAAGTATATGGGTGTTTATCAAAATTATGGTCCCCTTTTGGGTACCCTAAATATTAGGTGCCGTATTATATTAGGGACCCAGAAAGGGACCATAATTTTGACAACCACCCATCTACTATTTGGGTACATGGACCCTTAGGGATGTACATCGAAGCCCTCATCTCGCTTTTAAGGCCCCGTAACCCTAAGGGTCCATGTACTCATATGGTATATACATTGGCCTTAAAGTACTCCCTATGTAGGTACATTGGGCCCAAAGTATATGCTATATGGGTACATGGGCCCTTTGGGTAACAGAAGAGCTCAGCACACTGCTGAACGAAGCCAGCATCATCGTCTGTGCTGAGGCCGTGAGTGTAGAGCACATCTGCCCAGTCTGCACGTTGGTCCCTCGTTCGGGACTTCTTCTTCGACGTCTGCTGAATCTAGGTACAGACCGCTATAAACTCTAAACCCTAATCCCTTTAAGGAACCCAAATAGACCGCTTTCAGGAGCCCTGAAATCCTAAACCCCTACAGACCCGAATCTGCCAGCATGCCAAGCCCCGAAGTTGCGGGCATTAACATGTGGGGGGTTGTCAAAATTTGGGTCCCTTAAGGGGTTTCCTTAAAGGATATATATATATATATATATATATGGGTGGTTGTCAAAATTTGGGTCCCTTTTTCGGTCCTTATTAATACAGCACCTAATATTTAGGGTACCCAAAAAGGGACCATAATTTTGACATCCACCCATGTCCTTTGGCTCTAACCTCCAAGCGCTAGACCCCGTGAAGATGTAGCCCGGGTTGCTCCACATTTGCTAAGCTTTAAGCCTTGCACCCCTGAAGCCTTGCCCCAAAAGGATCAACGCTGCCGGTCTCGCCCATCAGTGGCGCACTGCTGCAACGTTGCTGTCTGAGGCACGGGCAGGAAGTTCTTAGGATCAGCGTGCAAGGTTGTGGGGTTAGGACTGAATCAGGCCTGTCAAAATTTGGTGTTTACTGCCAAATGAAGATTAGGGTGCAGCTTTAGCACTTAAGCGGGTGGGGTCAGGGTTCAGAAGTTCATGCATTGCCACCAAGCCATAGTGTCACCGACTAGGGTTCTGGGAGGGGCGGAGCAGGGGGCGGGGGCGCTGTTGTATAACAGGATTATGTACGTAGGTAGGTAGATATGTATGTATGTATGCGTGTACGCTCTATCCGTTGAAGTCTGCTTTGTTCGGCTTGGTCAGGTGGAGTGGCGACTCAGACGATCGGATGATTTAAGAAGTAAGCTGTAGAAAGGGTTGAGATTTGGGCGAAGTCAACTTGTGGTTCAGATAGTTCCACTATGAACCGAATTACCAAGTCCCTTGGTCCTTGAAGTAATAATGCGCCCGGTGGCCTTGGTTTGTCACCGCTAAGGGTCCTATGATTATAGCTATAATGGGTGCTGTGGGAATTTATATCACGATGTGCGGGGACGAAGATGCATTGAATGCCAGATCCTTCGCGAGCGTCGCTGTTGTAGTAGACTGAGTTTGAGTTGCTCAGAAACTTTACGGCTGAATTTTCGAGAACATGTGTGCCAAATCCCGGGGTTGTCCGTGATAGCAGCACACCGGCAGCCTCTGATTGAGTAAGCTCGCAACCACTTGCACTGCGCGACATCGGAGCATAGGGTGGGGCCAACCCACACAGACCAGCCATGTTAGCAAGTGTGTACCCGTGTATACGAGCCCGAAGAGGTCTGGGCGGACATTACCACGGTTGGCGCATGGCTGCTATGGGGAAGCGTTGTCCGCAAGTGACTATTCCATACTATCTCCGAGAACACTGTTGAAATCATTATGGCCCCTGATCGTGGCCTAAACTACGAACCCTAAACTTTACCCGTCAAGCCCCAAACCCGCAGCGCACCGAAGCCCAAGCCACGAGGTTCCACCGAAAGCCCAACCCGAAACCTTAAGCATACTTCGAGGGTAAGAGGATTTAGTCAGTAGTTAGCATTCATTTCTATACATATATATATATATATAGAGTATACATATACATACACAAACATATGTATATATAGAGAGAGAGAGAGAGAGAGTCATATTTACAAGTAGGATCCTACTTAGGCAACCTATCTCTACTTACTACCTACTTACTAAGTCCTCCGAGCCTCCAAATACCTGAACCCACTAACCTACTATTTCTAGGCTTCCGTATAATGATTTTTTGGCCTCAAAAGTCTTGCGCGTTTAGGGTCCAGATAATCTATTATAAGCCCCCGAACCCGGAGCCCTAAGACGCAAGCCTCAACTCTAAGCCCAAATCCAAACCCCTTGAGGCGGAGGGACATGGTTTGGAGGCCATGTTTGCGTTGATGTGGGCTTTGGAGTGTTAGAGAGTCTTTTGCTTGGAGTAAGGGTTTCTGGGATCTACAGGGTTACTATATACAAGGGTTTAGTCGTCTGCACTATCGAAGCAGTGCGTGACTGTGGTTTCATAGGTTTTGTGAATTAATATTTACGTCTCGCGGTTCCCAAGGAACTAGGTCGGAACTGGAGGATTGAGTGCGGGATTATGATGGAAGCCCAAATATTCGCCAATATTATTGTTCGGGTTCCTTATTATAACTATGGTACAATGGGCCCCAAAACCCTATTCTAATTTTTAAGGCCCTAAAAGTATTGGGTTTATACTTTGGGGCTTGATGGCTAGGGTGCTGCATGGTTGAGGGTATGGTTCTCCCTCTTAATAAGTCCTAAAGTTCCTGAATCCCACGATCCTCCAAGTGAGGATTGGGTGCGAGCCTCTCAGGTTTGGAGATTCAGAGTTTGGGTTTAGCGGCTCGAAGGTTTCCATTTTATACAGTAGAAGCCAGAAAGTTGGAATATGATTATCCTAAACCCTTTCAGGTAAATTATAGGGTATCCTACCATTAATCCATATTCCAACTTTCTGGAGTTCCCTTTAGGGTTTAGGGTTTTAGGGTTCAGGGTTTTATGGGGTTTAGGGTTAAGGGTTTTATGGGTTTTATGGGGTTTAGGGTTTAGGGTTAGGTTTGCATTTTATAAGCATACGGACCCTTCGGGGGGGGGGGGTAGGGGGGAGGGGGATATGGGGCCTTAGTGCCCATAAGAAGGACCGAGTAAGGCCTATTTAGGGAGGTATAGTCCCCTACCCCACGCCCCCCTACCCCCCTAAGGGTCCCTATTATGATATAAACACTGAAAGCGTTTCAGGTTCAGACACCCGTTAGAGCCCTATTTAGGGTTTCCTAGTAAAGGGGTACAGGACCCCAACTTCGAAGGGTCAGAACAACTGGGTTCGATTCTGCGAGCCGTCGCATGGGGAAAGCGATTCGAGGTTGAAATCGCCTGTCGAACAAAAGGTCATAGAGTTCCGGAAGGTGTGATTGAAGGTATGCTGCTCGCTGAGGGGTGTTGCGCTTTTTGGGTTGGAAGTGGGGCTGTGAGGCCGATTTAGGGTTTAGGGTTGAGGGTTTGGGGGTTTAGAGTTTGGGGTTCAGGGGAGCTTGGCTACCTGAAATATTAGGGCTTCTTACCCAGCCCCAGTACACCCTTAAACCTGCACCCTGAGCCCAACTGCACTTGACACGGTCAACCGTCAATCGTAAAGAATGTCGGTATTCGAAGATGATGCTCGTACCACTTGGAGGTTCCCGTTGTGCTACCTGTTAAGTATCATACCTCAATCATCTATCTGCTAAGGTTATCATATAAGTACCGTAATTGAGGTTAAAAGTAGTTGTAGCTACAACTGCCACACTAAGAACCCTAGCAGCTAAGTCCCATGATCCTCCAAGTACTGTCGCTGCCCTGATTTCCCTCGCTATAGCCCGCGCTCAGGCTCAGTACAGGATTTTTGAAAATGGATGCCCGAATTGGTATCTAAACTCTAAACCCCTAAACTAAACCCTAAACCCCTAAACCCTACACCCTGCTAGTGTAGGGCTTCCGGTTGGCCCTTTGTCATCTGAGACTGTCAGGCCAAACCTAGCACAGAACTGTGGCATACAAGAGCCCGGACCCCCTTCGGAGGATCTAGAAAGTAGATCCCCTAGTTTAGGGCCCTGTACTACTAAGGGTACTTCATAGGAACCCCCATTAAGGGATCTACTTATTGGATCCTTCCGGGGGTCTGGGAGGCAGTGTGACCGCTGCCCAGGAGACCTCGTGGCCCTAAATCCTGAAGAAAACTCTAAACCCGCAAAGCCTACACCCTAAAACACTAAAACCCTAAAGCCCCCAAACCAGTCAAAGTGAAAGCCTTGGCGCAATGCTTCATGTAAGGTAACTATAGTAGCCAATACTTCTAACGTTTGCCGTACCTAAAACCTTCCGAACTAAGTCCCCTGATCCTCCAACTTACCTTTGGCAAGAAGGGAATGGAGGAATGGGTTACAGTCATAACTACTATTACTACCATTCTTCCATTCCCTACTAACCAAAGGTAAGCCAAGTAAGCTGTGTGTCACTCGCCCGCAGCTTCGGGAATGATCCGCATTTGGAGACCTTCTGGACAAGAGCTGGCCTCTGTGAAGGTCGGAAGGTACTTAGAGGATCAAGGAACCTGGTAATTGGGGTTATAAATAGGTAACTATAGTTATACTTACTTCTAACGCCAATTAGGATACTTGTAACCCTAGTTACTAAGTCCCATGATCCTCCAGATAGGGGAGTTCGTTCATGCGGGGATCATAGGAGGCAAAAGGGGTTTTAGCCTATGGGAGTTTAGTAGGGATTGGGGTTCTCATAATAGGGTTCATATTGAGGAATCCCTAACCCAAGAATCTTAAACCCCCTATTGGCCATCACAGGTAGGGGACTTCGTCCATGCGGTGGCTTTGAAGAAGCGGCTGAGGGAACTCCATGGCTTCCCTGTGTCTATGCAGCAGCCTCCCGGTGAATGTTACCCTCAAGCTTTTGGGCCCAAAGACCATACCATATAAGGCTTTTGGGCCATTTTGAGCCTTAGGGTTAGGCTAGGACCCAGAGTAAACCCCTTATTCCCTTTTTCAGGGTTCAGGTTCCCCTTATAACACCCTTTAAACCAAAAAGGGCACCCTTTTCTTATTCCTAGGTTACTCTTAGGTCAATGTTCGGGTGTGTTTTTCTTTTTGTGGTTAGGGCAATACAGGCTTTAGGGCTTCCTCACAGTCTTAAGCAGCGCCCATGTAAGGATCCGTTTTCTTTGTAGTAAGTATAAAAATAGTAATGTCAGTAATAGTAGTAGTAATAGTGATCATAGAAATAATAGTAGTCACAGCTATAATAGCAATAATAGTAATAATCGTACTAATCGCAGTCCTTCCAGTCCAAAATGGGGCCCAGGCTCATGCATGATGGGAGTCTTCTGGATGATGACACAAAGTTGGATGCCCCTATGGATTTGCAGCTCGTGCTCTTGACCATCTCGGGCATATCGGAAAGTGACAGTCGCGCAAGCTTAGCTGCAAAAGAGCTGCTGGGTTCATGAGTAGCTCCCTTTTGCCCTTCCCAAAGGGTCCTATGTACTGTTATGGGGGATACTTCCCTAAGCACTACCATTATGGAATTAGGCCCTAAACGACCATCCCCATTATGGTTCTGGGGGCCCAATTCCATAATAGTAGTGTATGTGGACCCTCTGGGGTTTAAGGCCACGATATTCCGGGTCTGTGGCCTCCTCCGTGAACGAACATCTTAAAGAGGCCTAGAGTTTGCAAGCAATGTACCCAAAGGGTCCTATGTACTGTTATGGAGGATACCTTCCTAAGTCATGATGGTAATTCCTAATATGGAAACCCTACATTCTACTATATCGGTACATTGGACCCTTTGGGCTTGTCATGGTAGGGATCCCTTCTTAAAACCGGATGGTAGAAAAAACAATGTACCCTTATTTTAAAGGAGCTACTGTGGAACCTAGGCTGACAGATTCTGCACAGGGGAATCGTGAGAAAGTCGTGCGCTGTTTTCTGGAATCTGGTGTGGAAGCAGATTGCGCAGACCATCAGGGCAGGACAGCCCTACTGGCCGCATCTGAGACTGGCCACTTGGAGGTGGTACGTTTGCTGCTGGAAGCTGGTGCTGACAAAGATTACCAGGGCCCCGGAGTAAGACAGCCCTCATGCTGGCATCTCAGTATGGCCATTTGGAGGTTGCCCGTTTGCTGCTTCAAGCTGGTTCTGACAGAGTTTGCCGGGACAGCGACCTCAAGACGGCTCTAATGCTCGCGTCTCAGTATGGTCACTTGGAGATTGCTCGATTGCTGCTGGAAGCTGGTGCCGATAAAGACCGGCGGGACATTTTGGGCCGAACAGCTTTGCTGCATGCAAGTGCAAGTGGTCACTTCGAGGTTGCATGTCTGCTGCTGGAGGCTGGTTTCGACAAGGATTGCGAAGACTGCGTCGATATGACAGCTCTAATGTTCGCAGCTGAGAACGGTCACTTGGAGGTTGCACGTGTGCTACTTGATGCTGGTGCTGGCAAGGATTTCGCTGATGACCAAGGTGAGACAGCCCAGATACTCGCGTGCAAAAATGGTCACTTGGCGATTGCACGCTTGCTTCTGGAAGCTGGTGCTGACAAAGAGTGTCGAAGCCAGTTCGGCATGACACCCTTGCTGCATGCAAGTGCCAGAGGTCACTTGGAGGTTGTACGTTTGCTGCTCGAAGCTGGCGCTGATAAGAACTGGGCGAATTGTGACGGAGATACAGCCCTCAACCTTGCATCCGAGAGAGATCGCGTCGAGGTGGTGCGATTGCTGCTGGAAGCTGGTGCTGCTCGGTGACGCTCCTAGTGAGGACATATCATGTTGCCGTTGAGGTCGCCAACCCGAAGCGTCCTTTATCTATTATGACTTAGGGAAGTATCCCCTATAGCAGTACATAATAGGAGACCCTTTGGGCTCACCAAATGAACAGCACACAAGGATCTCGCAACTTGAGGCCTTCGAATCCCGTTGAAAATGGGCTTTGCACCTAAAATTCGGATCCTTTTTCTTATAGTGACGATAGTCGGTTGTGCACCACGAGACCTACGAAAGGGGCCGATCAGATCACCCATATTATTTTGGGGGCTCCTTACATGTAGAATGGGACCCAAAACTCATTCTAATTATTTTTTCCAGAGCCCTATACTAACCCCACAATGCCCCCGATGAGTAGCCCTTATTGACCCCTTCAGAAGGAACCCTTAAAGGGAGCCCCTATTCTAATTATCAAGGCCCCTATATTCTATATTGCACCACGAGACCTATGGAGGATCATGGGACTTACTAAATATGGTTATAAGTAATTGCCTTAATTTGGGGTTATAAGTAGCTATAAGTATAGCTACTCTAATAGTAACCTTAGTTACCAAGTCCCATGATACTTCAAGTGGAGAATCCTCACGCTCGTGAGAGTTTTTCGACCCCGGTGCTTGCTCGTTTGCTCATGGAGCGGTCGCCCCAAAAGTGGTCCGAAAGGGGGTTCTACTTTTAGGGTTTGGGGTTTAGGGTTTAGGGTTCGAAAGGGGATTCTACTTAGAGGATAATGGGAATCAGCAGCAAGGCAGCTAGGGTACAGCGGGAGCGCTGTATAAGAAAATACTTTCTGGGACCAGGGTGGTCTGGTTTTTTATTTTGATAGCGGCTGGTTTTATGGGAATATTTAATCTGGGATGGGTCAGGGTAGTCTGGTTTTCTTAAGGTGGCAATGTCCAGGGCCCGTTCCAGAACCCACCTAAATAAGAAAACGAGACTCTCTGGCATTTTCTTATTCTCCTTCGTTCCAGAACCCACCTAAATAAGAAAACGAGACTCTCTGGCATTTTCTTATTCTCCTTCGTTCCAGAACCCACCTAAATAAGAAAACGAGACTCTGGCATGTTCTTATTCTCCTCCGTTCCAGAGCCCAGCTAAAGACCACGAGGATGCCTAGGATCCCTGAAAGCCGTGCTTGGAAGCCTTGGAGGGGAAACTTCAGCAGGGTCAAGGCACGAAGTGCCTAGGACACCCCAAGTACTAGGGCTAGGATGTTGGGCAAAGGCCCCTGATGTATGGAACCCCTCATACAGCACAGGCCAAGTTTACGCGCACTAGTATGACAGAACGAAATAAGAAAACAAGACTCGCACGAGGGTACCCTGGTTTTCTTATTTTAACAGTGCTTGGTATTTCATGTAGAACCCTATCAATCCCAAAATCCAGAGTCTCATTTTATTAATCCAATGTTTTCTTAAGTAGTGCTGTTGCTGTAATAAAGAAGATAGATATACTTATCACTACCGTCTTATCTCTAAACTAAGATACTGATATCCTTACTTGCTAAGTCCCATGATCCTCCAGGTAGCACCCAAAGGGTCCTATATTGTACCGATACAGTAGTATGTAGGGTTTCCATATTAGGAATTACTATAATGACTTAGGGAAGTATCCCCCATAACAGTACATGGGACCGTCTGGGGCAGGGTTGTGGGTTTTAAGGTCTAGGTCTTGAGGGTTTGATAGGGTTGTTACGCCTGTTTGGAAGCCCTATGGGTACCCAGAGACTCCAGTATCTCTTAACTAAACCTCCCAGTGGGCCCTTGTTACGTTTTTGTAGTCCTAGCTTCCTTATAAAGTTACCCAATACCAAAAAGGGAGGCCCTTTTATTCCTAGGTTACCGGGCATCTTAGTTAATTGGTTAAGGAATATTCCTTTGACCCTATTAGGGATCTTACTATATTTTGAGGTTTCTTCCTAAATTAAGGGATATTGGAGTCTCTGGCTAGAACCCTGAGTTAAGCCCTGTAGTGTCCCTCATACACCCCTTACCTTACATTCTGAACCCCCCAAACCCTAAACCCAAACCCCTGCTAGGTCTAGTCTCGGAATACCACTACGGTGGAGCAGTATTCCGACTAAGCAGGAGCAGGAGCGCCCGAGCAAAAAAAAATATGCTTAGTCAAAGCCCCCAACCCCAAACCGCCATAAACAACTCCCTTTCCGAAGCTTGTGGAAGCCCCGATTGCACCCTGTAGAACCCTGCATTTCAAATTTTTTGAAGCCGTATGACTTATGCCCTATCCCGCGGTGATCGAACCTTCAGACCGCAGACACGAGACCTGCAAAGAGCTCATACACCCAAGACCTCAACACCCCAAATCCTGACATAGGGGCCTTGATAATTACCTGTGCTATTTTTGGGGGGGGTTCCTCATTATACTTATAGTATAAAGGGCCCCTACATTAAGGCCCTCATTGTCAAAGCTTTGAAGCTCTGGAACGGCTGGGCAGGTCAGTGCTGTCGGACGCAACGCAGTGGCCACGAGGGCCGCAAGTGGAATGTTCTGTATGGGTTGTTTCCAGGCTAAGGGTTTATCAAAGGGCTACCCTACAATGGGCTATATAATGGGCATATAATAGCTATATCAAGGGTATATACCTAGGGGGGTCCTTATTAAGGGTCCCTCCTTTTACCCTTGGACGTTTAGTTCTATGGTGCCGTTCTACAGTGTTTAGCGGCAAGCTAGTGTCTTCAGTGTTCTTCTAGGGAACCGTTTACGGGGGTTCGTGAAAGGTCTTTTGATGGTTAAGGGGCTTTTTGAAGGTTCCTGGCATGTGAAGTGTACTAGGGGTCCCTTGTGTCTGAAACTCGCGTCCCATGCCTGCAGACTGTGGTGATGAAAGAAGACTCAGAGAACCCTGTACAGAGTGCCTGTCACAACAGGGTTAGACACGATAAAGTTTTTGATTGCACGAAGAGCGAAGAGATTCAAGTGCGTACTGTCACTTTGAAATCAGAGTTCTGCGCTTACACAGGCCTAACCCCTGAACCTGAACACTTGTCGACAACCTTGAGGCTCGAACTATAGAGGCCGAATGCTTACCAAAATGGCTCCTCGGGGCTTCTGGACAGACTTATACAATGATTTTTTGCCAGCAAACATGTATTCTAATTCGTATCGCTCCTGTATTATCAACACTGCACCCTAAACCCCAAGCATCCCTAAACCCTAAACCCTAAGTAAATTGCCATCAGAGGTGACGGCCTGCACGCGAGGCCAGGATTGGATTTCCTTTTGTAGGCCTTGCGGTTTCTGCCTTTTTGTTCGCGGGGCCCTAAACCCTAAACCCTAAACCCTAAATCAAGTTTAGGGTCCTTTGTTACGGGGTTGACGGGTTGGTCGGGCTTGGATGCTGTTGATCTGCTTTAAGCCTGTGTCTTGATCGGGTTAGTTCCGGTTCTGTATGCCCCTAATGCCGTGCAACAGAGCACGGCGAAGAGGTTGAGAAGGGTTTATCAGGACTTCGAGCTTCAGAGCTTTAGTGCAGGATTGTGGGTAGAGGTACTGCTTGAAGGCGTTTTTATGTTACAGGGGTAGGTTACAGTGCTGTGTCTATTTCCTTAAGCGGACAACCCTGGCTTTTCGGGCTGCCTTCCCCTCCCAAAACCTCATGCTAACCATTAAGGCCCGTATACTACCTGAATATGGGATTCTGTTGGAAAACAGGGGACCTTAATACAATACCCGAAATAGTAGAATCCTGATTACAAGGACCCCAAAATAAGGTACCCCCAATTTTGCGAAAGTGGGGTCCTCAAGCTCTGCCGCAAGGCAGACGGCTGTTTGAGCTGTAGGAGTCCAATGCCAAGCGCACACTTGAGAATCAGAAGCACGTCGCTAAGCTGGTGCCTCCAACACCCCTTAAATAAGGAATATACCTTAAAATCAGAACAGGATCCCTAATACCATTTAAGGTATATTGATTACTTTGGGGGTGTTGGAGGCTGTGGGAAGCTGGATGGCCGGCCCAGCAAGGGCACCGCTTTGAAGGATGTGTGCAACCTCTGCAAGCCATCCAACTACCTGGGCCGAGTCGATGCCCTCATGCAGTTGCTCGAAGAGCAGAGACCTACGGTTGATGATATAAACCCTGCGTAACCTTAAGGACCCTAAACTATGGGAATTATGGCGTATTCCTTAGGCATGCAGGATTTATTTCATCAACCGTAGTAGTAGAGTGGGAGGTACTATAATCCAGGTAACTCTCAATATGGGAGTTTCCGAAAATTCGGGTGCCTTATCGTGGGGTCCTTCTAATAAGGATCCTGCTATTTAGGGTGCTGTATTAGGGTCCTCTATTTTCGGAAACTCCCATATACTCCCCAAGTTCGGACTTTGGTTCTCCAGGATGCCCGACAGGTGGGGAGAACATTTCTTCTGAACTAGCAAGGCCCGCTGGTATCCTTGCAATTTTTGAGGGAGGTTTCGAGGACCGGATGGTCCTTAAGAGCATATAGGCCCTATGCCCATACAGCATGAAACATGGTATTAGAACCTCAAGCCCTTCTAGGGTTCACGGCGTTACAAAGCCCTAAACCCTGTGCCTATGACCTAGAAGTCACCCGTTCTCCCTAGTTTTCCCTAAGTCCCTCCAGAATCCTTCGAAATTAATTACTCTCTTCCCGCAAACCATGGCTAAAACTTAAACCCTAAACTCAGAATCCTAAAACTTAAACCCTAAACTCAAAATCCTAAAACTTAAACCCTAAACCTTTAAACTTAAGCTCAAGATCCTAAACCCCTAAACCCGAGGTGATGCCTGGGACTCTGCGCTTGAGGCCGGGCAGCTATGAAACCTACTTGGAGGGTCGGGGGACTTAGTAACTGGTTATTTCAGGGACTTGTAAGTACCATAACCCCAATACTACTAAGGGTACTCTTTAGAAACCCCCATTAAGGGATCTACTTTTTGGATCCTCCCGAAAATCTGAGTATGAAGCCTACACCTTCTTAGGACGATTCCCGTGCTCAGAGATCCCAATACCCCTGCATTAAGGAATATACCTTAAAATATCGGGGCCTTAATATTATGGCTTAAGCTGTATTGCTTAATCAGCGGGTGTTAACATTGGGATCTCTGGCTGAGAAATCTATGTTTAGGTGCTTCTTCTTGAGTGCGCGGCTGAGGAATGTAGGGTCAGGGCTAAGGGTTCTGTGGTTTGGGGTTTATAGATTACAGTTTATGCTTTAGGATTACCCAGAGAGCCCAATACACCTTAATTAAGGAATACAGCTCAGTTCCTATTGTGAAGCCCTTAAGGGGTACTGGGCTCTTTGGATAGGGCTTTAGGAGGTTTGGGTTTCTTGTCATGAGTCGTGAGCCCCCTTTGCGTGTGCTCTTTGAGGACTAACTCAAGCCCCTGGCGCCTACCGGCACGTGCCTCCGTAGAGTGTCTTCGTGTTCGCCCCAATCCCTACACAATGCAACGTGACGCAGAGCCAAGAGAAAACCCCACAGTAGACTCCATAAAGTTGGAAACCGGAATAAGGCCGAATAGTGCTGGGGTTCCCTCTATATTACTCTTAAGGATTGAGGCTATGGGGTTTCCAACTTTTGGGCTTCTACTGTAAACCATAAAAGCTGGGGATCTAAAGTAACACAATGCCGAGAGTCGCCGCCATATTCGCGGTGTAACCATTCAACTTGTCCATGCACAGAGAGCCCAATACCCCTTAATTAAGGAATATGGCTTAAAGTTTATAGGGCTTCATAATAGGATTTAAGCTGTATTCCTTAATTAAGGTGTCTTGGGCTCTCTGGGTGCTTAGGCTGGTTTTTGTCGTAGTATTGCCTAATTACCCTAAACCCTAAACCATTACATCCTGCAGATTCCTCCACCTTCCCCACATCAAGCAGAGTAGCTACTGTTGATGATGTACCTTGCAATACCTTAATGACTCTAGACTATGGGAATCATGGTGTATTCCTTGTTAGGGGTAATGCAGGATTTTTTTCATCAACGGTATGTTGGTCCAGAAGATACTCTTGAATTGGAGGTCGCGTGGGTTGAAAGTCTCTGTTGCTGCGGGTTAAGGGTATAGGATTTGTGCGATCCTTGGATGTTGATTGTAAGCTGCACGTGAAGGCCTTTGATGCGGCCTTTCGGCAGCGAATGCCTGCCACGACGGCATCGCGGCCAGAAATGAGTTCTGTCATTGTATGTTAAGGAGACAAGCAATAGGAGCCCACATCAGTATGGATTTCGAATCTCCATCTAAAAAACCTGAGCTGTTTCAGGACTGGGCTTTGAGGTTTGGGGCTAAACCGTAAACCCTAAACCGTAACCCTAAACCCTAAATTTTAAACCCTAAACCCTAGACCCTAAACCGTAACCCTAAACCCTAAATTTTAAACCCTGAACCCTAGACCCTAAACCGTAACCCTAAATACCCCAAACCCTAAACCGTGCCGGGGGAGGTCATCGCCTTTTGTGTTACAGCTTCCTCAAGCAAGCGCAGGCTAGTTCCCAGAGAGCCCAAGGAATATTCCTAGGGTTCCTTTAAAGGGATCCTTAAGGGTTCCTTTAAGGAACCTCTAGGGTTTAGGGTTTAATGGATTCTAACACCCCTTAATTAAGGAATATAGCTTAAATCCTTTTATGCAGCCCTATAAACTTTAGGCCATATTCCTCAATGAAGTGGTATTGGGCTCTCTGGGTTTGCGCCAACCCCTACTTGGAAGTTCATGGGTAGTTATAAGTGGGGTTATAAGTAGGGTTACTTAAACTAAAAACTCATATTAGGAGGTCGAGTGGTTCGCAGGGCAGCCAGCAGCACCCGAATGCATCGTCAAGCCAAGGATTGCATCAACAACAGGCTCTCCAGTTGCCTGCGGCCTTGCCGAGTGGCCAGCCGTCGTCGTCGATTGGGTTGGCGTACGCAAGCCAGCCAGCACAGAATCCGGCCAGCAACACATTTCAGACGGAGTTGCCCACCACTGAGCCCCTCGCCAATGACCTCATGGGGGAGGTGGACAAGTCCACCAAGGTCGTGACCGAGGCTTTGGAGACGAAGAAGAAGCCAAGTCAGGCCAGGGGGATACTGTTGATGGACAAAATTCTGCATGACCCATAATAAGGAATACACCATAGTTCCCATAGTTCAGAGTCCTTAGGGTCATGCAGGATTTTGTCCATCAGCCGTATGAATGGGAAAGCGAGCAGTGGAGTCTGCCGCGAACGTCCCCGAAGACCTTCATGAAGTCGCTCGCTGGACAGGGTTCTCTCATGCTGTTGAACAAGTACGGAAGGCAAAAGTGCTTGAACATTTCCTTGTATCTGGTGATGAAGGGGATCACATGGCCAACGAGAGATGGGTATGCATTGGAGCTTAGGATAGACGACGAAGAGTACCAGTTCTCGACAAGGGAGGAGCTTCGGCCTCTATACTTCATGGCGGAGGCGGCAGTGAGGATGTTGGGGTACAACGACCAGAAGGGAAAATTCGTGGAGGAAGGACTTAGCCCTACTTATCGCTACCCATGAACCTCCAAGTATCCCTACCTGGACCCCAAAATCTCCAACCTTTGTAGGGTTCCTTGCTCCGATTTTTTATACGGGTGGTTGTCAAAATTATGGTCCCTTTGTGGGGACCTCAAATACTAGGTGCCGTATTATATTAAGGACCCAACAAGGGACCGTAATTTTGACAGTTGCCCGTATGAGTCCGTAAATAGGTAGGTTGTTTGGGTTTAAGGTAAACCCTGCAACCTAACCCTCCCCCAAACATGAGCCGAGTCCAGTTTCGATGTAGTTTTGGGGCCTGCGCAATTCCCAATAGCATTCTTTAGGGTTCCTTATTGCGAAGAGAGCTATAAGATACATCAAAGCCTTTTTCTGTTTATTAGGGCCCCTTTGTTACTTGTTGTTAGTAAGGTTGTTCATATATGCAATCTGTAAGGCTACTAAAAAGTGTTATTCGTTTTTGTGAGTTGCTATGCAAGGTTTGCTTATGGTGTTGTGAGGTTTTGTTTTAAGGTTATGTATGGTCTTATGATAAGTTTTCATTTAAAATGCTTCCGAGGTTGTATAGGGACCGTGGGCTGGGATTCTAGCATTTGGGTGGTCGTCAAAATTATGGCCCCTTTTTGGGCACCCTAAATATTAGGTGCCGTATTCGAATCGGGACCCAAAAAGGGACCCTAATTTTGACAACCACCCATTTGGGGTTCGGGATTTAGGGTTTGGGGTTTAGGGGCTCATGTTCTGCAAGTGATTTCAAGGCCATTCTCGTGTTTCAGGCCTCAAGAGCATGAAGAGCGTCTCGCTTTTCTGCAACCTTAAACCGTAAACCCTTAAACCCCAAACCCCCTCAACTTCCTGCCTAAACCCCTACGCCCTAAACCCCTAAACCCCAAACCCCCAAACCCTAAGCCCCATAGTCCCCCAAACCCTAAATCGGGGGTCGAATTGATCCAGTCACACTTCGAGGGTGCGGTTGTTTGCCACACAAATTTCGCTTGTGGAAGGGCTCCACTACTTCGTGCATCATGGGACTTGGTAGGTACGGTTATACGTACCCTAACGGGGGCTATAACTAAACATGACCTTGGCGTTCTACTGGTTGGCTCTTTAGACTTTAAAAAATTGGAATTCTAAATGAACTATAATAATAATAAGGAGGCTTAAAAGTTTGAACCGGTACACCCTAAACCCAACTCCCTAACCCCTAAACTCCCTAACCCGAGGCCCCAAACCCCTTAAACCTCAAGGACCCAATCACCCTGGAAAGTAGGGGCCCTGCATCCTTGTGCAAGTAATCCCTGGAAGGTATATGATGCTTACACCCTGTTAGGGTGCGTTTCCCCACAAAACCCCAAACTCTGAACCACGTAAACCGATGCCGTTAACCCCAATTACGGGAATAGGAGCCCTTGGCGACACTTTTCTAGGCCGCTAGTTATAAAAACCATTAAAGGAACCCGTGAAGGACTTAGAAGGACCCCCTAAAGGGAACCTAATCATGCAAACCCTTATAGAACCGTAAAGCGAACCATGGCCCCCGAGGTTTCTTACAACGCCGCGATCAGCGCTTGCGATATCGGCCTCTTTGCTGAATTTGAGGTTTGAGTTCGTTGGTTAGTTTAAACCTTTTGGGTTATATAGGGTTTAAGGCTTGGGATATAGGGTTGACGAGTTCAGGTTATGAATTTAGGGTTGAGATTTTTGGTTTTCAGGCAACAGTCGCATCTTGTCTGCATCTGAGGCTGAGTACGAAAGCCTTGAGCGGGTTTTATCGTGTTCTAGGAATCCTACAAGGGTGTTACAAGTGTGTGGTAACGGCTCTATACGGCTTGATAGGCCAGGAAATAGGGCGTACGACACAGCGCTAAGATTTGATTTGGGAAGGAAGGCTTACGATTTCGGGTTTAGGGTTCCACTATTGTTCCGTTTGTATGAGGGCCCGTGCGTCTGGAACATTTCCGGAGTCGATTGGTAACCGTTCCGACGCACACCGCGGAAGCCTGTCCGTTTCACTTCTCATCCAGACACTCACGGGTCCCGTGGGCCTGTCTACTTCCGAAGCATAAGAAGGAGTGGAAGGCTTGTCGTCCAATTCTGAGCTACTCGGCGCACCCTGCCCGACGGGTCTTGACGATTATGGCCCGTGTGACCGATATGTTGGTGGTGGCCGTGAAGCCGCACAGCAAGCTAGGGTTTAGGGTTTAGGGTTTAGGGCAAGCATCACAGCAAGCAGCATGGCCCTCCTAGATCGCGAGCGGGAGACTGTCGAGCAGATCATGTGTCAAAGGGGAAAAGGAGGGACCCTTAATGGGGACCCCTACCCTACAATGGGGTATATACTGGGTCTCTAATAGCTCTATTAAGGGTATATACCTAGGGGTCCTTATCAAGGGTCTTTCCTGTTACCCTTGGATTGTGGGCATTGTCCGAAGAGCGGTGGCGCGAGGACACCAGTCCAGACTCGCACATGCCCTCACATATGGCCATATAATATAGGGGCCTGAACAATTAGAACAGGGTTTTGGGGCCCATTATACTAGAATGATTCAAAGAGCCCCCCCCAAACAAAATAGTATAGGTAATTATTGAGGCCCCGATATTAACCACGTGATATCGCTCTGGGAGGCCATTCATTCTTACGTTTTGATTGCTGGACCCCCGGGGAATAGAACAAAGGGGAGTCTTCAGCCAGCCAGAGAATGACAGGCTGCACTTGTTTCGTAGAGGCTGAGTAGCCTAGCCGGGCCTAGCCCAAAAAAGTTAACCTTTTCAATATGGTGCGGTTGATGATATAAATCCTGCATTACCTTAATAGGACCCTGAACTATGGGAATTATGGTATATTCCTTATTATGGGTCATGAAGGATTTCTATCATCAACCGTAGGCCTTTCTTAACACCAAGAGGTTTCGGGCCACCTACTCCGCTGCTGAGGTTTAGGTGCTCTCAGGCAGAGGCTGGCTTCAGGAAATACATATGGGTGGTTGTCAAAACCCGTTTGGGTCCCTACTATAATACGGCACCTAGTATTTAGGGTTCCCAAAAAGGGATCATAATTTTGACCACCACCCACATATTATAGTGAACCCCAGAAAGCTGGAACATGGATTTTGGATGATCAGTGCTAGGATTCCCTCTACCTTACCTTAGGGTCATGAGGATACTAATGTTCCAACTTTCTGGCTTCTACTATGGCTAATGACTAGGGTTGCAACGTTTAGGCAATCGAACTTGCGGATTTCAGGGTCTGTGTGCCCAAATAGTATATACTTTGGCCCCGAAGTACCTACAGAGGGACTACACTAGGGCCAAAGTAAAAATACTATTTGGGTACGTGGACCCTTGGGGTTCTTTAGATCCTTGAAGCGGTCTGGGTTGTAGGTTACATGCCCATGGAACGTAGCAGGCAGAAGGGGTTTTCACCAGACGCAGTGGGTTCGGAACCTCTGCAACGTTGGGGAAGCCTGTACTGTGGGTCGCTGAGGTGTCGGGGTGAAACAGTTGATTGAGCACTCTGCGCATTTCTGGTGTTGCTTGTATTGTCGCGGTTGCTTTTTGGTTGTGTGCGTTTGTGTTTGTTTCTGTAGGTTGCGTTTGGGCAGGTAACGGTGTGGGGTGAGGTGAGACCCAGACCCCCGGGAGGTAGATCCCTTAGCTGGGGTTCCTATAAAGTACCCTTAGTAGCAAAGGGCCCAATATTAGGGAATCTACTTTCTAGATCCTCCCTAGAGGAAAAGTGTGGGCTCAAGTTTGAATGGGGCCCCAAATTAGGGGATCTACTTCCTAGATCCTCCCGGCACTCTGGCGGTCGGGGACAAGCGTGAGCTGCTGTTTGAAGGTTGTCCGGGGTTTGTGTCGGCGGACAGGCCAGGGGCAGGGCCTCAAGCCCCAAGCTCCATGACCCTAAGGGTCCATGTACCCAAATAAAAACAAACTTTGGCCCCAAAGTACCTCTATATCTATATCTATATCTATATCTATATCTATATCTATATCTATATCTATATCTATATCTATATCTATATATATATATATATATATATATAGATAGGGACTACATCAAGGCCAAAGTATATACTATATGGGTACATGGACCCTAGGGCGATTCTATAGGCATCTCAACACCGAAGCCCTACTCCCTGAAGCCTTTTCACCTTCGGGGACCTCTCCCCCTTTCTCAAAGGTCCTAGGTCGTGGTCTGGGGGAAGTACTTTCTCAAGTCCTAACAGTCATTCCTAACAGAGAAACCCTACATTCTACTATATGGGAGTTTCCGAAAATTAGGGGTTCCTTATTTTGGGGTCCGAATATTTAGGGTACTTTCTTAGGGTCCCCTAATTTGGGAAACTCCCATATCGGTACTTTGGACCTTTTGGGTTTCTGCAAGGTCAAGATGGTGAGCGGGCGCTTGAAATCCTACGTCTGGCGAGGTGCAGAGTTGCCTGAGAACTTTGTGCGCACATATATCCAATCGTGCACATGGAACAAACTTAGCCCCTGCTGCGGGGTGCGGTTGAGGCGAACAGCTTACACTAGTTTTCATATAGGGCATTTAGTGGTCGTCTGTACCCTACACCCCCAAACCCGAAACCCTAAGCCCTAAACCCCAAACCCTAACCCTCAACCCTGAACCTTAAACCCCAAACCCTATACCCTTCACCGTAGCGGTGGACAGCTTCGATGCCAAACCCGACCAAGCCTGAACGCAGGTATGACCTCGTATTCCAGAAGCCTGGAATTCAAGGTTTAGGGTTTGGGGTGTAGGGTACAGGTTTTAAGGTTTAGGTTTAGGGTTTAGGGTATAGGGCCTAGGTTTTAAAGTTTTAGGGTTTAGGTTTAGGGTATAGGGTTTAGGATCTGTTTTGGGGTTTCGGGTTTATACGGTTTAATGTCTGTTGGTTTGGTTCCGGTGGTTTAGGTTGTAATTGGAGGTCGCTGGACTCAGTAAGCAGTTATCTTGTAGCGTTATAAGCACCATAACCCCCAGTCAGAATCCCACTTAGGGCACTTATCCCTAAACCCTAAACCCTCTGTACCTTTACTCCAAACCCACTTGCTGAGTCCTTCGATCCTCCAATTAGGGTTTAGGTTAGAAGGGCCCCTCACCCTGTAATAGTGGTATAATAGGAATATAATAGGGCCCCAATATAATCCTTATAGTCACTATCACAGGGGGGGGGGCAGCTTCTAAGGTTTAGGTAATTGTTTCCAAGGGTAAAAGGAGGGACCCTTAATAAGGATCCATAGGTATATACCCTTAACATAGCTATTATCTACCCATTATATAGCACATTTTAGGGTTTTGGCTTGGGGACTCGGGCCTGAGAGGATTGTTCCATAAACCCTCAGGGGCCCTTGAATTTAAAAGGCTCTCATTAGTAAGTAAGGTTATAAGTACCCTAATTGGGGCTATAAGTAATTTTTAACTATAGGTACCTTACTTATAAACCCTAGTTACTAGGTCCCATGATCCTCCAAGTACGATTTGGGGTTCCCTGAATGGTATAATGTTCCTTAAAGGGATCTATAAGGGTTTAGGGCTCATTAAGGGTTTAGGGTTTTGGGGTTAAGGAGTGCCAGGACCCCCCCACGGGCCCTTTAATGGAGCCCTCATGGTCCTTAATGGTGGGTATTCGGGGTGTAATAAAGGGTCGTTGGGAGGTCTAGCTTGATTGGTTTAGATTGAGGGTTTATGGTTTGGGGTTTAGGGGTTTAGGGTCTAGGGTTGAAGGTCTTTAGTGTTGGAGGTTCACTTGGAGCGGGAGGGCTTCGTACCTGGGTATTAAGTAGAGGTGTAAGTGCTTCAACCGGGGTCCCATTTGGGGCTATGGTACTTTTGACTCTAAACGAAATGCACTTAATACGTCCATCGACCTTCCAACTAGGGACTTGGGTTTGGGGTTTAGGCAGCCTCGAACGGAATGGGCAAGACTGCTGCTACCGAGGATCGCGGAGGTCACCGCCGGCAAAGAACCCATCAGCGCCACCTTCGCTGGAAAGCTCCACGAAATCCAGACGTGTCATGTCTTCGGATCTCACCACAAGCATGAGGCTGCACCCGCCGGAGCCAGGATTTCGAATTGCAGGCGAGGACTCGACGGCCTAGACATGGTACGCCAAGGTGCCGTACCCCGACTCGGATTCGCTTCCGAGCCCCTCATACAATGTGAAGTCGAAGCTGCTATCTCCGGCAGCCTCCCCCCTTGCCCCCGAGCCTAGGGCCCCGTACCCCCGTAGCAAGCTTACAGTCAGCTCGTTCGCATGTAGTGTCCTTAAACCCACAAGGCTCTCTACCTTAAGGACGACATGAACCCCAAAAAGGGTTTGAGGCTCATGTACCATATAGGGATTCACAGTATAATAAGAGTATAGGGCCCGTACTTTTAAGGGTCATTTGGTTCCTAGGTTAAGCTCTGAGACCGCAGTCCTCAAATCTGGCAACAATCTACATCCCACATGAGGAATATTGCTGCTTTCAGACATTGGTGGGCACGTGTCTGGGGCGATACGCTGTGGACACTGCAGTAGGAATACAGACTACAGACTCCACATACATTGCATGATCAACAAGTAGCAACAAGTTCGACCCATGGTACCCGGTTTGGACTTTAGGGCTTTAGGGTATTCCCAGAGAGCCCAATACCCCTTAATTAAGGAGTATGGCTTAAAGTTTAGAGGGCTTCATGTTTTGATGTTAGCTATATTCCTCAATTAAGGGGTATTGGGCAATCTGCGTTAAGTTTGGGTTCCTGTAGCCGAAAAGACCTACCTTTTCAGGGATCCCTAGTATGGTTTCTCTATATAGTTCCCTAAAAGGATCTAAAAGGTAGGTCTTTTGGGCCACAGGTTAAGTTTGGGGTTTCCGGCTTTACGAACCGCTTCCTGCAGGCGAGAGCTCGTGCAGGTGGACTTGGTGTCCTTCAACAGCGTCTCCTCCCCGGTCCGTATTAGACTTAGAGGCTGAGTAGGTAGCATTTCAACTTTGGGGCTTATATGATCCTACTATAATGCAAAAGGTTAGCCTTTTTTGGGCTAGGGTACTCAGCCTCTAAGTAGAAGGACTGTTTGGGATAATCCTTAAGCGGTTTTACAGAGTCAAAGAGTTGATAGAGCTGTACATCGTCTTCAAGCCACACGTACTCCGAAACGCGGAATCCCAACCACCAACACCCCCAAACCCTTGCAGTAGAGCCCAGTCCCTGCGTTAAAAGCCTCAAACCTTGAATATTGAAGCCCCCACCCCAAAACCCTAAACCCTGCCCTAAACCATCCTGACCCCAAAAGCTCTAAGACTAAAACCCGACAGCCCTAAGCCCTAAAACCTTAAACCCTATCAGCCCCAAACAATGGGTCCTAAAACTCTACAGGCCCCCCAGCCTCAAAGCGTAAAACCCACCGGCCCCAAGCAAGCCTTGCGCCTTTAAGGACGACATGAGCGGTTTAAGGTTTGGGGTTTGGGGTTTAGGGGTTTAGGGGTTTAGGGTTTGGAGTTTAGGGTTTAGGGGTTTAGGGTTTAGGGATTATACCCTCCTGAATACCCCCCTCCCTTCAGCACGAAATGTACCCCAAAACAAAAACATCATGCAGGTTCAATGCATGCATGGTATGTGGGTATAGGGCCGCGCGCTCTTTAGGGGTCATTTGGTCCATCAGGGGGCCAACTTCTTTGTGCCACCGCAGCCAGAATCTTGTTGCCAGAACAAATACAAATACTATACTTAGGGGTACTTAAATAATTTGTACTTTGTGGTTATTATAATCCCTAAGAACCAGCAAAAAGTAACATTTGTTGCTAGGGTTCTAAGTTCAGTATAGTGTATAGTAGAAGCCCAAAAGTTGGAAACCCAATAGCCTGAGTCCTTAAGAGTAATGTATGGGGAATCCCAGCACTATTTTGCCTGACTCCGGTTTCCAACTTTATGGGCTTTACTGTAGCATCAACTCCTGCAAGTTCCTTGTTGTAACTCTTCTGTCACGTATACCTCCACACCCTAGTTCGAATTGTTCAAGCCACTATATACCCTAAATCCAAAATAAGAGCATGAGTTAAAGGAACCTTAGACAAGTCAGGAAGGCCCTTTTAAAACAAAAACTCGTGTCTCGTCTGCTGAGGCCATGTCGGCGTGCTCCAAGAGTAGCCTGGGCCTTTCATACCCAGACTCCCGGAAGGATCCAACAAGTGGATCCCGTAAATGGTTCCCGAAAAGAGATCTGTAAGGGGGTTACAAAAGGCTTTCTGCAGGGTAGATTCTAGTACAACCATAGATCTGGGAAGGAGGTCCTTTATGGGTTGATGATGGTTGGGTAAATGGGGGTGCCTGCAAGGAGAATTTAAAACCTCACTAGCTCAGGAATTTGCCTGACAGGTTCACCGAGCATCCCTCCATACGTATATCCTTGAAGGGGTGTCAACATCTTCTGCACGCTGAGCCCAAATTAAGTCTCCTTACCAAGTCCCTTGATCCTGCTCTGGTGCCGAAATAGTTGCTCTGTATGTCGAACGGGATGATGGAAGGCCTTCAACCATAAACCCAACACAATTTTGGTGGTTTCTTGTTATGATTATGACTTAATTGTTTAATATACCCGTAAACCCTATTCTAATTATTAAGGCCCCTATGATACACGCCTGTGCATGGTCCTGTCCAGCCCATTCAACTTACTAAGCCTGACAAGAGCCTGTGTAATGTACATCGCAGCGCAGATAAGCCATTGTTCACGTTTCTAAGGCCTCTTTTGCAGTTTGGACCCTAAACCCTAAACCCCAGTTTGGGTGTAGGCCCCAGAGCCCAAAGATTATAGCATCCTTCAGGGAACTGGATGCAACGACGCACATAACCCGGTGACACCATGCTACTGCCTAAGGTTCACTGAACTGTTGGACCATCACCAGTAAGGACCCTTAAAACTCTAAACCTGTTGCCCCAAAAGCCCCAAGCCCCAAGAAAAACAAACCCCTTAACTCCAAATCCCCAAAACCCCCAAACCCCTCAGCCCACAACCCCCCAAAACCTTAAACTCCATGTGCAAACCCCGAACGTCAAGCCCCCCAAAACCACTCCGGAACCCGTTTCAAAGGACTCCCAGAACCCCGATAGATCCCAAAACCTCCAACACCCAAGTAAGGATCCTGACAAACCCTGTTAAGATAAGTATCATAAGTAGGATCAGTTTTTAAGATACCCTAAACCGTAAACCTTAAACCTTATTAGGATCCTAGAAGCAGAACCCCGAGCAGAGCAAGGCCTTTGGCAGTCAGCCTTTCAGTTGCTGGAGGAGGCGCAGGGGCCCTCGGAAACAGTACTAGTAAGGGCCCCCTTTAAAGTGGGTTTTAAGGGTTCCTTAAGGGCCCCTTTAAAGGGATCTATAGGGATTCTATAAGAGTAGGGCTTAGGGGACTTAGTAACTGGTTATTCTATGGACTTACAAGTACCATAACCCCAATTAGGGTCCCTTTTACCTACTTGCTAAGTCCATGTCCCTTTTAGGGTTCCTTAAAGGGATCTCTATAGGGTTCCTTAAATGGATCTCTATAGGGCTCTTTAAAGGGATCTATAGGGTTCAGTTTAGGGTTTAGGGTCTGCTTGGAGGATCATGGGACTTAGTAATTAGGGTTTTAAATTAGGGTAGTTATAGTTATATTTGCTTATAACCCCAATTCGGGTATTTATAACCTGACTAAGTCCCATGATCCTCCAAGTAGGGTTCCTTTACACCCAGATTTTCGAGGATCCAGTGCTGAGGGTACTTTATAGGAACCCCCATTAAGGGATCTACTTTTTGGATCCTCCCGAAGGTCCCTTTAAAGGGTTCTATACGGGGCATTATGGCGGTCTTTAGTTGCTCGCACCTTGCCTATGTCCCGTGATCCTTTTAGTTTCCCAAAGGGTCCGATGTACCGATATAGTAGAATGTAAGGTTTCCATATTAGGAATTACTATTATGACTTAGGGAAGTATCCCCTATAACAGTACATAGTACCCTTTGGGTTTCCAGACCCTAAACCAGACAGCACTTAATTCACAAAAGCTCTACTCCTCAAACCCTATGTAAACCCTTAAACCCGTACCCACGGGGTCCAAAGCACCCATATCGTAGAATGTTGGGTTTCTATATCAGGAACTACTCTTGGGTTTTGGGAAAGTATCCCCAGACCACTGCCTACCCAGATCCTCGGGAGGATCCAAAAAACAGATCCCTTCATGGGGCTTTCTACAAAGTACCCTTAGTAGTACAGGAACCCCCATTAAGGGATCTAAGTTTTGGATCTTCAAGGGGGTCTCGGAATATCGAAGCCCAACTCATTACCAAGAATATTGTTAGGGTTCCTTGTTATAGCTATACTTGAAAGGAGCCCAAAACCCTATTCTAATTATTAAGTTAAGGCCCCTAAATTACCTGACCTGGGACCCTTTGGGTGAACAGAAGAACCCTAAACCCAACCCTAAACCCTAAACCCTAAACCCAGCCCTAAAACCCCAAACCCTAGAAACCTAAACCCTAAACCGTCGTGTGAACAGAAGACTGAAGCCAAGTCCTCCATTCTCGGAGGCCTCCACCGACTCCTTGTCCAGGGATCTTCATTCCTTGGCCTCGGTAGCTGCCGGTGCTGCCAAGAGAGGCGCTGTTTGAGTTTTGTGGGGTTTGGGGTTGAGGGGTTGAGGGCTTTTGGTTTTGGGTTTTGGGTGTTGGGCCTCGGGTTCGGGCTTTAAGCTTGAGGGCTTCGTTCAGAATCAGAAGGCTCGTTGCAATTCATTAACTAGTGTTGTCGTGTTTGTCCGAATATGGTTTCTTCATGCAGCACCTCCAGAAATGTATGTTTTGCCTTCGTTCTAAGGGTAATAGGGCCAGGGGTTCGGTGGTCAGGCAAGAGCAGCTCCATGCTTGCAGGATTTTAGGACTTCGTAAGTAAGGACCTTCTTTAATGTGTTCTATAAGGGTTCCATTAAGGGTCCTTTGAAGGGGTACTAGACGGGTTTAGGGTTTAAGGTCTACTTGGAACGTGGAAAGTAAGGATATACGGATATACGGCTTCCCCTTAGGGATCCATAGGGGTACCAGAAGGGTTTAGGGTTTAGGGTACGTGGAGGATCATGGGGCTTAGTAGTTAAGGTTACAAGTAACTTAGTTGGAGTGATTATAGCTACAGTTCCTCTGTTTACCTTCAAGAACTAAGTCCCATCATCCTCCAAGTAGTAGCTGAGTGAGTACACGTTACACTCGGCTGGATAAGATGACGACTTGCAGAAGTGAATGAAATCTGCGCTGTTTTGGGCTTATGCACTCAGCAAATAAGGCTCAGAAATTGGGGCCTGGTGATTTACCAGGGCTTGGGGTTTGAGGGTTTCTGGTGTCGGTTTGGAGCTGCGTGGTTTTGGCATCGTAGGGCATTCCCTGGTTGGCGTTACAGGCTTTTGAGGGGGGTTGCAGGGTGTCGGGATCACCGTGCGGTGGAGTTGTCAACTAGACGTTTACGGCTCAGGGCACACCCTAGATTTTAGTGGGATTTAGGCTTTCCCTAGTAGTAGAGTAGGCAACCTTTATCCTTTTTGGGGTAGTATAGTCCCTATATAATCCATATATGGGTGGTTGTCAAAATTATGGCCCCTTTTTGGGCACCCTAAATATTAAGGTGCCGTATTGAAATAAGGACAACCACCCATATAACCAAAAAGGTTAATCGTAGGAGGCTTTCGCTTTGCAATGCAACTGTTGCGAGGTTTGTGGCGGACAGTGGGGGCACCCCGGCCGCAGAATCAGCGGGCTCCTCCGGATGCGACTCCCTGAAGCAGGCCCAGAGAGCCCAATAAGCCTTAATGAAGGAATACGGCTTAAATTGTGACGGTTTAGGGTTTAGGATAGGGCTTCATACTATGGTTTAAGCCATATTCCCTCATTAAGGGGTATTGGGCTCTCTAGGACGTAGCCCTTTGTCTGGTGCTCGAAGGCTTTGAAGGGTGCTTCTATAGGAGTACATAGGACTCTAGGACCCAGAGTAGGCCAGCATTCCCCTTTACAAGGTTACAGGTTCCCTTATAAGCCTCTTTAAAGCAAAGAGGGCACCCGTTTTATTCCTAGGTTACTCTTGGGTCTAGTGTTTCTATAGGAGTACATAGGACTTGTTGGAGGTGGGGTTGTCCTTTGTCAAAATGAATAGGCAGATCGTTTCAGGCACCTTCTTTGAGGGATTCTGGTGAAGATCTCGAGCTTCAAACCCCATAGCTCTGAATATCAGGAATACAAGTCGAGAGCATTAACCCTAAACCCTAAACCTATACTGCATACAGACAGGAATGTTGATGAATGGTCCCCAAGCCCTCTTGTAATTCCAGTGGTCGCTACTGTGACTATGGCGCAGTCCACCATAATCTTACCTTATAAATCACTTAGAGTAACCCTTAAAGACTCCTTTAAAGGAACCCTATCCTGAATATTAAGACCCCTGTACTAAACCGCCATAATGCCCCGTATAGAACCCCAAGGGTCCAAAGGACCCAATAATCGGGTACTCGGCTTTAGGATAGTAGTTATGTAGGTTAGGATTTTGGAGAGTATATGATTATCGGGTACTTGGACCCTTGGGGAAACCCTTTAAAGGGACCTTAATAGCTTCCTGGTCAACTGTGGCTAGATCTCTTAGTAGCCCGATGCCGATATCCAGGAATAGGTCCCGCAATGGAGATGGATTTTATGCCCCTTCATGGAGCTAGCATATGTCTACTTGAAAACCCGCAAAGCACCCATAACACATAATCCTGGCACAAAACTATTAAGGTCGTAGTTGGAAGCCCTTTGAAACCTTTGCAACCCTCAGCCGTAATTTCAATCCCTTGCTCTCTCTCCCTCGCTGCCTATCTCTCTCTCTCTCTCTCTCTCCCGCTCTCTCTCTCTCTCTCTCTCTCTCTCCCTCTGTCTCTCTATTTGCCTCTCTCTCTCTCTCTCTTTCTTCCTTTCTTTCTTTCTTTCTTTCTTTCTTTCTCTCTCTCTCTCTCTCTCTCTCTCTTTGTCTCTCTATTTGCCTCTCTCTATCTCTCTCTCTCTCTCTCTCGCTCTCTCGCTTTCTTTCTATCCGTCTGTCTCGCTCTCTCATGAGGACCTCCTCCAGGAGGCCAAGACGCAGGTGGGCATCCGGCCGACTCCGCTGAAATCGTGCAGAAACTTGCATACTTGGAGGATCAGGGGAGTTAGTAAGTAAGGTTATAAGAACCCTAATGGGGGTTATAAGCCATTATCAGTATAGTTACCTTATTTATGACCCTAGTTAAACTAACTAAGTCCCATGATCCTTTTAGTAGGGTTACGGTTAGCGTTTATGGATGCATGAGCTCATGGTATGTTGTTGCCCGGGGTAGTGGTAGAATGGCTCTTAATTACAAGTTTCTTATTCGTTGTAACCGGGTTCTTATAGAATGTATGGGATCACAAGTTCCATGGGCTTAGTGTAAGTCCGTTCCGGTTGTGGTTCGGCTGTGGGCCAGAGCATTGTCTTCAGACTCCGATAGTTTACCTGCACCCTAAGTACCTATATAGTAGACTGTAAGAAAGTAGCCGCCCCATAACAATACCTGGGACCCTTTAGGCGTGCGCGGCCAAACGCCGATAAGTTTGTTTGAACCCTGAACCCAAAACCCTAAATCTCAAGCCTCAAACCGTTTCCCAAAGGGTCCTATGTACTGTTATGGGGGATACTTCCCTAAGTCATTAAAGTAATTCCTAATATGGAAACTTTACATTCTACTATATATCGGTAAATTGGACCCTTTGGGCCCCCTCAAGCCTGAAAGCATGAGCAACCACAAGCATGTTGGCGGGTCTGCGTCCTAGATCATCTGGTGAGCATTCAGTAGCCCAAACGCCAGAGAGGGTCCAAATAGTAGATCCCCTAATTCAGGATACAGCATTTTTGTTGAGACGGGGGACCCTATACTAGCGCAGGGTACTTTACATACCCAGACCGCCGGGAGGATCTAGAAAGTAGATCCCCTAATTTGGGCGCCTATACTACTAAGGATACCTTATCGGAACCCCCATCAAGGGATCTGTTTTTTGGAAGCCTCAGAAGCGATTTGCTTTTGGGATCCTCTCGAGTGTCTGGGAAACCTATTGATTTGGTGCAGGTTTTCGCTTCTGAGAATGTTCAAATCCCTAAATCTGCGCCTAAACTTAAACATCCTAAACTAGGGTTTAGGGGTTTAGGGTTTAGGGTTTAAATCCCTGTGACCGTTAAACCGCACCAGAATTTGAAGTTTAACCCTTTGCGGGCAGGCAACTGAGCGACAAAAGGGCTACGAAAAGCTGATTGACTTTTGAGAACCACTCTAGTCTCCTTAGGAAATATTATTTCATTTTGTTCGTTTAAAACCCAAGAGGACATTTAAACATTCTTGTTATTTTGGTTCTAAGAGAAGTATAGAACCAACCAGAAAGAACACAAGTCAAAGCATCAGAAGACGCAAGAATTAGAGCACCCAAGTATCTGACATCAGAATCGAAGTACCAAGTCATAAAGCCACATGCAAGGCCCCAAAAAGCCTCAACTATAGCTCTAAGCCGCTGGCCAGTCTTGTGGCTTCAATGCGGTCTTCCAGACCACATTGCTGAAAGGCAGTTGGAGTTGGAGAGATCATTCCCAGATCTCCGGGAGGATCTAGAAAGTAGATCCCCTAATTTGGGGCCCTATACTACTAAGGGTACCTAAAAAAAGAAGCCCCCATTGAGGGATCTACTTTTTGGATCCTCCCAAACTTCTGGGTAATTCTGGAGGGTGGAGGGTCTAGGTTCGCGGTGGAGTGTGTTTGGTGCACAGAAGCCATGTGAGCCTTACATATTTTGACATATGCAGGGGTCGAAAGATTGGCAATAGTGTCACTGGTTGGTCCCGATAAATGTATGCTGGGAGAATAGACCCCACAGCTTGCTCGAAGCATTGAGTTCTTGATTAATCAAGGAAGGCATGGGGAAAGCAGGACAACGTTTGCAAACTGGAATTTAAAGCAAGTAGGATTTAAAGATTGCAGTTCTGTTCTGTGCAGCCATTTCGAGAACACAGGCCTGGCGAAGACAGGTGATATCGGGTAAACGGGACACTACCTCACCAACTCCCTAAACCCTATACCCCACACCCTATACCCCTGAACCCTAAACCCCGAAACCCTATACCCCTAAACCCTATACCCCTAAACCCTATACACCTAAACCCTAAACTCAAAAGCTCAGCCAAGGCCAGGGGTCCCATGAAACTAAGCACTGAAGTCGAAGGCGACTCTGCACCAGCAGTGTAGTGGCTGTCCCCAGACTCCAAGCGCCCTCTGAGGGTCGCCCTATACTTGGAGGATCATGGGACTTAGCAATTAGGGTTATAAGTAAGGCAACTATACGTAGTTATAGCGGCTTATATAATTAAGCCCAATTAGGGTGCGTATAACCTTGCTTACTAAATCCCCTGATCCTCCAAGTAGCCCCTACATGGAGCCGTCCCGGTGCCGAGCGGCTGCCCCTTTTGGAACTGTGTTCAGTTTCATGTCTTAGGTTCCTGAGTAGTACCCTTCTGCACTATTTATTTTAGGATTCCTCTCTAGGGCTCCCCTATTAACACCGAATAGCAAGCAAACGGGTACCGTTATTAGATAGTGGCTTCTGAGGAACCTAGTGTCACACAGTAGTTGTTTTTCCGCAAGAGGTGATTGGAGAGGGAGCATGCTTATCTTGTCTCGAATTGGCTGATCACGTTGTAGTGAAGCAGTTCGTTTATGTTTTCAGTTGTATGTCATCTTGTAGTGGGGCTTACCGTGGCTACAGTGCATCCGATGCTACACGTTCCTGTCCGAGTCCAAGGCAGGAAATGAAGGAATTACAGATTATTGCACCATGCCGTCGACTTGTATCCCCAATAACAACAATGTTTGTATGTGTATATATATATATACATGTATATAGTTATATGTACATACACATGCACAGTTTACATATGCTACAAACCACAGCCGTCTTCGAATTATTAATTCCCTTGCTCCTGTCCAGGCACTTTACAGCCACTGGTCCATGGTGATAGTTCGTGTAGAGGCGGTCTACGCCTAAACCCTAAACCCCTAAACCCTAAACCCTAAACCCTAAACCCCTAAACCCCTAAACCCCTAAACCCTAAACCCTAAACCCTAAACCCTAAACCCTAAACCCTAAACCCCTAAACCCCTAACCCCTAAACCCCTAAACCCCTAAACTCCTAAACCCTAAACCCTAAACCCCTAAACCCCTAAACCCTAAACCGGCTTGAGAGGCATTGGGGAGGCGCGGCGCTGGTCTGAGAGCCTCGGCGTTCTGGCATCCGGCAGAGCCCGAGGCTCCTCGGTGCCTGAGTTCCCAGAGCCTCCAAAACCCCTTAATTAAGGAATATACCTTAAATCATATAAGGGATCCTACTATAATTTAAGGTATATTCCTTAATCAAGGGGTTTTGGAGGCTCTGAGTTTTTGTTGGCTGTTCTGTTAGTTTAAGGGTTGTTAGGTTTTAGGGGTTATAGGGCTTAGGGTTTTAGGGTTTGAGTGTTTTAATCTAGGGTTTAGGGGTTAGGGTTTAGGGTTTAGGTAAGGGTTTATAGGGTTTTGGGTTTTGTGTTTACGGTGTCGGGTTCGGGATCCCGGCTCCTGGGCCAGAAGACATGCTGCATAAGGCATTTCCCAGCCCCCCGGGAGGATCCAAAAAGTAGATCCCTTAATGGGGGCTCCTATAAACTACCCTTAGTATTATAGCGCCCCAAATTAGGGGATCTACTTTTTAGATCCTCCCGGGGGTCTGGGTTAACTACCGGTTACAGTAGAAGCCAGAAAGTTGGAATATCATTATCGTAACCCCTTTAAGGTAAATTATAGGGGATCCTACCATTCATCCATATTGCAATGGGGGTTATGGAGTTTTCGGTGGATTCCCCACAAGACTTTGCTGCTTTTTACCTTTCGAGAGGAATGGCAGTTTGCGCATGGTTTGGAGCCCAAGTTTGGTGCTTCGGCAGTGGAGCGGATCGACCAAGGTTGTCCTCTTCGGCGATGAACTTTACATGTTCCCGCAAGTGACATGCTTACAGCAGCCTAAAACTCGAAGCCGGAAACCTCAGTCCTAAACCCGATAAGCACTAAATCTTTACACCTACCTGAAACCCAAAACTACAACCTACTTCTCTCAAGCCTTGTAAAGTTCCTTAAGCGAATATGTTAAGGCAGGGGATGCAGGGGGGGAGGGTAGGGTAGGGAGGCCCAGATCGTTTCGTAGTGCGCAACACCACCAAATCGTTTGAAGTTAAAAGAACCCTAAACCATTTTGTATGTAAAGAACCTTGGACCATGTCTGTCACTAAAGCCCTCGACATCCTGGGACCAATCGACTATTTGCCCGTGTTTCTCACTCAACCCGGTTGAGGATCTGGGTAGGCCTTATGCATATTTCCCTTATTGGGTTTATACGGACCCTATATATGCGAATATTTTTCAAACGGCTCTAAAGGCCAGCCCGGGGATTAGGGTTTAGGGTTTAGGTTTTTAAACCGACCGACTCAGGACTGGAGCCTAACTTCGCCCTTGCCCTGGAGTGTTTGAATACCTGGACCCTGAAAAACCTACCCATTTCAAGGACTTATATAAGAAAATCAGAATAAGGAGCCCTAAAAGGGTAGGCTCTTTAGGGTCCAGGTAAGGGTTCAGCGAGGGGGCTTAGAGGGTTTTACAGGGTGTTACATAAGTTCGAACACTGTTTTTGGTGTTTGCTCAGCCATGCTTAGCGGTTAGGGCTTAGTGCGGTTGCTTTGGGTGCGCATCGTAGAGTTCCGGGTGACGTCAGTTGTTCGGGCTTTAACTTCCCAAAGGGCCCTACTTCCCTACATGTTTTAAAGTAGGCCTGCTTTAATCGGAATTGCAAGTTTGCTTTGGGTAGGTTTCTCCAGAAATTTCTCCATGTAAGTACTTAAGACCCTTGGAGCTTTGAGTAGAGTTAGCGTCATGAAGGGCTGAGGCGGGGCTCGTTACTTGGACGATCGCCGGACGTAGTAAGTTTATAGAGTTATAAGTATCAGAACCCCAATTAGAACCTCACTCAGGGGACTTACATCTCTACTTCGTACCTACTTACGAAGTCGCCCGGCCCTTGAACTAGTGATTAGTACTGGAAGGCCTTGTGTATATCTATGTTATCAGGCTTCATGAAGGGCTTAGCATGGTTGAGTAGAGTTGTGGGCTTAAGATGTGTTGAGGTTTTGGGTTGCACGGATCCCTCTAAGGGGGTTTATGGCTGTCGTAGAACTTCATATACTATAGAAGCCTAAATAATTACAATAGTATTCCTTAGGGTTCCTTATTATAACTTTAGCATGAAAGAGCCCAAAACCCTATTCTAATTATTCAGGCCCCTATCGTAGACATTTGGCCTCCTTGACTTGATTGGACTGGTTAAGACCCTGTAAGACTGCAGGATATTCTATAGGGGCCTTGATAATTAGAATAGGGTTTTGGTGCCCATGATAGTATAGTTATAATAAGGAACCCCTAAAAGAGTACTGGTAATTATGTAGCCCCCTATATGGGAGTTTCCGAAAATAGAGCACCCTAATATAGTACCCTAAATAGTAGGATCCTTATTATAAGGTCCCCAAAATAAGGTACCCCTAATTTCGGAAACTACCATATTTTCAGACTACACCTAAAGCACTGCCCGAGGTCTCAATCAGCGCAGGGGTTGGCAGCTCAGCTCAGGGGGTTGGGACGAGGGGGTGCTTGGAGGGTCGGGGGACTTTGTGACTGGTTATTTGAGGGACTTATAGGTACCATAACCCCAATTAGGGTCCCTTTTAGGGTACTTATAAGTCTACTTACTAAGTCCCCCGACCCTCCAAGTGGGGGATGGAAACCGTGACGGTTTAGGGTTTAGGGGCTTGGGGTTTAGGGGTTTAGGGGTTGAGGGTTCAGGGTGGGGGTCGAGGTTCCGAGAATACCGTCGTAAGGATCCCAAGTTGGGGTAGAAGGACTCCCTAAACCCTTAACCTCTAAACCCCTAAACCCCAACCTCTCCAAACTTCTCTAATGTAGGAACCTCATTGAGAAACCCCCCAGGTAATTAACTGGATTCTTCAAACTCTACCTTAGGCAAGCGTGACTTATATGATCACTTTGTCATCGCCTTTTGGGCCCCTGCGGAGTTCAAGTTGTCAGAAACTTCAGCCCAGGCGTGTGTCATGAATGTTTTTGTCGGATGTTCTGTTTTGAGGGGGTTGGAGGCAAGATGAAGGTATGTCTTGGGTACGGCCCCCACTCAGTAATAGTTGAATAATATGGATTATATAGACAAATTAGGACCTTTATAGTAGCCTTATTATAGACTCTTACTGTAAGGGGACAGTACCTAAGGTATGTCCCCCACGGGGCACTAGGCGGAAGAGGCAGCTGTGGCACGCATCAGCGAAATCGAAGATCTGTTTCTGTGAAGGGCAAGCGTTTCTGAATCGGGGTCTACATTGGGTACGGCCCCCACTCAGTAATAGTTGAGTAATTTTCATAGTATAGATCTATTAGGAACTGAATAGTAGCCCTATTATAGACCCTTACTGTATGGGGGCAGAACCTAAGGTCTACATGACCTCAATCCCTAGTCCTTGAGTGCCTCGCCCTTTCTTGGAGGGCAGGGTGGACTTAGCAAGTATAGGTGTAAGTAGGCATTCAAAAGAATGCTCTTCCACAGGCGGCCTGTTTGGCGTCATCCTAAACCCCAAACCCCTCGACCCTAAACCCTACTCTACCTCGACAGCATCATAACTGGGCCCAGGAGTTTGCAAAGCTAGGGGCTAGCAAGTACTATAGGGCCCTAAATAATTATCAATTATACTTTGGTGGGTTCGTGTTATTATTAGTTAATTATTAGTATGTTTTATTATTGGTTATCTGATTATCATTACTCAGCATGCACTGTGGGCAAATTAGCTTAGACAGGCGGATCTTTTTGTTTGGATTGACAACAAGGCACCGAGATTCTCGCAGCAAAAGGCTTTCACTCGGAAAGTCGAGGGTGCCCTGACCAGGTTCCTGAGTAGTACCCTTTTGCCCTTTCTGTTCCAGGGCCCCTTTATTAAAACTGAGTATTTCGAAGAAGTGTACCTTAGAAGCTGCCCCCACCCTGTAATAGTGACTATTAGGACTATATTAGGGCCCTATTATATTCCTATAAAACCACTATTACAGGGTGGGAGCCCCTTCTAAATTCTACCCATCAAGGCCCCTCCTAGAGAGCCCTTAAAATAATTACCTATAATATTGTAGGGGTTCCTTCTTATTTTGATCGTATTATGGGCCCACAAACCCTATTCTGATTATTAAGGCCCCCTACATTACCCCGAAAAATCGTGGGACTTTGTGGGTAAGGTAGGAAGTACCCTTGTTGGGGTTATAAGTAGTTATGGCGATAGTTTCCTTGTTTACAACCCTGGGTACTAAGTCCCATAACCCTCTGAGTATAGTACTCTGTGGGTTCATGTACCCAAATATTATAAAAGGCACCCCTTAAAGAAACCCTCTTTGGGTGCTGGGGGTAATGGCCCTAAAATAGTACCCTAAATAGTAGGACCCTTCATAGAAGGACCCCCCAAAAAATCCTGTACTAGGTTCCTGAGTAGTACCCTTTTGCCCTTGTTGTAGGGCCCCTTTATCAAAACTACTGAACATTAGGAATAAAGGCACCTTTATTCTACAGGGTCTACTCAGGAACCTAGCGTATGGTTCTCCACGAGGTCGACGGTTGCGGTGCATCGTCACGCTGGCAGTCAGCAGAGGTCCAGCTGGCAGGTTTGGGGATTACTATAGGGGCCTAAATAATTACCAATACAATTTTGGTGGTTCCTTTTTGTATATAGTATACTGGGCCCCGAAACCCTATTCCAATTATTAAGGCTCCTTTTTAGGATTTAGGGCTCTCTGTTTTAGGTTTGGGGTTTGAGGGTGTTAGGGTATAGGGTTTTCCGTTTTGGATTTTGGGTATGGGTTTAGCGATCAGTTTGCAGGATAAATATCGGAGTTACCTGAGCCTTAAACCGAGGAAGTTTCTGGGGTTCTAAAGGGGCTAATATAGGGGCCGTAACGATTACCTATACTATTTTGGGGGTTCCTTATTATAATTGTAGTATAATGATGGGCCCCAAAACAATATTCTAGTTATTAAGGCCTCTGTATTACAGGGTTTAGGTAGTCCGGTAGCATGTAGAAGGTTGAGGGCCTTGGGTTATAGTAGGGCGTTCTTCAAGTCACATTTGGCCTTGAATTAGATTTTCTACAGTATCAAGGGACTGGAGCCTGTTACTGGGATTTCACAAGGATGAAATTAGGCGGCATTTCTGAGTTGTGTATCAGGGTTTAGAACGCTTATGTGGGTCTTAAACGCAGTTGTGGGGGAGGGGGAGTGGAGGCGGGCCTTATGGAGAAAGCCCTCAACCTTGCACATGCTACCCTGTAATACAGAGGCCTTAATAACTTGAATAGGGTTTTGAGGCCCATTGTACTATAGTTATGATAAGGAACCCCCGAGGCCCCTTTTTTTTAGCCCCTTTGAAAACCCTTATAGAACCCTGAGCAAGTTTCTTACTTCGAACCTAAAGCCTTGAATCCTTCAAAGCCTAATGAAACCTCAGTACTGAGCGGACCCGAATCGAGCGCTTAGAGGACCTTATGTGAAACCCGAAGAACCCTCAGAAAGGAGCGCCACTCTGCAAGGCCAGATGGCTGAAAGCTTTTAAGAAGCTTTGAAAACACTTCAATAAAAGCCATAAAGCCCTTACACACCCTTTGAATGAAACTGCTTTACGAAAGGAGATCCGAACCCACCTAAAGCACCTTTGCAGAGCCCAGCAAAATCTTACAAAACCCCACAAGACATAAACCCCCCTAATATAGAGGCCTTAATAATTACCTGTACTACTGTGGGGGTTCCTTAGTATGATTCTAGTATAATACACCCCAAAACCCTATTCTAACTATTAAGGCCCCCATACTAAACCCCCATAATACCCTTCTAGTAATCCTTATAGACCCCTTTCAAAGGAACCTGAAAGGAACCCTATTCCCAAAGGCTCCATGTAGCCATATAGTAGGTACTTAGGCCTTAAAGTACCCATATAGGGACCCCTTTAAGGCCTAAGTACTTACTATATGGATACATGGAGTCTTAGGGATTCGAATTATTAAGGCCGCTATATTACAAGCCCAAGTACCAGGCCCAGAGCCTTCGACTCCGAGCGCTCGAAACATTGATATAATATAAAGGGAACTCCAGAAAGTTGGAATATGGATTAATGGTAGGATCCCCTATAATTTACCCAAAAATTCGGGGCACCTTGTTTTGGGGCCCTTATAATAAGGATCCTACTATTTAGGGTACTACATTAGGGTCCCCTATTTTCGGAAACTCCCATAAAGGGGCCTGGTTACTTGGAGGGTCGGGGGACTTAGTAAGTAGGTGGTAAGTAGACTTATAAGTACCCTAAAAGGGACGCTAATTGGGGATATGGTACTTAGAAGTCCCTATAATAACCAGTTACTAAGTCCCCCGACCCTCCAAGCTTGATATAGGGGCTTGATTAATTACCAACACTATTGTGGGGGTTCCTTTAAGGGTTCCTTTAAACGGAGTCTACAAGGGCTACTAAAAGGGGTCTTATGGGGTTCAGTATACGGGCCTAAATAATTACCTATGCCATTTTGGGGGTTCTTTGAAAGGGATCTATAAGGATTATTGTAAGGGATCTATAAGGGTACTACTTCAGGGGCTTAAATGAATACCTATACTATTTTTGGGTGGTTTCCTGATGATAATTATAGTATAATGGGCCCCAAAACCCCATTCTGATTAATTATCAAGGCCCCTATATTAAACCATCCTACTTGGGGACTTAGTAAGTAAGGCTTCAGGGCTTAAGGCTTCAGGCGTTAAGGTTTCAGAGCTTTAGGATTTAAGGCTTTAGGGCTTAAGGTTTCATATTTACAACGCAAGGAAAAGCTTATAAAACCCTAAGAGAGGAACCGTAAACCCTAAACCTATAACCCACTGTAGAAGAATATGGCACTTAGTACGTAAGGTTATGAATGCCAAAATTGGAGTTATAAGAAATTCTAGGTAGTTCTCTTGTTTAACCTATTACGGCGTCCCATGATCCTGTCAGACTCTCAGTACCCTGAACCCTGAGCCCTTATGGTGCCGTTCTAGATCCCTTAAACCGACCCTTAAAATCCAGATACTAAGTCCCATCATGCTCTAAGTAGCTGCCTAAACCTCAAACCACAAAAAAACTGATAACCTGTATCCCTAAATCCCAAAACCCTATAAGCCCTATAACCATAAGTCGAAAAAACCCTAATCCAGGACCTCCTAATGAGTACCACGATCCTCTCAGTAAGACAGTGCCTAAACTCCTAAAGCCTAAACCCTGAAAATCCCTAAGCTCTATAACCCTAAGCCCCATAACCCTATAAAAGCCTTAGGACAGGATCTCCTCCAAAAGCACAAACCCTTGCAGAACCCGATAAAAATCCCCAAGAGAGAGGATCCTTACCCTCCCGAAACCTTAAACCCTCAAACGAAATGGGAGTTTCCGAAAAGAAGGGGGTACCTTATTTTGGGGTCCTTATAATAAGGATCCTACTATTTAGGGTACTATATTATAGGGTCCCCCATTTTTGGAAACTCCCACATAGCCCTAAACCCTAAACCCCAAACCCCAAAACCCTAAACCCCAAACCCCAAAACCCTAAACCCCAAACCCCAAAACCCTAAACCCTAAACCCCTAAACCCTAAACCCCTAAACCCTAAACCCTAAACCCCCAAACACTAAACCCGACCCTCCAAGTAAGACAGGATCTCCTCCGCTCTGCCCGCCGTGCTGGCCTTCGCCTGGCCACCGCGGCCGTCTCCGCAGCTCTTTCGGGGCTCGAAGGCCAGACCCAGACCTTCCAAAACCCATTAATTAAGGAATATACCTTAAATTAGAGTAGGATCCTTAATATGATTTAAGGTATATTCCTTAATTAAGGGGCTCGAAGGCCAGATTTACCATGGCTCCTTACAGTAGAAGCCAGAAAGTTGGAATATGATTATCCTAACCGTTCTATGGTAAATTATAAGGTATCCTACCCTGAAACCATACTCCAACTTTCTGGAGTTCCGTTTAAGGGCTTATAGGATTTAGGGGATTAGGGTTTACGGGTTTAAGGTTTAGGGGGCTTATAGGGTTTAGGATCTAGGGCTCATCGTAGTACTATTTTTTCGTTTTTTCCTTTTGAGTCCCCCTACGAAAGCCGAATGGTGCGACAAAGGGCACCCTGATTATAAAGGGGCTACTGGTGAACCTGGATGGCAAAAAGCGAAAAAGGAGTGGTATGTGTTTAACACCCCTAGATTGCTTGAAGTATTATAAGGTTCGATAACATGTTACAGGTACTTTGGTTTCCTGTAGGAGTAGGGGTACTCATTTTTTTGACAGGGTTCGATAAAATGGGGTGTATCAGTGTTCTACAAGTAGTAGCAATTTCTACCCAAGAACGGTTTTACCATCCTGTAAAGTCCTGCTTAGAGGGCTTTACACACTTGCCTCTTGGGCGTTGTAGTTGTTGTTTCTGTTTCCTCCTTGGCTGTTGGTTCTACACGCAGGGTTTGAGTACGCTTGCTTTTGTGCCTCCTTAGTGTAATCTTTGGGCCTTCAGTTTGTTTTGGTCCCTGCTGCGTTTGGAAAGATATCTCCAACATATCTACTGGTGTTGCTTTCGTGCTAAAAGGAGTCGAGCATAAGGCTCGTGGTTACTTTAGGCTTATTATAATTATGGTATAATGGGCCCCAAAACCTATTCTAATTCTGAAGGCCCCTATATTACTTCGTCAGTCAGGTTGGATTGTGGTTCCGATTGCAGAGCTCTGCAATAGCTATCTTGGGTCCACCGTCAAAGCGGCACAGTGTCTTCGAGTAATACAAGCTGATGAGATTATCCAGGTTGTGCTCATTCCCAAGCCACGCTCTGAACATGCACCCGCATCCAGCCCCAAGTCCTGTCCTCAAAGAGTGTTCCTCAAAAAGGGTCTTCCAAGGGGACTTTTTCGAAATCTACGTGGCGGGTTTACAACTACTGGAGATACTCCGGCGCTCGAGGGAACCGGATACATTGGGTGCTTGCTGTTGACATACACGGTGTGCCAGCATGTGGTATAAGCAGTCCTGGATTCAACACGGTGTAACCTAAGTCCTCTGGATGGATCCAAAACTGGTCATTAATGGTATTCGGCGGCGGAGTCTTAGACGTTCTGCAAGTAATGGTATGCTGGTAGTTGTGTCAGTGCGGTAGTGACATTAGTAGTAGGTAGGAATAGGAGGAGAGCAGCGAATACAAATGTTGAGAATAGTTCTAGTGGAGACACCGACCGTGACACTTACCTTACAGCTTTCTCGCAGAGAGTCGTTGGGCATAAATTGCAGGTTCTCGGAACTCCCACGGCCAAAAGCATGTTCGTCCCTGTGCAGATGCTTGGGCGAGGGCAGTCAACCACCTCAGCGAGGTCGTGAGCGGGTGGTCTTTACGTTACAAGGGACGTAGTGTAAACTAGGCAGTCAAGACGAAGATGGCGCTTAGCTGCCACGACGGGAACGACGAGTATGATGGTGATGGCCATGATGGCGATGATGATGTTGACGATGCTATGTGCTGGGATGCAGCTGCTGTTGTTGGTCCTTCTGTCGGTGCTTATGAAGGTATGACGATGGTGGCGAGAATGCTGCTAATGACCATGGCCATAGCAGTGCTGGCGAGAATGATGGTAGAGCACTTGGACTTGGTGGCTATGGTGATGGTGATGTCGAGTTGATGCCTTTATGAGTCGCATGATGATGATGCCGTGCTGATGATGGTGACGACGATGATGATAGTGATGATGGCGAGGATATTGATGGTCATGAAGATGTTAGAGCTTCGCATGATGAGGTTCGCAGGGTGACAATGTTCTTTGATGAAAACGACAAAGAGACCCTACTTGGAAGGTCGGGGGACTTAGTAACTGGTTATTTTTAGGGACTTATAAGTACCATAACCCCAATTAGGGTCCCTTTTAGGGTACTTATAAGTCTACTTATTACCTACTTACTAAGTCCCCCGACCCTCCAAGTAGACCCTCCTTCCCCGAACCCTTGACCCTCGTTGCAGCATGCTCGTGGTCAAGCATCAGTGAGTGGAGTTGGAACAGAGCTGAGGTATTATTAAGGCCCCTATATCATAGTGCCATTGTGGTATCCCTTATAGTAAATAGCCTTCATAGACCCCCGTAAAGGGAACCCTTGTGTCAGCCAGCTTTCCACCGTGCAATGCTTCGCGTCTGGAGAGCTTCGGGGCAAGAGGTGGCCGCCATAAGTGCCAAAGACTTCATTAACGCATATGCCGTGAAGCAGCATTTGTCACGACTGCACGGCCTCCCGATATGTTTGCAACAACTTGTGATTGCCGGCAAGATCTTAGATGATGGTGATAAAATGCATGCGGGCATGGATTTGCAGTTGGTGCTCCTGACCATCTCCGGCCACTCTCAAAGGTTGACTGATGCTGCTATCGAGCATCTGGCAGATGCTTCGCGACACAATCAAGTTGATGCGGTCCGCTGTTTGCTCGAAGCCGGTATTGGTGATTATGTGGACCGCCGGGACGGTGGCGGCAAGACAGTCCTAATGCATGCCTCTGAATGCGGCCACTTGGAGGTTGCACGTTTGCTGGTGGAAGCTGGTGCTGCAAAGGATTTGGCAGACCGGTTCGGCAGGACTGCCCTCATGCTCGCAGCTATGAGCGGTCGATTGGAGACTGCACGATTCCTGGTGGAGGCTGGTGCTGACACGGATTCCTTCAACAATGACGGCTGGACAGCCCTGATCTACGCATCTGTCAGTGGTCGCTCAGGAATTGCCCGTGTGCTGCTGGGCGCTGGTGCTGCTAAAGATGCCCGGGACGGGCACGGGTGTACAGCCCTAACACTAGCATCTCGAAGTGGTCACTTTCAAGTTGTGCGTTTGCTAGTGGAAGCCGGTGCTGGTAAAGACTGCCGGGACCGTGGCGGAAAGACCGCACTAATGCATGCCTCTGAGCACGGCCACTTGGAGGTTGCACGATTGCTGGTGGCAGCTGGTGCTGATAAAGACAGTTCGAACAATGACGGCAAGACAGCCCTGATGTATGCATCTGTGAGTGGTCATTTGGGTGTTGTCCGTTTGCTGCTGAAAGCTGATGCTGGCAAAGATGCCCGGGACAGGCGCGGTTTCACGGCCCTGCTGTTCGCGTCTGAGTGTGGCCACTTGGAGGTTGCACGCTTGCTGCTGGAAGCCGGTGCTACCAAGGATTTCGAAGACAATGCTGGAAAGACGGCCTTAATGCGGGCATCTGAGAGCGGCCACTTGGAGATTGTCTGTTTGCTGCTGACAGGGCGGTGCAGCCCTGCCCCCTTAGTCCTCAGTTTCGGTTCAAAACCTGAGCATCCCCTGGCCCCCCGCCGTGCTCGGTGGGACCGTGCCCCACAGGCCCCCAGAAACTCGGACCGCCAATATCCCGTGCTCCACGGCAGAACAGCCCCAACAGCCCCAGCGCTCGCAGAGTCCGACTTGGCGGCGTATGTAGAGCATGTTCTGCGGGAGTGTGCCCTCCGGCGCGAGGGAACAGCCCTAAGCACAGAAGAGTCTCAGACGGTGGCGCTGGTTGAGCGTACTCTTCGGCAGTGGGTTCTGAGTCACGGCAGGACAGCTCCAACAGCCCCAGAGCTTTCAGAGTCGGACATGGTGGCGTGCGCAGAGCATGTTCCGCACTTGGAGGATGAGGAGACTTAGTACGTAAGGCTATAAGTACCCTAAGTGGGGTTATCAGTAACTACAACTATATAGTTACCCTATTCATTTCCCCAATCACCAAGTCCCATGATCCTCCAAGCAGGAGCCTGTCCTCGGACGAGAGAGAAGAGCTCCACGGACAGAAGAGTCAGCGACGACGGCTGAGCGTGCTCGTCGGAAGCTTGCCGTTGTTCTGGTTGGCTCCTAGGACTTTAGCTTTTTGGGTTTCTATATGAACTATACTAAGGCGGCTACAAGTTTAATTTTTGTAGTTTCTATATGAACAATAATAAGAAGGAGGGGTTCAGAAGTCAACCAAGGAATCGGAAGTTGCTTCACACTCTGATGCCGCAAACCCCTACAAACTCCCGGAGGACGGAAAGGCAGCTCCCTAGCAGCTGAGTGAGTGCACTTTAGACTTTTGGGATAATACGACTGGGCTTTGGAGTACCATACTTTAATACTTTTTTCTTTATGGAACCATTATGAAATAAAAGTTTATACTTTTTCTGCCTGGTCACTTAAAAGCCCAGATGATCTCCTATCGAACTAACAGCCCTAAATCCTAAACCGCTTTTCTGGCTTGTATGAACTCAGCAATGAAGGCCTTGATGATCGCATCTGAGTACGGTAGCGAGGACCTCGGTGGTTTGCTTCGGCGAGCTCGTGCAGAGAACCACTGCAGGGGTCGGAAGAATAATTTAACTAACATCAACCCGTGTAGATAGCAATGTGCACTGTAATAAGTGTAATTATCTACCAGAAAATGGCATTTATGGGTATCCTCAGTCCCTGGCGGGTGCTTAATGTGCATTGAAGCAGGTTATAAAATACGATGGTTACGCCAAGGAGCTTATAGCTCCGTTCACATGACGTGCTTTTCCTGGGAATATAGCGTGTTGTGCATGAATAAATACGTATATACACATACATACCGACATACATGCATGCATGCATGTGTGCATGTTACATCATTAATTAGATGCAACGATGTGTGTGTGTGTATATATATATATATATATATATTCGTACATGCTATATGTGTTATGCAGATCCCGCAAAGATTGAAAAGTTACACTTTTGTTGGAAAAAACTGCAGTCAGGCAAGTCAGCACTACTAAGTCAGAGATAGCAGGAAGTTTCCGACGAAGCGTGCAGGTGTTAAGGGTTTCGTGTTTAGGGTTCAGGGGGCTGAGGAAATCCATCATGCCCTCAACCCAGAGACTCCACTATGCTTGAATCAAGGAATATTCCTTAAATCATAATAGGGATCCTACTCATACTATAATTTAAGGTATATTTCCTCAATTAACTAAGGGCTATCGGAGTCTCTGGGAACCCCAAACCATACCCCTGGCAAGTAGATCCCGCTCAAGGGCTGACGTATCGTACCTGTAGTAGCGTAATATAGGAGCCTCAGTAGTTACCACTACTATTGTGGGGGGTTCCCTATTTTTGTCAAATCTACCCCAAAACCCTGTTCTAGTTATAAAGGCCCCTACATTAAAGACTCAGATTTGGTGATCTATGGTTTCGATCATCCAGGGGGTGTGGGCAAATACAACAGCCCTAAGCCCTACAAACCCTCAGCCCCAGACCGTAGCCCGAAACCTCTGACCTTCATCCCTTTCTGTCTCGCATAGCGGGTCACGGCAAAGATACTTGGAGTCTCCTGGGAGCTTCGTAAAATAAGGTTAGAGGTACTTCAACTGGTGTCATAAGGCAACATCTGAAGCTATCGTTACGTTATGGAAACCCTAAACCCCCGAACCCTAACCCGAAACATATTCCCATGATCCTCCAGATAGGCCAAAGAACCCCCTGGTGACTGGTTGATTGCAGCACTACAGGGGCCTCAATAATTACCGATACTATTGTTAGGGTTCCTGAGTATGAGTATAGTTTACTGGGCCCCAAAATCCTATTCTAATTCTTAAGGCCCCTATATTAAAACCCTTCTGGACGCGCTGCCATGCTTCGTGTCTGGACACCGTCTGGACTACAGCTGGCCACAATCAGTTCAGAAGAGTTCACGGACGCATGTGCTGTGAAAAAGCACTTGCGTGAAACACATGGCTTCCCGATGTATCTGCAGCAACTCTTGCATGACAGCGAGCTCTTGACTGATGACACCAGGATGGATGCAAACATGGATCTGCAATTGCTACTGCTGACCATCGCCGGCGATACGCAAAGGGGCATTGCTGCACGTATAGCCGCTGAGCATTTGGTAGATGCTGCTCGACGAAATCAAGTTGATGTGGTCCGCTGCTTGCTAGAAGCTTGTGCTGACAAAGATTGCAGGTGTATCGACGACAAGACGGCCCTGATGTGCGCATCCGAATGTGGCCACGTGGAGGTTGCACGTGTGCTGCTGGAAGCCGGTGCTCGCAAAGATTGCACAGACCTTGACGGAAAGACAGCCTTAATGCGCGCATCTGAGGGCGGCCACTTGGAGATTGCACGTTTGCTAGTGGAAGCCAGTGCTGATGCAAGCTTCTGGGACAGTGACGACAAGAGCGCTCTAATGTACGCGTCTCGAGGTGGTCACTTGGAGATTGCACGCTTGCTAGTGGAAGGTGGTGCTGAGGAAGAACCGCGGCCTTTGCAGTGCGAGCGAGCCCTAATGCTCGCATCTGAGGGTGGTCATTCGGAAATTGCACGATTGTTGCTAGAAGCCGGTGCTGACAAAGATTGGCGGGGGCATGATGGCATGACAGCCCTGATGTTCGCATCTCAGTATGGTCGCGTGGAGGTTGCACGTTTGCTACTGGAAGCTGGTGCCGACAAAGATTCTTGGGATCGCGACGGCATGACAGCCTTACTGTTCGCAACCAGGGGAGGTCACTGGGAAGTGGCACGTTTGCTGCTGGAAGCTGGTGCTGGCAACGACTGCCGGGCTCAATATCCCACATCTCTGAGTGGCACATCGCATGCGACCCCTGCTTAAAGCCTTCACAGGACTTATTGAGAGGAGGGTGTATACATTCAGAGGTCCACAATACTGCAGGCTGGTGGCGAAGAGTCCGCATCCTCTTGATTCGTGCTACATGTACCTTCAACTAGGATGATCCGAATTACCATCCTACTTATGACTTGCTGTGTCTGTAAAAACTCCATAGGTAGTATTTCCCTGCGGCACTTGGCGCTATTTGGTGTCTGTGCTGTGACGATAGCCACGTCGCTCGCATCTCAAGGCGCACAAAGACCGGGCAATAAGCCGTGGCTCTTGGAATGCAACTCCCTAAATGCTAGAGGCTCGACAGGCTCGAATGGCCAAATCACACTGGTTTAGGCTCCCTCAAAATCGATCAGAGTAAATATCGCATTTTCCGGCTAAACGCTGCTTGTTTCAGTGTTTGAATTGTCTCTGAGGGGCTTAGCAAGCAGCTTTTCATACCTCCAGATATTATAATCGTTGCTAACCCCTACTAAACCCTAAATCTTAATCCCACACCTTCGAAGCATGTATTGATGAACTGATGGTCGTATTGGGGTTTAGTTTTTTTAGGTTTGGAGGTTCAGGGGTTTTGAGGTGGTTCAGTTGTGCTCTCGTGTGTTATTCTTCGGGGACTGACATGTAAGATGCCGCTTTTGCGCTCCGTATTTACGGCTCCTTGCTATCTGTTGTGTTTGCTGTGTTGGGTTATGGCTTTGCTTTATTAGGGTCCCTAAACCCTAAACCCCGAAATCCTAAACCCTAAACCCCTATTACAAACCCCGAACCCTAAACCTTTATAGGGATTATTAACAAAGATCCTCTTAGCTTAGCATTTCACGCGACTAGGCGGTTCAGAAAGTCAAAAGAATAACATTCAACCTTGGGGCTTTTGTAGTATATAAGGGGTTTAGGGTTTAGGATCTATAGTCGGTGTTTGTAAAAGGCGTGAACCTTTTAGAGGTCGTTGTTGAAGAAGAGAGTATATATCCCCAGACCCTAAAACCTACTTCTGCCTGAACTCCAGCATCCTAAATCCCACATCCTAAAACCCCAAACCCTGAGCCCAAACTAAAACCAACTTCCCTAAAATGTAGACTGGGGTTCTGGGTTGAGAGTCTGCGGGGGGCTTCTTTCCGAAAACGAGCCTTTCTGACCCGCATACAGGAGACGCCAGAAAGCTGGAACATCGTTAACCTCATGCCCTAACTTAAGGTAAAATTTACAGTAGACGCCAGAAAGTTGGAACATGGTTTTAGGAGGATTAGTGCTAGGATCCCTTTTGCTTTACCTTCTAGGACCCAGAGTAGGCCCTTATTCCCTTTTTTAGGGTTAAGGTTCCCCTATAACCCCCTTTAACCCAAAAAGGGCACCCTTTTTATTCCTAGGTTACTCTTGGGTCTAGCCTTAACGGCATGAGGAACCCTAAACCCTAAACCCTAAACCCTAATGATGTTCCAACTTTCTGGCTTCTACTCTAGGGGATCTCAGAGTCTCAGCGCTACTCATCCCTAGTCTATGTTCCAACTTTCTGGGGTTCAGTACCCAGACCTTCCAAAAACCCTTATTTAAGGAATATACCTTAAATCATATTAAGGGTCCTACTCTAATTTAAGGTATATTCCTTAATTAATGGGTTTTGGAAGGTCTGGGCATATTGTGCTTCACCATACAAGGGTTTCGGGGTGTCTGCTTGGGTTCAAGGTACAAGCCCTGCGGCCTTGCTGTAGCTGATATCTACCTTGAGCCGTGAAGGCGCAGAACCCATCAGGGAGTTTCCGAAAACAGGGGACCCTAATACAGTACCCAAAATAGTATTATCATTATTATAAGGCTCCCAAAATAAGGTACCCTTAATTTTGGGAGACTCCCATCAGAGTTCCCTAAAGCCGAAGCACGAAACCCTCAACCTTAAACCCCTACTACCGTAACCCCAATTTAGGGTTCCTTCTAGGGTACTTATAAGTCAGCTTATACTACCTACTACTTACTAAGTCTCCCGACCCTCCAAGTATGCTGCTCAGACGTCTCATAGTCATTAGCATTGGGCAGTCAAGGTATGCTAGAGCAAGCAGACCATATAACATAGGGGCCTCAATAGTTACCAATACTATTGTGGGGGGGGGTTCCTCATTATACGTATAGTTTAATGGGCACCAAGACCCTATTCTAATTATTAAGGCTCCTGTACTAAATCTTTATAATGGCCCTTCAAGTAACCTTACAAGGGAACCCTATTGTAAAAATTAAGGCCCTTACATTAGGAGCCCTGGGCATACCCTTAACGCTCGTTCGGGTGTCGGGTTACCGCAGAAGCCTAAGTAAAGAGTAACTAAAATATGGGAGTTTTCGAAAATAGAGTGTACTTTGTTTTGGGGTCTTCGTAATAAGGTTCCTACTATTTAGGGCACTATATTAGGCCCCCTATTTTCGGAAGCCCCCATATGATTCCCTTCTGGGACCCTATATAATCATACTACAACTTGCCCCAAAGCCCTATTCTAATCATTAAGGCCCCTATATACCCTAAACTCTTGTAGCAGCTCTTGCAGAACCCAAGGAGCTTTGAAAAGGAGCCCTGTTCTAATCATCAAGGCCTTAGATACGAGGCTCCGGCCGGTTCTCAGACCCTGACCTTTTGGCAGGTCGATCAGCGCGGTATGGACCAGGAGGTTGCTTGGCCAGTATTGCCATTATTTCTACTACTACTACTACTACTACTACTTCTTCTTCTACGGATTCTACGGTTACTATTATGTACTACCACTACCCCGAAACAAACACCCTGCAAATCAGTACCCGAAGGCTCAACATAGCTCCTTAGAGCCTTGGGGTTACAAATCCGCAGATGAAACCCTAAACCCTAAACCCATGTCTGTTCCTCACTAGCTTGGGGTTTAGGCCGGAATCCAGTATAAACCTCTGTAGGATCTCTTTTTTGATATATATATGCCACCAGTATGGAAGTGGGCCACAAAAGACCATCTTTGTTGTGGTTTTGGGCACCTAATGCTAGAATGCTCGCTGTACGTAATTCTTACTGCAGGTTTCTGTCAGTGAGCAGCAAGGGCAGGATAGTATCTAGAACAGTACATGAGTGTAAATTGGCTGCCCGATGCCAAATGTTTCCGCTTTCCCGCTCCCATGCCCTAAACTCGAAAGCCCATACCGTAATATAGGGCCCTTGATACTTAGAATAGGATGTTGGGGCACATGATGTTGTGTTCATAATAAGGAACCCCCCCAAAAATAGTATTGGTAATGATCTAGGCCTAGTTACATGAAGCCCTTAGTCGCAGTGTCTTTGTAGATGATCTGGTAAAAACCCAGAGAGCCCAATACCCCTTAATTAAGGAATATAGCTTACATCACAATCTGAAGCCCTATATAATTTAAGCCATATTCCTGAATTAAGGGGTATTGGGCTCTCTGGGAATGGAACCTGGGAACCCAAACCGCAAATGCAAGTTCAAGTGCTGAACCTGAAAACCCAAAGTTCATGCCGTGCGGGATTTCGATTGGGTATTGGAGTAGTGGCTTTGGAGAATCTATTGGGGGCTTGTCAGGAATATAAGTGTTCATATGTTTGTACCCGCTTGTGTCTTGGATCTGCCCTGTGAAACCTTTGACATGCCAAAGTTGAAAACTGGACCATGACTTAGTCCTAACCGCTTAAGTAAACCCGAAGCCCTTAAACCCTACTCGATTCTAACCCATAAACCCTAAACCCTACTGAACCCTAAACCCATAAATCCGAAAGCCTGTGCCTCTACCCCTCAACGACTTCTAGAGAACCCTGCACCCGAACCTCTAAACCCATGGTTTTCGCAGTCTGCATCCCAAAGCCCTACTTGAAGGATCATGGGACCTAGTAAGTAGGGCTATATGTGCCTAAATGGGTTCGGAAGTAATTAAAACTACACTTGCCTCGTCTAACAGCCGTACTTACTAAATCCCATCGCCAAATAAACCCCAAACCCTCAATCATCAATCCCTTTGCGTTCAGGCCAGCGCACACAGCCTGGCAGCGAGCATCTGCCAACAGAGCAGCCTAGAACTCAGAGTTATCCAAACCCAAACACAGGGTCCCAGGCACCTGTATCAGGGCTACCTACACGGTACTTACACGATCTACAATAGCTTCCTAGTAACCCAAATCCCTAACAGAAAGCCTTGCTACTATGTAAGTACTTAGGAAAATCCTCAGGGTATCTCCTTAGCATAGCCCTAAACTTCTTTTCGGGTTCCTTAACATGAATTCCTTCTATAAGCCCGTAAAGAGGTAGCTTGTTTGGTACTGAGGTACACTCTAATGGTGGGGTGTCTGATTTCGGGGTTCTGGGCAGGCTTCTTTCAAGGATTATCTAATCAAGAGGGCACAGTGCTATGTAGGTCCGAACAACTAGCAATAGTGTCCCTAGGATGCCCAGTAGTACCCTTATTCCCTTTTTGTAGTCCTAGGTTCCTTATAAAGTTACCCAATACCAAAAAGAGAGGCCTTTTTATTCTTAGGTTACTGGGTATCCTAGGTCCGCTTGTGGTGCCTATACACAGAAGATTGACCGAAACACGATTTTCACCGTTGAGGCTCCTACACTAAGCCCTGCTCCACATTGGTTCTTCAACAGCTAGCACTTCCGATCCGTGCTAACTGCTCTAGGTCTGTAAGGGATCTTCTACTAAGAGGAGCATGGGACTTAGTAACTAGGGTTATAAATAAGGTAACTATGTCATGATCCCAATTAAGTCCCATGATCATCCAAGTGGGGTTCGTTTTGCTTGGATCTGAGTCCCAGCAAGGCAAGGCCAAGCCAAGCCGAGCCATACTAACCCCTGGGTTTCGACCCAGAATTCCTCGAATCTAGGCTTTCTTTGCTCCTACTTGGAGGATTATGGGACTTGGTAAGTAAGGCTATAAGTACCCTAATTGGGAATATCATTATGTTTGCCTTTTTTATAACCCGAGTTACTGAGTCCCGTGATCCTCCACTGGGCTCTGGAGTACCATACTTTAATCTGTCTTAAGCTAGGACCCGGAGTAGGCCCTTATTCCCTTTTTTGGGGGTTCAGGTTCCCTTAGAAGCTCCTTTAAAGCAAAAAGGGCACCCTTTTTATCCCTGGGTTACTCTTGGGTCTAGTTAATCTGTCTTAAAAGAACCATTCTGCAATAAAACTTATACTTCTTTCTCTCTGTTTACTTAAAAGCCCAGTCCAAGCAGCCCAAGGCAACTGGGAGGGTTCGCTGGACATCTTCACCCGCGCGTCCGAGAGGTCGCCCCGAGAACGACAGCAGTTCCCTCGACCCAGACTTCAGATCCCAGAACTATACCTATAGATTAGGGTTGAGAGGACAGTTTTAGAGGACTAGCTTAAAAGGTTTGTAGGGTTTAGGGGGCTATTATAGGTTTATCCGGGAATACTTGAAAAGGACATAGACTAGGACCCAGAGTAGGCCCTTATTCCCTTTTTTAAGGTTCAGGTTCCCTTATAAGCCCCTTTAAACCAAAAAGGGCACCCTTTTTATCCCTAGGTTACTCTTTGGGTCCAGGAACTATACCTATAGATTAGGGTTTAGAGGCTTCAGGGTTTGTAGGGTTTATAGACCCTAAGCTGTAGCTCCTTGGTTTTTACAGTTTCTTAGTTCCCAAAACCGTTGAAGCTAGACTCCATTACAGTTCGAATCGAAACCCAGGGTATGCCTAAACCCCAAACCCTGAGACCCTAAACCCTAAACCACCAAATGCTGCAATCCCTAACCTCTAGCTGCGGTGTAGGGCTTTGTAGGGCTTGGAAAGCAACGTTCCTTTAGCCGCCAGCAAATTCTTGAGACATCCATATGGTGTTGCTTGGGAGTCAGTAAGGTTGTAAGTGCCCTCACTGTGATTACAAGTCTTTCTACGACAGGTACCTTGTTTATAAGCCGAGCTACTACGTCCCATGTTCCCGCACATGCACCTGAGTCCTAAACCCTGAAGCCCAACTCTACCCACCTCTCCACTGGCCCGCTGGAAAACTAGATTTCTCTCCCATTGCTCAAGTCACAAAACCAGACACCAAAGGAACACAAGGGCAGCATTAGGAACCCAGACGGCATACGGCTCTATAATCCCTTGTCAACATCTTGAACACTCATAAAGCATTTAGAATGAAAGCTATCCCGAGACTGCGACAATGAGAAGAGGATTTGGAGCGTTCAGGATTTAGTGGCGTACAGGGCGTGGAGTACAACAGGTTGTGCTTGAGGACGGGTGCTTTGGCTTTCATCTTCCCATGTTTCTCGGCATCCAAAGCCAAACCCGAAAGCCTACTTAAAAGTACATGGGGCAGCAGCCAAGGTTATAGGGTTCCCTAAAGGGCTCCTCGACGGATTCCTCGAAGTTGGTGGAAGTTTGGCAATTGGGAGGATCCACGTTCTGTGGATCCTGATAAGGCTCCACTAGCCTATATGGGTGGTTGTCAAAATTAGGGTCCCTTTTCGGTTCCTTATTCTGATACGGCACCTAATATTTAGGGTACCCAAAAAGAACCATAATTTTGACAACCACCCATATAGTATGTAGGTTAAAGGGGTTCTAAACAGGACTTTGAGACGTACAGTAGAAGCCCAAAAGTTGGAAACCCCATAGATTCATTCGTCGTTAACACTATTGCACAGGGAATCCCGGCACTAATACTCCTTAATCCGGTTCTCCAACTTGTTGGCTTTTTGGGGCTTACCATAAGTATATGCTAAATACTAGAGGTAATATATAGGCGCCTAAGTAATTATCAATACTATTCTGGTGGTTCCCTACCATGATTACAGTATAATGCGCCTCAGAACCCCACTCTGTTTCTTAAGGCCTCTAGATTACATGGAGCTTTAGAGAGTTTAAGGCTCCTACGCTTCAAGGTTTAGATTAGATTGAAGCCTCAGTTGAAGTTTCCTACTGGTATTGTTTTGTTCTCTGTTTTTGGTGGTCTTCCTATTGAAACTGAGTATGTAAAATCATGGAGGGCGCGCTAATAATCCAAGCGAGCCTAGCGCTCTTTCCAGAAACGTCCAAAGCACATTAACATTGCCCGTTCACCGGGATATTGCCTTGAAGCGGTGTATATTTAGGTGCTTTGTGGTAGGCCTTTAATTATGCGTTTACAGTTTATGTGATGGTCTTTGATATTTGCCTCTTCAACCTCACGGGTCAATGATGCTTCCTCCATCAAGCACCGAGGCCCAAAAGCCAGACGACTGTTTAGGCGGACTTGGACAACAACCTCGGAGAAAAAGACGCTCAATTGCCAACCATCGTCCTACCTGCTGCCTTGTTGCCCCTGGCTGCAATCTCGCCTGTGCATTAGCATTGTTGTCAAAACCGGATGGGGCGTGCGAAAAGCAATTATTACTGTAAGTTCACACGCCTGCAAACGCAAAAGTTGCAAGCCGTTCAGCTTGATATGACCTTGCCGTCAATGGTTGAAAGGTTGCGACAAGGAGATGTCGATTCAAGGGCATATGAATATATTCGAGCTTTTGATGTGGCCGTGAAGCTTCCAGTTTCCCAAACATCGTGTCAACGCAATGAAGGCAATTAACAGCCGATAGTTTGCAGCTAACGCACCGAGAGCATCGAGGCCGGACAACCGTAACTTTGGACAGCGTTGCAAAGGAAGTACAATAGCAGGATCGAAGCTTAAGCTTACGTGGTTGGACGTGTAGGGAGTTGTACATCACGCCCCCAAGATCCGCCAAGCTTCCACAAATGCAAGCACCATGCAAGCATTGATGATTGAATTCAGTCTTGTGGCAATGTACCCTCCAACCCGCACTACGGCCATCACGAGTGAGCGTGGTAACTTGGGCTTGTGCCCAAGGCTCCAATGTTAAGGCCATTTTATATACTATATATGGGCACTTGGAGCCTTAGGGAAATCGCGGTAATTGGCGTGAGTGCCCCGACCGACACTGCGGTTCCTTTTGCACCTGGGAGAAACCTTCGACCCCGAACCCATAACCGAAGACATGCTATATGTATGTGTGGATATGTATATATATATACATACATACATACATACATACATACATAAACGATTTATATACATACATATTCAGCCGGCAGCCTGAAACCAATATTTCGTAATTTCTTAAACCCTTCTCTAAAGCTCGTGCTATCTTGTGTTTTATGGACTTCAAGTCCATCTTATTATTGTTTCGAGTTTCGTTTCTATGGAATTCTCAAATGGGAGCACACCAGAGGTGCAATGGTAGGTAGGATTTGGGGGCTAGGTTTTTAAAATGGCTTGAGTTTTGCTGTTTCTGGTTTTTAGCTGCGAAGGTTCAAGGCTGTTTGGGGTTCTCAGGGTCATATTTGGGCCCTGTTTGGGGAGGGTCTTTCAAACTGCGGGATCTCAAGCCTCAAGCAGGCGTCTCCTGGATTCGGTCGTTTACAACGGCGCCATCAGCGCCTTCACAATGGGAGCGTCGCGCGACTGCGATATTTCCGGGTCCGGCCTGATGATGAAATTTCGGACAGCGCATAAGGTTTATGTGAGCTACTGGCAGTAGTATTTACAAACCTTTCCTAGCATGGCAACTTTAACACGCAGCAAATGTGGGTCACAATTTGAGTCACAATATAACGCCTCTAGGGAATCCGTTGTTCTGCCTTTAAATCAACAAGCCCTGAACTCACAGTCCGGACATCCTCTGCACTTCAATCTAGGGCTTAGGATTGGGGGTTGCAATTTTCGGGTTCACAGTTTAGAGACTTCGGCTACCAGGATTTAATTCAGCTTAGTGTGCTGGGGTGTGAAATTTGCATACAACAAGCTTTGGTATTCCATGGGCTCCTGCAGCATCCCCTACAAAAAGAACGCCCTCCGCTGAGCCTCAGAAGCCCATCCCAATATGGGTCCGGGTCATCTTACGTGAGTGGTAAAGTGGATACAATCCCATATAGTAGTTGTTGTATTCCTGCTTCTAGCTTCAGCACCAGTAGGTCATGTCAGCTGGCAGCTGTTGGTAGCAAGTGTTTCTATCTACCGAGCGTTTTTCTCCAAATCTTTTGGTTGAAGAATGTCCTTTAAATCACAATGGTGTTTTGCGTTTATGGGTTATCAGCTTTTCACGGCTATGAAAAAATGTTTTTTGTTTCTTTCAGAATACTGTTGTGATATCGAAGCCGTAGCCTTAGCAAAGCAAAATCCTACATCCCAACCCAAGCCCCGAAGACGACCCCAGACCCAAGATCCCAGTTTAATGCGTTTGTGCGTTTTTTGTTTGCGTTTTTTTGTTATGGTTTCTTTTACCTATAGGGATCTCCAGAATGGTTTTTGCCTACCTTGAAGGGTAGTAGAGCCCAGGTCATGTGTACGATTGTAGTAAGGACCTGCCATGTGGCTCAGTAGCTGGGTAGGTAACCCTTAACTTTTAACCTTTTAAGCTTTTGGAGTTTACGTAATCCTCTCATACCTGAAAATGTAAGCATTCGATTTTGGGGTTTATGTAATCCTATCACAATTGAAAATGTTACCTTTTTGGGGGCCAGGGTACTCAGCCCCTGAGGTGGTCACCTTGGCGTCAGCCCCCCGGATCCCTTGCAAATGGACTCTGTCCTAGTGACTGCCCCAAAAGACCCTTATTGAAAGAATAGACCAGTACTATAGGGGCCTCTATAGTTACCTATGCTATTGTGGGGGTCCTTATTATAGTTATAGTATAATGGACCCCAAACCCTATTCTAATTATTAAGGCAGCTATATTACGGTTCAGGCTGTAGGATTGTTTAATTTATTTCAGGGTTACTCTATAATCGGATGGCCATTATTCAATCTTAAGAGTGAAGGATGGAAAAGATAATCATCTAGCACAATTCTGAATGGGGTCTGGAGGCTCTGTCCACCTGCAGCGTGCAGACCCGAATCTCACTAACACCTTGCGTAAGTAGTAAGGTGGGTTACTGGGAGTTTGATTATACCGGGTTCAGTAGTCTATTCATGTCAATCAAGACTCGAAGTACATCATATAAATCCTGCACCGATACAACCCTAAACCTTATACATCCGTTAGTTCCTATAAGCTTCCCCCAACCCCTACACGCCAACCCCAAAGTGTAAAACAAACCTAAATCCTAGCCCTAAACACCACTTGGCCACTTGACCCTATAAGCCCTAAACACCCTAAGCCCTAATCAAACCCTAAAGATCCCCAACCCCTATAAACCCCAAGCGTTCCTAAGCCCTACACCCTAAGCCTCACTGAGCCCTGCAAACATTGGTGGCTGAGTAGGTACCCCTTTAACCTTTTGGGTTTAGTATCACCCTACCATAATTGAAAAGGTAGGGTACGCAGCCCCTAAGTCATAAGTACTTTAATTGGAGTTATCAGTCATTCCCAATCCCTTTCGACCCCAAACATCCCTAAGCCCCCCCTAAACCCTAAGCCCTAACCTCGAAGGTAGTGTGGAGGATACTCAGCCCCTCAGAATAGAAATAAGATAAAAGCCTTACCCTAAACCCTTCAACCCTGCACCCTCAACCCCGAAAGTTATATCTATGGCTGCTTTGTTTGACAACGCCAGGTACTAAGTCCCATGATCCTCCAAGTATTATGGGGGGTTTCCGAAAATAGAGATCCCTAATATAGTCCCCTAAAGAGTAGGATCCCTAATTACAAGGACCCCAGAAAGGGTACTCAGCCCCTTGGAAACCCTTCTGGGCCCACGAGAACAGCGCAGGTCTCCCTCTCGGGCACTGGATTTGCTGAGGCCTGGAACTGCCTAGGATTCTTCTTAGATAGCAAATGCGAGAACTTTAAACTTTTGTCATTACTTAGCAGCTCTACGGTTGATGACATAAATCCTGCATTGCCCTAAGGACCAAAAACTATGGGAATTATGGTATATTTCTGATTATGGGTAATGCAGGATTTATAACATCAACCGTATCTCAGAAAGTTTGATCTTTTGGGGATCCGGTTGTTGAAGAGGGGAGTCTCTACCTGGACCCCATACCCTAAACCCTGCACAGAGCCCGACACCGAAACCCGGAACATCGTTTAAGTAGTAGGCCTTGTCTTTACTTGGCTGGTTGTCAAAATTAGGGTTCCTTTTTGGCTCATTATTATAATGCGGCACCTCATATTTGGGGTACCCAAAGAAGGGACCCTATTCTTGACAACCACCCACTTGAAATCTTGCGGTGGTGGGGTTTTGGGAATTCAGCTGAGCCACGGAAAGTCAACGGAGGAATCCTCCACCCCCGGACCGCAGCAGCCCCAAAACCTAGCTTACACCCAACACCAAAAAGTAGAAAACGTTTCGTAGTAATTACTGTAGGGTTTAGGGTTTAGGGTTTATACGGCCGCAAGCTAGGCGATCTACTTTGTAGATCTTCCGGAGGATCTGAGTGTAGAATCGTACAGAACCCCCTTTCGATCTAGAGACCCGCACGCATAGGCCCGACTCCAGACAGATGCATCCCAAAAAACCCGGAGTTTCACAATGCAGGGGCGTACTATAGGGGCCTTAATTATTAGAATAGGGTTTTGGAGAGCATTATATCATAGTTGTAGTATAGGTAATTATTAAGGCCTCTATAGTACAAAGCGGATCTAGAAGGACGGGTAGGGGTTTAGAGTTACAGGTCTTGGGGTAGGTTAGGATTTGAGGCCTTGATGCTTGTGGCATAGCATGGGGGCCTCAACACTTACCACATCCTTCCTTAGGGTTCCTCTATATATATATATACACATACATGTGCATAGATCGTACATATATATATGTATACATATATATGTACACACATTTTCCTTCTTTGTTTTTACCAGTATACTAGAAGATGCATCAAAATCCTAATGCTTATCAAGGTACAGTAGAACCCTTGTTCCTCACCCTCATAGAGACATATAGTTGCAAGCCAATGGCCGAGATGTTGTGCCCGGTGTGCAATGTTCTCACCTGGAAGTGGGCACCTTCGCAGAAGGCCGCTGGCAACCCACGGGTTGGCTGGGTCTACTCATGTCGCAGCTGCCGAAACCAGAACAGAATGCATCCCTGGGCTGGCTACCATGTGAAGAGGTTCTGGCAGTACTTCCAACGCCTTGACCTCGACGTCGTCAGGACCGCCGTGGACGATTACATGACTCGTCACACAAAATCATAAAGCCCTATAGGCCGAACCCTAAACCCTAAACCCAGAAAGGGGCTAGTGCACTAAAAAACAAACCTTAAACCCCTAAAGCCCTATAGACCGAACTCCAGGCAGATGCGTGGAGCGCTCTTCCGACTCGATACCGTCAGCTTCAACTCCGCCCTTGCAGCGCACGCAAGGCATCTCGGCTTTAGGCTGTCTGCAAAGAGCTTACAGGGTGTTGGGTGTATGAAGGGTTGTCTAGCGTTGTCTACGCCATAAGCCCTGAGCCTTATAAACCTTGCTGGTGGAAAAAGGCACTAAACAAGAAAAAACCTCAAGGGGGTGTACCTGTACCACCCAGCCCTACAAAACAAAATAGGGTATGATTGACCCCTTGATTTCAGAGTCTAACCCCTAAAGCGGTTTTAGGATCCCGGGGTAGACGGTTCAGCAGGGCACAATGGACTACAGGGAAAGGGGGGCGAATTTTTGGGCCCAGAAGCCTTAATTTACGAGTCCTTAGAGCCCTAGAAGAGGGGGTAGGGCTCCTATTCATTTGTGGAGGTTCGGGTTCCTTTGAGAGGTGCTTATCACTTCAGGTTGTGTCTTTTCAATTTGGAGGAGGCGGGGGGCGGGTTTGAGTTTCAGCTTCTGGTCTTGAGGCTGAGGGTTGCGGGAGGGTTGCAGGTCCCAAAGGGTCCTATGTACCTATGAATATAGTAGAATGTAAGGTTTCTATATTAGGAATTACTATTACGATCCAGGGAAGTATCCCCCATAGCATTCCATAGGACCGTTTGTGGGTTTAGACCCTTGAGAAAGAATTTCTGCGCTTGAAGACTTTCCTGGCTGAAGAGAGCCTCAGAGACATGCGACTGAAGCCAGATGCCCAGCAATTTTGGCTCCTCGACCCCAAGGTATCTTTGAGTATCCTTTAACCATACCTATAGTCTCCATTGTAGTTCCTTTTTTTGGTCAGCCAAAAACTACAATTAGAGGATCCTAACTAGAAAATTAGTTAACAAACAATCTACAATGGAGACTACAGGCAATTAATACATTTTGTCAGAAGTCCGATGACCTCATTCAAGCACGCAACATGCCGGCTGTTATCCACCTGCGTACTTTCTAAGCTCCTAAGTCCCTCGAACGAAAACTTTGCCCTCAACCCAGGTCCCTGGGAGTTTCTAGCCCATACCCTACTTGGAGGATCAGGGGACTTAGTAAGTAAGGTTATAAGTACCTTAATTGGGGTTATAAGTAGTTATAAGCATACTTGCTCTAACAATAACCTCAGTTACTGAGGCCCATACCCTAGCCCGTACACCGTTGACAGTGAATCCTGCACAGTCTCCGGTTGGCTTCGAGCCATAATTGGAGGATCGTGGGACTTAGTAAGTGAGGTTCTAGGTACCCTGATATTCAGTATAAGCCTTTATAACTAACTGTAGTTACCTTACTTCTAAACCTAGTTACTAAGTCCCGGGGGGGTTGCATTACGCCGCTTTTCGCTGTCCCACCTAAGGTTTACAGGACGTGGCGCCCTAAACCCTAAACCCTAAACCCTATGCATCCTCCAAAACCCTGTTCTGATTGACGGTCCCATATCACAGAGACCCATTATGGATCTCTTATAGACATATCTTGAAAGAAAGAGCCCTTAATGGCATGAACAGGCCCTAGGTTAGAGGTGACTCTAACCAACCCCCAAACGTTCGGCAGTCTTGAGGTGGATCAATCATCATGGCTGATCGGTCCAACAGGAATCCATACAGTCGTGCTGACCGGAGCCAGCAACACGGCCTCTTCAGCCGAGCGAACCCTGTTCCGCCACCACAAGATGTCTTTGACAAAGACAAGAACGTGTGGTCTGCCATAAGCGCCGTGCTGCTCAGCTCACAAGACAGTGTTGCTGCTGCTTTGAGGTGGTTCGTCCGTGGAGGCTCGGATGATCGTCCCACTCCTGATGAAAACCGCCTAATGTATGCTCACCAGAAAGAGTTGGAATTGCCGACTTCCAAGAGAGAGGCCTGCCTTGGCCTGGGATTGCTAACCACCAGAGCTGCATGGGGAGCCATTTGAGAACATGGGACTTAGTAATTGGGGTTATAAAAAGGGTAGCTATAGTTATAATTACTTATAACCCCAATTAGGGTACTCATAACCTTACTTACTAAGTCCCATGATCCTCCAAGTACACCCTAAACCCTAAACTAAGCCCTATAGATCCCTTTAAGGAACCCTAAAGATCTCTTTAAGGAGCCCCTTACTTACTAAATCCCATGATCCTCCAAGTAAACCCTAAACCCTAATCCCTAAACCCTATCCCTAAACTCTATAGACCCTAAACCCTTCCTTCTTCCGCGCAGCACGGCGGCCTGGCAGCGCGCTGCTAGCCTGGCCGCGGCCCTCGGCGAGCATTCGCTTCGCCGGGACGAGGCGCACGGCTCATCTAATCGAGGGAGACTAAGTGATGCTTTGGGGTTATAGGGTTTAGGGTTTAGGGCTTTAGGTTTTAAGGTCCCAGACCCCCTTTGGAGGATCCAAAAAGTAGATGCCTTAATGGGGGTTTCTATAAAGTACCCTTAAGTATAGGGCCCCAAAGTAGGCGATCTACTTTCTAGATCCTCCCGGGGGTCTGGGAATCTAATCGAGGGAGACTACCCTAAGGCCCCAAAGTAGTTCCTTTTCGGGGTTCATTTTTAGAATCCTGATAAGGTAATTTTCCCCAAAAAGGAACTACTATGGGGCCTTAGGGTAAGTGACTAGGGCCCTTAGGGTTCCTTTAAGGGTCCCTTTAAAGGGCTGCGTTAAGGGTATTGCACAGGTTTGTGTGTTCAATCCTGAGGCCAGGGGTTACGGATCTGTCACCCAGAACACCCGGGAGGATCGACCTAGAAAGTAGATCCCTTAATTTGGGGCCGTATACTACTGAGGGTACTTGAAAGGAACCCCCATGAAGGGATCTACCCTTTTGGATCCTCCCGAGAATCTGGGATACCACTACTTGATACTCTATAGACTAACTAATTAGAGACTCTGCAGGAACCCCTTAGGGACCTGCCCTCAGCCCTAAAACACAAAGTCTACAACCCCCAAAACCCTGAACCAGATAAGCCCTAGAACTCAAAGGGGCCTAAAACCCCAAACCCCAAGCAGCACTGCCTTGGATCCGATCAGTCAAGTGTGTCAGGTAACACTTCGATCCACTCTTGCGGCAGGCCTGCTGTGCTTGCAGGGGTTTAGAATGCTGATTCCAAGAGTTTTGTTTGTTTGCCTAAGGGTTTTATCATGATGGGTTCCCTAAACCCGAATCCCTAAACCCTAATCCCTAAACCTTGATCCCTAAGCCCTAAACCTTAGCCTTAAAGATTGGGTTCATACAGCTGTGGGTGTTACTCAGAGTTAGGGGCAAGTCTTTAGGTTACAGGTTGCCGCATTGTGGTGCAAACGAGGGTCCGATGTGGGATCGTTGAAGGTTTACCGCTTTGCATTCAATTTGTGGATTTGTTTACAATGCTTTATTTCAGGCGGTTACTTGGAGGATCATGGGGCTTAGTAAATGTAAGTTTATGGGGGCCTTAGCCGCAGCTGTACATACTTGCAAGTCTAGTTACCTCTTTTACAACTCTAGTTTCCTGATCCGTGCAATCGTTACTCTGTATCTCCTTGCTGTGTTGAACCCTGGAGATTTGGGTGACCAGAAACATTTGTGCATGATTCAATTTAGATCACCATGCTTGCGACCCGGTACTACTCCTTCGTGCTTCAAAGGAACCCCCTTAAGGGATCTACTTGCTGGATGTCTGGGTAATGGAACACTGTCCCGAAAAACGTTCAACCCATGTCTACCTAGGCAAAGGGATGCCTTTGCATGTTTAGGGTTTAGCTGTGGTTTTAGGGTTTAGGGTTTTAGGGTTTACGGTTTAAGGTTTTGCTTAGTTTAGGGTTTAGGGTTTAGCTTAGTTTAGTGCTGCATCACTTCCTCGTGTCTTGACCTCGCGCGCTAGCTGCAGTTGGTACCATTCTCAAATCGAACGCGGAACCCTTCGCCCTAAAATCCCTACATAGCCCTTCTCAAAGGGTCCATGTACCTAAATACTTATATACTTTGGCCCCACAGTAACTATATGGGGACTACTTTAATGCCAAAGTATATACTGTTTGGGTACATTGGCCTTGCATAGCCCTTGAAAGACAAGGACGGCAATGTGGCGACGCCCCCTGTTTAGGTTTTAGCGCAGTCGAACAGAGGTGTATTTGGAGGATCATGGGACTTAGTAAGTAAGGTTATCAGTACCCTAATTGGGGCTATAAGTAATGATAGCTATAGTTACCCTATTTAAAACCCCAATTACTAAGTCCCATGATCCTCCAAGTGGTGTCAGTGGATCAGCTCGGGGTTGCTGGCCTAAGGTTTCGGGAGTTTTGGGGCACTTTCTAAACTTTAGTGCATCGCGCGTCGATCTGTCGAGGTGTAGTTGGGTTTAGGGTGTGCAGGGTTTTTTAGCTTAGATCCCCAATACCCAACCTTTAAACCTTTTCGCGTTCTTGTAGTTTATTAGCAGGAATCGGAAAGTTTAACCTTGTATTTCCGTGGCTCATTGGCGTAGTAAGTTAGGGCGTATAGGGTTTATACGGTTGATGATGCTATAAATCCTGCATTACCTTAAGGGCCCTAAACTATGGGAATTATGGTATATTCCTTATTATGGGTAATGCAGGATTTATTTCATCAACCGTAGGGTTTAGGGTTTAAGTTTTCGAAAAGCCGAAGATCGCCACAGAAGTCGTGGATGGTCTCTCTGCTTTTGGCCTCACGACCCAAGTGCTGACTTTATGTGGGCAGTTGTCAAAATTATGGTCCCTTTTTGGGTACCCTAAAATTTTCGGTGCCGTATTATAATAAGGACCCAAAAAGGGACCACAATTTTGACGACTACCCATGTGAAGAAGCTGTTCCCTACAGGGTCCATGTATATGTAGTACTTGTAACTATGGCCTAAATGTAGTCCCTATTTAGGTACTTCATAGCCCAAACATATACGAATTGGGCACAGGGACCACCCTGCAGAACTCTCTGGTACCCTCTACAGGAATCCATAAAGGTGCACGCACCCTTACAAGATTGCCGGGACCCCGCAGCATTCTCACCCAGACCCCCGGGAGGATCCAAAAAGTACATCCCTTATTGGGGTTCTTATAAAGTACCCTTAGTAGTATGGGGTCCCAAATTAGGGGATCTACTTTCCCTTATCCCTAAACCCTAAACCCTAAAGGATCCCATAAAGGAGCCCCTTAAGGAACCCGAATATAGGGTCCCACCAAATTAGGGGATCTACTTTCCAGATCCTCCCGGGGGTCTGGGCAGCCTCATCGAGATTTGCCTCGGCGATGAGCTCTGCAGCAAGCGTAGCAGAGCTCTTCGGGTCTTCTGCTCTCCATGCGAGCTCGCATGATGTGGCCAGGAACAGGGGGCTATGAACTTTGTTTTAATTTTGTAAAGACCCATAAACCCTTTACTTTTGCAAGACTTTGCTTCTTAAGCTAAACCCTAAACCCTAAACCGTTTATCGTCCAAGCTTCAATCAAGCCGTTCGATCTTGAAGCCCTTTGAACCCTACGCCGTAAACCGTTAAACCCTTTAACTTAATGGAGGTTTCCGAAAATAGGGGACCCTAATGTAGTACCCTAAATAGTAGGATCCTTATTGTAAGGACTTAAAATAAGGTATCCCTAATTGTCGGAAGCTCCCACATCCTAGGTTCCTGAATAGTCCCCCTTTGCCTTTTGTTTAGGGTCCCCTTATGAAAGAGGAATAGTAGGAAACAGGTAACCCTTAATACTAAACCCCTTGACTTCAAATCCGAATGAGCCAGGGCGGCACCTCCCTTGGCGGAAGGGGATCGAACTGCTGGCTCCACGGCTGAATACAGAACCTCTTAAGACAAAACTCCTGAAACTGGGTCTTTTGTAGGGTTTAGGGTTTACTTGGAGGGTCAAGGGACTTGGTAAGTACTTGGAGGGGGACTTAGTAAGTAGGTAGTAAGTAGACTTGTAAGTACCCTAAAAGGGACCGTAATTGGGGTTATGGTACTTATAAGTCCTTAAGATAACCAGTTACTAAGTCCCCCGACCCTCCAAGTAAGGTTCTAAGTACCTTGATTGGGGTTATAAGTAGTTATAGCTATAGTTACCCTATTTGTAAACCTATACTTACTAAGTCCCATGATCCTCCAAGTAGGGTTTAGGAAGGATAGTGCTGGGATTCCCTATACCTTACTCTTAAGGATTGAGGCTATTGAGTTTCCAACTTTTGGGCTTCTACTGCAAGACCTGAAACAGGGCTTGTATTAGGCTACATACTCTTTGAGGGGGCGTTCCTTGTTGTTGAAATCCTTTGCAGGAAAGCTTACCTATCTTAAGCCAGCTCAATAGTAGGACTCCGTTAGGGGCAGACCCCTCATGAACAAATCTATAGTCGTTAAAATGCAGCATTATCGGGATCGTTTGTAATTCTTGCTGGGGACAAGAGTGTTTAGTCAGAAGGGGCTGAGATTGACTACCAGAGAGTTGGAGCATCATCTTTAACATGGCCGTATATGGGTGGTTGTCAAAATTAGGGCCCCCTTTTGGGTACCCTAAATAATAGGTGCCGTATTATAATAGGGACCCAAAAAGGGACCATTGACAACCATCCATATTATCCCAAAGAAACTCCAACCCCCAGACTGAACCTTGAACCCTAAACCCTCAACCCTAAACCTTAAACCCTAAACCGCTTAAACCCTAAACCCTAAACCCAAACCCTCAACCCTAAACCGCTTGAGCCCTCAAGCTCCAACCCAGCTGCCGACTTCGCAACAAAAGTTCTTATACATTGAGCCTAAACCCTCGACCTTCGGTTGATGATATCAATCCTGCATTAATTAAAGGACCCTAAGCTGAGGAATTATGGTGTATTCCTTATTTTGGGTCATGCAGGATCTATATCATCAACCGTTCGACCTTAAACAGTAGACCCTCAACTTCAAAACTCTTACCTGTAGAACCCCTAAACTAGGTGCCCCCAGTAATGGCAGTTTTTCTTTTTGTGGGTCGCCGTATCAAAACCAAACAGGAGCAAAAAGGCTGCCCTTGCTATCAGGGGGCTACTGGGGAACCGAGCAAATAAACTCCCTGTAAGCCTGAACAAACACCAACGCCTTTCAACTTCAACCCAAGAACACTGAACACCCTAAACCTTCTTTTCAAGCGAACACGTCCCTGAAACAACAAACAATTTTCAACAGGCGTTCAGGGCTTCTACACTTAATTATCACGTATAAGGCTTTCTGGAAGTAAGGGTCATTGTATAGGCTCCAACCCTAAACCCTAAACCGAAGGGTCATTATACATATATATATATATATATATGTGTGTGTGTGCCTATATATGTATGCATATATATGCATATATATATATATATATGCATATATATATATATATATATATATACATATATACATATATAGGCTCCAACTAAAGCCTAAGCCCTGTCAACCCGACAGGCCCTATAAACGCTAGCCCTACGAACCCCATGAACCCTACAAACCCCCTGAGCCCTATACCATATGAACCATAAACACTAAACTCAAACCCTATTAACCCAAAATCCTGTAAACCCCGTAATGGTATAAACAATCAGGGCCGGAACCCTGTAAGCCCCAGCAACACTGCCAGGCTCAGCTGGAAAACCCCTCCGTGCCAGCGTTGGTGGATGTTTGCGCCGGCGAGGTGGCCTCGTTCCTGCTGTAGCTGCTTTTCGCATCTCTAAAGAAGGAGCCCTCAAAAACGATTCATCTGGCTGTGTTCTCTCAGGGTTTTTCGGAGTGCAAGAAGGGCTTGAGACGGCCTGGAAAAGGGGGTATAGAATACCCTAAACCCCAAACCCGCAAACTTTGCTCTACTCCTACAGATGGCGGAGTGCAGACAAGAACTGAGGGTTTGGGGTGGCGGGTTTTAGGGTTTAGGGCTTAAAGTTTAGGGGTTTAGGGGTTTAGGGTTGAGGGTTTAGGGGTTTAGGGTTTAGGGGTTTAATGTTTGTGTCGAATTCTTCTGGTCTTTCTTGGCATCGGGTTTCCTCTGTCCGGATCCCAGAGCCCTCAAGGATCTCACAAAAAGGCAACCCTGCTGTGCGGGCTCCTACATGTACATATACAGATATATACACATATATAAGTACATACGCATATATATATATATATATGCTGTATATACATACATATATATATATATATATATGGTATTTTGAGGTTTAGGGCTCCAGGACAACATGCTCAGATCAACATAGTAAGATCTGTAAGGGGGTCTGCATGGGAACCCGAGAAGCTTTTGCGTGAGAAGTTTCCAATTGCGCCGCCCACCCTGACGCCACTGCCACTACCACGACGACTGCTACTACGTTTCACCAGGCTACCACGACCACCGCTGCGTACCTCCACAATGCTTCGTGTCTGGCGACCATCTGGTCAAGAGCTGGACCCCATCAGTGCAGAGGAGTTCAAGGATGTAGCGGCTTTGAAGGAGCAATTGCGCGAAGTCTATGGATTTCCGTTGTCTTTGCAACAGCTTATGCACGAGGGGAAGCTCTTGGAGGATGGTGCAGAACTGGATGCCCCGATGGACTTGCAGCTAGTGCTGTTGACCATCTCGGGCCTTTCAGCAAGAGACAGAACTGCCAGGTTTGCTGAAGTAGAGCTCGCATATGCTTCTCGAAGGAATTGTGAGAAAGTGGCGCGATACTTGCTGGATGCTGGTGTTGGAGCAGATCGCAGAGACGATGACGGCAACTTGGCGTTCTTCTGGTTGGCTCTTTAGACTTTAACTTTTTGGGTTCTATATGAACTATCATAAGGAGGCTAAAAGTTTAACTTTTAGGAGGGGTTCAGAAGTCAGCCAAGGCAAGACATTCCTTATGCTCGCATCTAGGAATGGTAGCTTGGAGGTCGCTTGCTTGCTCCTGGAAGCTGGTGCTGAGAAGGGCCTCGAAGACGATGGCGGCCACACAGCCCTAATGTTCGCATCATGGTATGGTCACTCGGAAGTTGTACGATCGCTGCTGGAAGCCCGTGCAGACAAAAATCACATAGATAATCAATGCCAGACCGCCCTGATGTTTGCATCGACCAGTGGCCATGTGAAGGTCGCACGTTTGCTGCTGGAGGCTCGTGCTGAAACATACTGCCAGGACATTTTCAGCATGACAGCACTAATGCAGGCCTCAGCGTGTGGGCAGCTGGAGATCGTGCGTTTACTTCTAGAAGCTCGCGCTGCACAGCACATCACAGGCGAGAACGGGAAGACGGCCGCAATGCTGGCGTTTGAGCATGGTCACCTGGAGGTTGTTGCACGTCTGCTGGAAGCTGGTGTTTAGATAGACCATGCAGACGAGGGTCAGAGTTCACTGCAACTTCGCTCACATCTCTCTATCATCATCGGTGGGTTCGCACACGTGCTTCATGAAAAGATTGCCTTTTTGTCAGAGCACAACCCTCACACGCTCCTCAGGGTTGAAACCCGAAGCGATGAAGCAAGCCCTAATGAATCCCTAGATGCCGAGTCCCCAAATCCCTTTAAGTGAGCTTGAAACCCCATCAAGGTAGCCATTTGGGACATTTTACATGTTCCCTTATTGACTGGGCCTACGAGAAACTTATTTACGAAGGTTGCTCGAAGGCTTCCTAACTTTGAAGGGCCAACCTGCCTATGGTGCCTTTCAAGAACTGCCACGGACTTGTGGATTGTAACGCCAGTCCAGGGTGGTTAATACTGAGATTTGTTAACTCGGTGCTACTCAAGGATTACAGTAGGTTGCTTGGTCACTGCAAGAACCGCAAACTTGTTGATGCGCATCTAGCTTCCAGGTCTCCCAGTAGTACCAGTTTGCCCCTTTCAGTGTGGGGAGTCTCCACATTGAAGCCGAAGAGTATGAAAAAGGGGTACGTAGTCTTACGAGCGAGCTACTGGGGAACCTAGTCGTTTATGTAACCGTAAGGGTCCATGTAGTCCTTATTCATGGCTTTACATGCCTCAAAAGTCCCAAAAGTCCTATAATATTGAGTACTTGGACTCTTGGGGTAAGACATGAACTGGACTGCGCCCTGATGCCTGGTTGTTGCCGGAAAGAATTTTGGTGTTTAACACCGGTTTTGGGCTTTAGGGTTTAGGGACCTTCCAAAATCTAAACTAGGGAATCTACTTTCAATTACGGTAGGGTCCCTGATAAGATTGAAGCTCTCTATTTTATGACGGGGTAGTGGAAGGCTTGTGTCGATCCAAGAACACAAAGTCAGGCATAGAGGTTGCAATAACTAGTAGTAGTGTCCTCCTATACTTTCCTTAGTTTGAGTTACTAATAGCCGCAACTTGGAAACTTACAAGCTTACTTGCTAAGTCCAATGATCCTCCAAGTAGTCCCGAGGAAGCTGTCATATGCACCCAAACCCTATTCTAGTTGTCAAGGCCCTGGTGCGGGAAGCTAATACGTACATATATATATATATATATATATATAGATAGATAGATAGATAGATAGATATATATAGATAGATATTTATATGTACTATTTATTTATTTATATCCAGACCCTTTTCTCGTCATTTTGTGCCCGAACTGACGTGCTGGTATGCGAGGCGGCCCTACCACCTTTGCTGGCTGCTCTGCCGCAAGTTGCACCCAGAGAGCGCAATACCCCTTAATGAAGGAATATGGCTTAAATCATATAGGGCTTACCCCTGAATGAAGGAATATAGCTTAAATCATATTATGAAGACCTATATACTTTAAGCCATATTCCTTAATTAAGGGGTATTAGGGCTCTCTGGGCAGGCTTCAGGACTTGTGGGTGTTGAGGGTTTGACAGTTATGTACGTTTTCGTGTTTATAAGGTTGAGGGTTTATAAGGTTTAGGTTTGAGGGTTTTCAGGCTTTACGACAATTTAGGGTTTTCCGGTGCAAGGTTTGAGGCTTATAGGTATGGGGTTTATAGGGTTAGGATTGAAGGGGTCGGAGGTGGGCTTCATGTATATTCCTTCAATGTCAGATGGGCGTTTAATTTCCTAAGGGTCCATGTGCCTAAATAGTTCGTACATTAGCCCTAAAGTACCCAAAGGGACTACTTTTAAGGCCAAAGTATATCCTATTTGGGTACATGCACCCTTAAGGATTTTCGAGCACTCCACGACAGCCAAGGATCAGGTGTCGGCGACTGCCACAGAAGACCTGATCTGCGTGACAAAATCCACGGGTGCTTTGCACGGTACATGTTTGGGCACGTTTTTGGATTGGATTCCTGACTTGCATTCCACAAGGTTCCTTTGAGGGGTTCTGTAAGACTTACCTTCAAGAGGTTACTATCAAGGTTATGATAAGGCTGGGTATACTTACAATCACTTTCGTTAGAAATATTTGGAAATCGGGTGCCATCTTCGCGCTTAACAGGACGGGGTTTGGGGCCCGGTTTCGGGTGCTTAAAATCTGTTTCAACCGGTTCTGAAGCGATATCCCCACGCCGAAGGGCTTCACCCTACTCCAATTCCCAAACATTGTGCCCTAGAGCCCTAAACCCTAAACAGCACAACAGCACATGCTGTGACTCTAAACTCCTGTACATGCGAGTAGTGGACAAAATGCGGCATGATCCACAATAAGGATTAAGCAACTCTTGTTCAGGATGCTCAAGCCAATGCCATCATGGTCCAATCCCAACACCAAGCCTCAAAGTTGATAATTTTGCTTTTGAAGCAAATTAGAACTTATCCCATGACGCTTAAGAGGCAACAATTCTCGATCAAAAGTCTGTTGGGGTTCCTTTCGATTGTTTCCATATGTGTCAAGACTATGTATACTTGTACGTATATAATGCAATGGTATAGTATCTTTAAGAGTTCTTTGCCGGTCATATGTATGTGTTGCAGAAGCTATGTAACTTGGGACTTTTAAAGAGACGATCGCGAGAGGTTAATGTATGAATATACATGTGCCTATACATACATTGCGTGTACATATATATATGTATATATGTATGTACATGTAGTTATGTATGTATACATATATATATATATACATATATATATATATACATATACATATACATGTTCTAAATACATGTACACACACCGTTTGAATTCCAACTTCATAACGTCATAGAAGACGCCGGAAAGTCGGGACATGATTCCCCTGATGCCGTTATTCTAAAGTACAGTGAATCCCCGCAAGAATCACCTTAAGAAACATACCAAGTTTTTTTTGGGGGGGGAGTTCACTATGAGGAGTTTGGCCTCAAAGCTTAAACCCGACACAGTAAACCCAAAGTTCAGCTCTTGATTGTGCCATGGAGGCCAGATTGGTTAGCAATGCATAAGCTTGCCCCAAAGTGTCGATATAGTTATTGTGTAACATACCGTTACCCTAATCTAGTTCTGAAGGCACCCATACAAGCGTGGAGGGTTTAGGTTTGAGAGCTTAAAGCTCACACCCAGGGACAAGTAAATCAGATAGTTCCACTCCTATTAGTAATTTCAGTATTTTTAATTGGTCGTAGTAGCCCCGCGTAGGTGCTGTAACCATGAAGAAGAGTGGGTAAACATAGTGCAATTATACCCAAACCCCTTTGCCATGTACTCACTCCGGATTTCCTTGCATACGACTTTGATGGTACTCGACGACTGTTCCGAATGGAGCGCTCAGTTTGTGTGTTCATGGCTTGTTGCCTACTTAGAAAACCTAAACACAAGGGGGTTAGCACAAGCTTCATCAACATTGCATCGAGCTGTAAGCCGTAACTCGAATCCCGCTCAGGGTGCAAACGGTCTCTCAAGTGCGTCTATACCCTACTTAGAGGATCATGGGACTTAGCAAGGTTATAAGTACCCTAATTGGGGTTATAAGTACTTATAAGTATAGTTACCTTATTTATAACCCTAGTTACGAAGTCCCATGATCCTTTAAGTAGACCCTAAAGCCTCAACCCAAAGCCTAAATCGCTTGTGTTGAGATGCTGCTGACTTGTTTGGGCTTCAGCATCCCAGCATCTTTTAGTAAAGGCCTTTCCAGGAGCAGAGGGGTCTCCATCTCCCCTTCGCAGAGGCCATGGCAGCCTTAGCATCCACTCAGATGGCCTCGCCGCTGCTGTCCCAGGTCAGGGTTTACCCTAAGGCCCCATAGTAGCTCCTTTTTGCACTTACCTTATAGGATTCTATATATGAACCCCAAAAAGGAACTACTTTGAGGCTTTAGGGTAGATTTCAGGTTGGGGAACCCTCAATCCACTAAACCCTCAACCGCACGTTTCGTGCACCCGAAAACCCTGAATGCCCAAAGCCCCAAACCCCAGACCCCAATGGCAAGTTCCGCCTTGAGGATGCTGGGATTGTGTCGGAGAAAGTTTCGGGAAAGCAGTGGCATCATGATGGAATTCCTAGTAGTAGAGTAGTTAACCTTTAACCATCTTGTGGTTACTACAAGCCTGGTATACTCCAATGTGCTCCGAAAGGTTCAACTTTAGTTCCCTAGGATGTTGGACAAGTAGGAAGTCGTCATGCCGAGGACTGAGGATCTCACATCGGATAGAGAAAATGGCTGGTTCTCTATCTAAACTAGGACACCCTTCCGGGTCTTCAAAATAGCACGTCACTCGAATAAAAGGACCCTGAAAGAGACCCTTGTACGGAAATAGCGGATCATTGCATCTTCGCGATTAGAGTTACGAGGTTTCTTGATCCTTGATCCGTGGCATAGCAGGCCCCTGACAGCAGACTCAGGCGTGCATGACAAAAGGACCTTGGGACTTACCCAGAGAGCCCAGTACCCCTCAATTAAGGAATATGGCTTAACGTATATACGGCTTCATATTATGATTTAAGCTATATTCCTGAATGAAGGGGAGTAGTATGCGATAAGTCAGGGCCATAGGCCATTACCTTACTCGGGGGGCTATAAGTAGTTACAAGTGTAGCTACCTTTTCATCATGGTAGTGACTAAGTCACATGATCCTTTCAGTGGCCCCAAGCCCTCAACCCTGAACCACGAAACCCCAAATCCCTAAACCCTAAACCGCTAAACCCCCAAGCCCCTAAACCCCTAAACCCTAAACCCCTATAGTAGAAGCCAGAAAGTTGGAAAAGCACTATCCTCATGCCCTTCAGGTAAGGTATAAGGGATCCTAGCACTAATCCTGCTAAAGCCATGTTCCAACTTTCAGGCTTCTACTATAAACCCTAAACCCCTAATCCCCTAAACCCGAGATAGCGCTTGCCTCGGCACCCTGGCCAGGATGCGGGGCCTGGAGAGACTTTTGCCTTTCGCGTCACGGGAATGCGGTGCCCCGGTCTGCGCTTTTTTAGGGTCTTGTGCTGTAGGGTTGAGGGTTTCAGCGGCTTAGAGGTTTAGGCGGTTAGGGTCTAGGTTTTAGGGTTTAGAAATTTAGAGTTTAGGATTTAGGGTTGCAGCAAGATGCCGGAAGCTACCATGCAGGCTGCAGATGCTTATCTGGTATATACTGATAGTTCTCGAAGTCTTCGTGAATGTTGGTACCACTTTCCGGAACCCTGACTTGTCCACAGGGACGTCTGCGAAGCCATGTTGAAAGTATGCCTCCTTTGGTGCAGTGTCTTGGGGAGTCCGTGTTTAGTATCTCGGGGCTAAATCACGGTCACGGGCTCCCTAACCAAAACCCCCATTAGCACAGCAAGCCATACGGGTTTGGGGTTTAGGGGATAAAGTGGACAAGATTGCGCAGTTCAAGCTCTGCTTGCGCCCTATTTAATGTCCTCGGATTCCACAAGCAAAGCCCGATCCTTAGAAGGCCCGCTTGTACACTCCTGGAAAACCTCCTGTACAAACCCCCCTATCGGCACCGTCGTTTTCAGCCCCTTATAAACTCCCTATGACACCCTACTGGAACCCGTGCAGACACCTTATGAAGCCCTAGAGCCCGTGCCGAAACCACTTGTCACTTTCAGGTGCAACTCTTGCGCTCGAAAAATCCGTGAAGCACTGCAGGCTCTGGGTCGCGAAGTTTAGAGGATCAGAGGACCTAGTAGGTAGGTTCACAAGATGGAGTCCGGGTGGCATTATTATGGTTCCGGCATTCAGTTTGCTTGTTCCAAAATTGCAACAAACATCAGTGGTTTTCAAGTATAGGCAGCTGCAAGATTGCGGGCTTATACATATTTTACTATGGTGCACTTTGTCCTGTCGGTTCGGAGCCTTCAGAGCCAAGCCACTCTTCAAAGTAAATCTGCCACCCGTCCGTATCCTGCGTTTGAAGGCTATGTATTCTGCTTCCAGTTTATTTAACGCTTCTAAGCACTACAGAATTGAGACCAGTAGATGCAGCTCCAGAGGCAGACAAAATGGCACATCGTATTGACTTGTTTTGGTGCAGGGTCGCACGTTCTGAATATGCAAATCAAGACGTTCATGAACCTAAATCCTCGACCACTATGCGAATTTGAGGACACATGTTGAACTTGCACGATTCGAAGCATTTGTCCTGGCTGCGAAATGAAGCACGATCGCCAACAAACCATCAAGGCCCATGCCCGAAACTCCTAAGCCTCTCTCTTGCAAAAATGCAGCCATGCTGTCGTGTCGTATCCCGAGCTCGAAAAAAGTTTACTTCGCGACATGTCAGCAGTGCGGTAGGCAGGGTCCTCGAAATCAAAGGAGTAAAGACCCGTGAGCAACCCGATTGGCCTGCAACCCTGCTTGGAGGATCATGGGACTTACTACGTATGGTTATTAGTACCCTAATTCGGGTTATAAGTAATTATAACTAAAGTTACCCTGTTCATAACCCCAATGACTAAGTCCCATGATCATCCAAGTAAGGCTTTTCGGATGTAGGGCTGGATGTAGGAAATCGTCACGAAGGCTTCTAACTAGTGTGCATCCTAGCCACCACGACACCGGGCAGTATAGAGGCTTTAACGCGGGTAGCGCATTCCTATGAATGCGGCTTTGGTGTTGGAACTGCTATCAAAGGGGAAAAGGAGGGACCCTTATTGGGGACCCCTACCCTATAATGAGCTATATAATGGGTATATAATAGCTAGATTAAGGGTATATACCTAGGGGTCGTTATTAAGGGTCCCTCCTTTGACCCTTGGATTCTACTGTTTTACCGAAAGTCCCATGCCGAAGATGCCTTCACATGAAAAAGGCCTTGTCGTGGCCAAGCGTCACCGATGTGGTAGTCGAGGTGCCCAAGGCCTTCGTGGAGGTGGCTCAATGCAACGTCGTTTTTGCAGTTCGGTTTTTGGTTGTGTTTGCTGTTGGAAGCTTCGTTGGCATTTATATTCGGCATTAGGCGCTGGGTTACCATGAGTCAAGATATTTGGTGGTGCCGGCCTCAGGAGGACTCTTATGTTTTTTCTCTGGGTTCTTACTTGCTGGAGACTGTCCTCAATGCGGTCTCCGGCTGGCATGGATTATCATGGATTCTCACTGATTCGGATTTCATTCCAGGCTCCTGTGCCAGCTAATCAATGTTCGTCGTTGCCAAGACACCAAACACCGAACCTGCATTGCGCAAGTCAGGCAACCAGGATTCAGCAGGAGTAGTCTTCGGAACCTGTGCATACACGCTTAGGGTGGTTTGCCTCAGTCGCGGCTTCAGCCTGCAAGTTTCGCGGTCGAGGCCAGCAGGTACTTAAATGCAGAGAAAGGTTTCGACTCATTACGCGAGTTCCACAATTGAAACAGCCTCAGTCCAGCGCAGCAAGCTAAGCATGCGCGAAGTTTCGTCCATTGGCCAGGTGTCGAGAACGAACCCTTAATAAAGGTGGTTTACAATACCATATGTTGAGTTGCGTTTGTGTGTGCGTGTGTGTGTGTGTGTGTGTGTGTTTGTCCGTCCGACCGTCTGTCCGTTGCTTCAGGCCACTCTTCTGCACATGTGTTCGTTTGAGGCTAGCGTATCAGGCATGCAGCATCGCGGGCAGAGTATGCAAATCAGCTCCAGTCAGATAGTGCGCCAGCCAGTTCGATACGCTTAGAGTGCTTGCTGCTACGGTGTTCGAGATGGCGTTCGTGTCAATGCTTTCAATGAGCCCGGTGGGACTGTCGTTCCCGGCGGGCTTAGATGGCGGGCACGGGCACTCCGTCGAGGTCAATGTGCACACTCTGTCTACAGAACTGCAGAAAGCGTGCGTGCTACTTCTCGGGAATGGCCTTGTATCACATTGGGCCATAATCATGATCTTTGAAAACGGCGAAGTCTTTTCTGTAGAGCTGCTCGCCCGAGACAGGCAGACCGGAGAGCGCTGGGGGACAAGCAACTTCCAGATGCGTCAACTACGATTTGAAGAACCCTGCCTCAGTGAAGCAAGCAGCCGTTCGGAATTTCAACATGAAGACAGAGGTGTCGACATCATGGATGTTGGGAACCGTCTGGATGACCACCCCAGGAAAAGTACTTGTGCCGACAATTCCGGGGAGAAGGACGTAAACAAGGAGATGAAGAACTTGGATGCTGAGACCGCAGAACATCTGCCTAGCCATGGTGGACCACGTGCGAAGAGTAAACCGGTCGATGATAAGATAACAGCAATGTGCAAGGACTTACGCAACACATTTCGGGGCTACGGATTCCTCGGCAGACGTCGAAAAAGTCGCATTGCGCTCATCGAAGGGTATACTCGCCATTTTGACTACGACATGCTGTGCGACATGATGTGGGTGCAGAATTTGACGTCTCCAACCGATCTTTTCCGGGGAGCCAAAGCAGTTCCTCTCAATGGAAGCCAGTACGACTTGCTGTTCCACAACTGTCAACTCTGGGTCGTCATGCTGCTGCACGACTATTATCGCATCGAGTTGTGGAAGCTGCCATGGACAATTGGCTGTCTTGTAGCTGGACCGCTACTCCTCGTCGTGGAACTCAGCTTTCTCGGCGTATACCTTGCCCTGCTACACGTTCTGCCTGCGGTCGCCATAGCCTTTGGAATTTTGTGGTTTTGTATTCTTGTGTGGTTTTCACTATTGTACAAGCACCGCACACTACAGGGTGCATTCCCGTGGGAGGTTCTTCTCGGGGCAGGCATTCTGCTAGGAGTTCCGATCCTCGACACGTCCGCATCCCTTGCGGGTGGTCTGCCATTCATAACTTTGGTTTGGGACATGGTCGTGGTGTGCCAGTCAATGCGACATACCAAGGTATTTAACAGCCCTTTGCTCATTGCATGGAATTGTGTAACGACCCTGCTTGCTCTCGTACTTGCCACGGCTGCTCAGACACACTACGGCGTTCATGCTGCTCCCGCTGTCGTTTCGAATGTGCTAGGGCCAATTTGCCAATTTGTGTCGATGGTATTAGGTTCGATTGGCAACTTTCTGCTCATGGTATGTATTTCGATTGGCAACTTTATGACGGGATTTGGTGCGATTGGGAAATTTATGTTGGCCTCGGCAACGCTGTGGGGCTTGCTGGTGTTTTGTTCAGCAGTCTACCACCTTGCCATCGGCATCCAAGACCTGTGTTGCGGGATTTGAGCCGGAAGCCAAGACCTTTGTTGCCGGATTCGTCAAAGACGACAAAGCCTAAAACTGTGCCGTAGCTGTATTCTCTGAGCCTCGAGCGTACTGTTTTTTGTTTCTTCGACTTACTTGCATATTGCAGGATCGTAACCGTAAGACAAGTTATCCACAAGAGGTACCTCGATTCGGTATCAAGGAAGCAAGCTGGATCTCGCTCGCGAAGTCGAGCGGAGATCGGTACACCTACTGACCAAGTTCCTTTTCGGCTTGAGCCACGGTATCGTCCCCTGGAAACCGGGCAAGCTAGCATACAGAATCAAAGCCCAAATAACTCTGGGACCCCGAGCTGGGTCGCTCAGAATCCAGTAAGCCCAAACCTCAAGAAATAAGACAGTGCTGGTGCCTCCATGTCGGGTTTGAGTTGTCGGTGTTCAGGATGTTTGGTCGGGTTTGACTGCTTACGGTAGGTTTTAGGTGTCGTGTGCCACACTGACATAGATGGTTCCAAATATTTAATTGCTAGTGACTTCTAGTTCGGCTTGACCTGCACTGAGGCTGATGGAATGTCTAGATGGGGGAGGTAACCGCACGCTGCACCTTTCTGGTGTCGACATGGCCACTCCTGTCTGAGTGTGCATGAGCATCTGTGCAGAAATCACGTGAATCCCAACAGGTTCGGTTGTAGTATACGTGTGCTGAATCAGATCCTGCATGCACAAGCGCAAGATGCCCTGTCATGATTGCATTGTCGGCTAGCAGTGGCACTTTGTTTTACTTAGTGTTCTGCAGCGTCTATCCAAATTTCATTAAAACTGCGGTCACGCAAACATTTATGGACATGGAAAGCTGCAACATGCCGTTCAGTGCTTGAGTGCCGTGGGATGGCGAGAAGTTGTGCGAGCTTCTTCTCCGTGAAATAGTCGATGCACTGACTTAAATCAATCTAACTCCCAGTTGGGCCTTAGGCTAATGAGTTTGGGAGTCCAGGATCTATGATCACTTTAGGGCTGGTTTTCGCATATCATCATATGGACGCATAAGTTGATACCTGTAATCGGTCGTTCGATCCCTCGGATTAGGGGAGCACTCAACGATAATCATACTCAATATTAACATATGGCTACTTGAGCGGTGGACGCTCTCGCCCTCGAGGCAGCATGACGTGCGCGCTTGTCCACAAAATGGATGTTGGGGCGGGGGGGGACAGCCAAGCACATGCAGGGACTCGCAGGTAACCAAGCCGGTCATTACTACAACTTCGAACAGACCATAAAAGCCAAAGGGCCATGCAGGGGAGGATTACCTTAAAACCAAGAAGCTGTTTAACGTCACTGAGCGTGTCAACCTTGTGCATACGATGCAACCACCTACTCCTAGTCATCACACAAAAGATTCCATGCTGTTATCAGATTCGTTAAGGATCCAGCGATCCTTATAGTAATAGAGCTTGAAGCACTTAGATCTTTTTTGTTAGGGTACATTAAATTTAGTCCCCAAGCTGATGGAACAAAGCCGCAAGGTACTATTTGCTGGTGCAGAACTTACAAAGCTACCCAAATGCCGTCATGTCTAGTTGGGTTCTTTGATTCCTGTTCTTATAGGGTCCTAGCCAAACAGTCGCTCATCGAAGGAAGAAATTACATTCCAGGGTCTAGATAGGTGTTTGATGTGTTACGGGACTTGACAGAGGGACCTTAGTTTTTCAACTAGGGTCTTGGTGATTACAGTGGTGTAGTTGTTTGGTAAATTCTTGCGAGCCCTAATTACAGTATCCCAGAAGGGAGGGAATTCGTTGGTAACCTTTATCCTGGCACCTTCCCAGCACTTCGCGCTGTTCTGGTCGCGACTATCCCCAGAGTGCGCGCCCGCAGAGTTTATCTGGACTGCCCATACCCGGTAGAGTCTTCCCGGAGTCCATCCGGCAGCATTCCTTAAAGTACCTGGAGTGCTCACAACAGAACATCGCGCTGGATTGCCCATCCACAAGGCACCATGCAGAGCATCCCTACAGTACAGGGCTCGTCTTAAGCGCTATAAGGGCTCCATTAAACGGGGCCTTGTGGGGTCCTGGAGAGTATCGTTTGGAGCATCCCCAGGCTGCCTACCGAATCATACCCGAAGTGCCCCCTTAAGATCTTCATATCATACAAATATCAGACATAGCCATGCAGCTATCCCGCAAAGTATGACAATCTTTGCTTTCTTTTAAGATGGGGGTATTCGATGCGGTTAGAAATGAACTTTAGAGTCTTAGGTTGTGTTTGTTCTTGTGTTTGGCAGATGGTAAGGTATTTGACATTGCGGGCATGGTGCAGATTTGTCCATCTGACCATGTTGAGTCAAAACTGATGCTACATCCTTACACATGATGCTGATTGCACTCGCACACCACAGCCGGAACATGCATAGGGTTGGGCAAGTAGTTTAAATGCCCTGAGCATGTGGGGCGGCTCGAGCTTGAATTGCTTGTGACTTAGAAACTCGGGGTTATTATTAAGGTAACTAAAATTATGGTTACTCATATCTCCACTTGAGGTACTTATGAACCTACTTACTAAACCCGGCTAGACGTAGTCCTAAGGTGTAACACATCTCCCCGTGTCCTCTCCGAAGCAAACAGTCACTACCTCATATTGCCTCAACCATAAGGCTCCGAACATGAAGCGCTAAATCCAGCTCATGCCATGCCGGCCATAGCGTGGCGTAATGGGTTTCGGGATGAAGGGCCGAGGCTTGTGGGAAGTTGGGAACTCGCTTCGAGGGTTTCCGTAGCTTGGGGTTGTGCCAGGATGGGTGCACCGAAGTTGGTCGATGGTGCAGATGGCTGGGTTCTTATCCAGGAATTTGATTTGAGTTACCACAATAGGGATTATAGTAAATAAGACAGTCTCTTTATTATGATAACTTACATTAACATCTCTTGACGAGAATCAAGATTGTTGCGAATTCGCGGCTGATGGAGGTTTGCCATGAAGTGGTTCACCTGAAAGCGCGAAGCTGAGTTAGCAGCTGGAATGGGGCCACAAGCCGGGAATTAACTGGTATGTTCACCGGATTGAATGTAATGCCCACAGCGTGTAGCTAAAAACAAGACCACTTAGAGTTTTGAACCGGTGCATGATCTGTGCACCACAGAGACAAGACTATTGACAGCTGCAAAACACCGCATTCTTGCCTATCTCAAGCTGTTGAGCTGCATGAGCATGCACATGTCACACGAAGGTTACACAGAGAATTGTCAGGCAGAAGGGTAGGTGTATGAAAGTTTGATGAGCGCGATGTGTTTACCAGTTGCATCCGGCCCCTTTGTGGTCAAGATGCCGTTCTGGTCCATGCTCTCAATGAGGCCGTCGGGGTGGTCCTCCCCGGCTGCTGCACAGAGTGACTTTGCAGGCTTAACACCGGTCACGAAATCTCTTCTATCGGCGCAGCGACAGAGATGGCTTGTGCTGGTTGTGGGGAACGGCCTTCTGTCGCATTGGGCCACAGTTTGGATCTTCGAGGATGGCGAAGTGTTTTCGGCAGAGTTGCTCGCGCGGCGAGAGCGCTGGGGAGAGAGTGAATTCCAGATGCAGAGCATTCAAGGACACCCTGACCGTCAAGGTGGTAGACCTGTCCTTGATGGAGGAAACGGTAGGATACTTAGAAGCTTGATAGGCACGAACGACCCCAAACTCGTGGATCGGTGCGAGACTTGCCGCGCAATCGTCGCAGAGTATCTCCACCATTGTGGGTATGTTATCATGGCACATCATTACGGGCGCTTCGAGGCTTCTCCCGCCGACGTCTATGCCAAGGCTGAAGCAGTACCTCTTAATGGAAGTCAATACGACATGCTCTTTCACAACTGCCAGCTGTGGGTCGTTATGCTACTATGCGACGGGTACCGCATTGGATTCCACGAGCTTCCAACAGCAATTGGCTGTATCGTAGCAGGGCCATTGCTTCTTGTCGTAGAGCTTACTTTTCTGGCTTTATATCTTTTCCTACAGCATTTTCTGCCCCTGATCTCCGTCGTTTTTGGAGTCACGTGGTTCTCTCTGCTCGTGTGGTTTTCAGTGCTGTACATCATGCGAGCACCGCGCCGTTTCCCCTGGGAAGTCATTGTCGGGGGAAGCATTCTGCTGGGAATTCCGGCGTTCGACAGGTCTGCATCACTTGCAGCTTCTCTTCCGTTCATCACGTTGGTTTGGGACCTGGTCGTGGTATACCAGTCGATGCGACAAACGAAGGTATTTGAGAGTGGCTTCCTTCTGGTATGGAACTTCGGAACGACTCTGGTTAGTGTTGGACTCGCCAGTGTGGTTCAGACATGTTATGGGGTTCAATCAGCTCCAGATGTTGCTTCGCATGTATTGGGCACGGTGGCGTCGACATTGCATGCAGTAGGCTTGGCTTTGTTCAGTGCTGCTGGAGCTGTCACTTCCTTTCTGCTCAGTGCAGCCAGCAAGTTCGCTTCCAACGTATTTGGCAACACTGCGTTGCTGTTGTTGGGTGCAGCTGCCCTTGCAGATTTGCTCTTCAGCCTTGTTTTCCTACAACCTCCACTCACGATGTTTAGACTGCTGTACCAGCGGTGTCGAAATCGAGATGACGACATGTGAAACGTGTCCAACTTTGGTCCAAGGCGAAGATCAACTGGATTTGGTTCGGGAAGTCCTGTGCAGAGATTGGCATGCATTCCCTCTGCAAGCACGGGGCCTGAAAACTACGCAGGGTTCCCTACAGTATATAAGAATCAGTATACCCTATTAGCGAAGCCCAAATGCCAATTCCGACATCTTAAACTAACTGCCAGTCTCACGGCAGGTCGCAGCAGCGGGCATGTTAAACAACTTCATTGCAGACGGATTAGGGTACCAGCTCGGGTTTAGGACAGTTTAGGGTTCAGGGGTTCTTGGGTTGTACTACCCAGAGACTCCAAAACCCCTTAATTAAGCAATACACCTTAAACTATGATAGGACCCCTAATAAGATTTAAGGTATATTCCTTAATTAAGGGTTCTTGGGTTGTACTTTGACTCTGAGCAACCACTTGCCAGCCTTAGCAGTCTCGAGCCTCATTTAAGGCTTCCCAACAGGTCAAGTAGCAGCAATGCAACTTAGGAGTAATTAGAAATGTTTAATTTTTGGTTACTATAATCCCGAGGAAACAGCTAAAATTACATTTTTTGCTAGGGTTCTAAGTTCAGTATAGTCTAGGATGCCCAGTAGTACCCTTATTGCCTTTTTGTAGTCCTAGGTTCCTTATAAAGCTACCCAATACCAAAAAGAGAGGCCTTTTTATTCTTAGGTTACGGGGTATCCTAGTTATAGTTGTCAGACCTCTCTCGTGCAGTGCTTTCACATGGCCGAGGCCTTAAATACGTATGATACCGATGTATCACACATACCTGTTGTGTATATGTATATATATATATATATGATATAGATAGAACTAATTAGATTATTACAATGTAAGGTACTGTAATGGACTATACCATAATGTAGTCCAAGTACAATACAGTATAATAGAAGATAATACAACATCTGTGTCAGACATTGTCGGCGCAGGTGAGTTCTGCGAAGGTCTCAGACAAACGAGCTGCAGCGGCGAAACTCGCCTCGGCGATCGAGGTGCGTCGGGAGCATGTGGAAGAGTCTCAACCCAAAGCCTCCAAAGCCCAACGGTTTAGGGTTTGGGGCTTACCGTTTAAGGTTTCGGGTATAGAGCTTACCATTTAGGGTTTCGGGTTCAGATGATGGAGCCAAGTCCTCGAAACACCCACCCCGATGTTTCAAACATGTAAAGGGAGCCCTAGTCTAGAGAAAGCCCCAACTCAAAACATCAATCCCAGAACTACAAACCCACACCTCCAAACCGCAAGCATCAGATTAAGCCTCGCAGGCCCAGAGCCCTCAATGCGTGACATTCATGTTGCGTTTTCGGTATGCGCCGCAGCCAGGGGAAGGAGTCTTTGCAGCTGTACCGGGTGTGTATCCCACCTGGGCACAGGACTATTTCGTGGCCCTTGAACATCAGCTGTAACACCCGTAAGATTCACAAGCCATGTCCTGGATTTGTGCTCAAGATAACCCCTAACAAGGACAGCTAAGTTACATGAACTGTATATATGGGAGTTTCCGAAAATAGGGGACCCTAATAAAGTACCCTGAACAGTAGGATCCTTATGATAAGGATCCCCCCAAATAAGGTACCCCTAATTTTCGGAAACTCCCATATAAAGCCGTTTACTAAATCTTCTGACCTTTCTTCTGGTCCTTCACGCAGTTATTCACTTATCGTCTATACACAACCTTTTCCTAAGTCTTCTGACCTTTCTTCTGGCCCTTCAAGCAGTTGAAGACCAGGCATTGGACTTCGAGGTTTCGGAGTGGACGGGCGAGAATGCCACCCCTATGCCAGGCGGGTTGCGACCGCGAGACTTATTAGAGGGACCTCTAAATTCTCTAAATAATTACCAATATGCTTGGGGGCCGCTTATCTTAAGTATAGCTTAACGGGCCCCCAAAACTCTATTTCTGATTATTAAGGCCGCTACATTACCTGGACCGTGAATTGTGGCACCTTTTTGCTGCATCCATGCCATAAGAATATGTTGTGTAGAAAGGGTGTACAGTTTACAAGTACGGTGTCACATGGGGTCCAGGCAGAACCGGAACCATCCGAAACCCTAAGCACTGAACCCTACGCCTTGGTGCTGCCAAAGCCAGTCCCCTGAAGCTCTCGAGCCTTCGAAACCCTGAGCGCTAAACCCGTGCCGTTGCACTCAGTCTAAGGCATAGCCGTGACATTGCGATAGGTACCGACATTCCCAAACAGAAAGGTGCCGCGTGACATGCATGCCAAGACATCAGGACGACAATGACGACAACGACCAACACGACCACGACAACAGCGGCAAACGTGACGACCAAGACGACGAAGACCACCACGACCACGAGGACCGCCAGGGCGACCACGACGACCGGGAGGAGAGCGGAAGGTACCACCCTCTCAAACGATCCCGCATGTACTGGCGGGGTAAGTAAGTGAATCCAACGTGGACGAGCCGCAGAGGCCTCATAAAGTATGTGGGAGTTTCCGAGAATTGGGGGTACCTTAACCCTAAGGCCCCATAGTAGTTCCTTTTTGGTGTTCATATATAGAAGCCTAAAATGAGGTAATCCGAAGAAGGAACGACTATGGGGCCTTAGGGTAGTACGATTTGCGTACGGACATGCACCCCACCGAGCAGCGCAAGTCCAACCCAAAAATCTGAGCGGAACTGCGTCGGCAAGGTGATGCGAACCTCAACAGACGCATGACAGTGTAGCAGGAGTGCAATCTCTAGTAACATAGTATCCTTATGGTAACCTTCGTAGAGCTATAGTAACCCTAAGCCCTAAGCCCCAAGCCCTAACCCCCCCCCGCCAATCTCTACATTCGCCAAATGGCTGAGCCCTGTAGGACGGAAAGATTTCGTGACCACACCAACGAGCTTCAAGGAGGTGAACAGCGCGGCCATGCCAGGGAATATCAGGGAAACTCGAATTGAAGGCAAAATCGTGCACGAGACTCTTGGTGAGAGTACGACATTTATTCCAAGACGCACGAAAGCCGCACAGGGAATAAAAGCTACAGCTGCACGAAAGCAATATGCGGCTTGAGTCCGCAATGCGCACGCCACAGGACCGACATGCACGGATCCGCGCATGCCTCGGGAAGAGATGAACCCAGGCCCCTTTCCTCGCCAACACAAGGATCCTGTGGATCCTATGGTACCACACTTTCTGGAGAATAAACCGTGTAAGTATTCCCAAAACCCAAAGTAGTTCTTGTTTGGGAATCATATTTAGAATCCTATAAGGTAAAATCCCAAAAAGGAACTACTATGGGGCCTATGGGTGCTCTCACAACACCCCTTTGACACAGGTACAAGACTTCTCAGAAGCCCCGGGGCCGAACCCGCGTAGAACCGCTTTATAATAGGGGACTTAGTAAGGATTCTTAAAGGGCTCCTTAAAGGGATCTATAGGGGTACTATAAGGGTTTAGGGTTTAGGGTCTACTTCTTAGGGGTACTTAGAAATACTTCTCAATTTTTGTGTTATTATAACCCCTAAGAAACAGCTAAAATTGTAATTGTTGCTAGGGTTCTAAGTTCAGTGTAGATACGGTTGATGATACAAATCTTTCGTGACCCATAATACGGCATATGCCGTAATTCCCATAGTTTAGGGTCCTTAAAGTAATGCAGGGTTTATATCATCAACCGTAGAACAACCCTTTACCTAAACCCCAAACCGTAAACACTAAACCCTATTCCCTCCTTAAAAGCCCTTGCAAGACCCTATTCTAATTATCAAGGCCCCTATACTATAGTACGGTCCCTGATAGGACCCTTTCAAGACCCTATTCTAATTGTTTAGGCGCCTATATTATAGTACCCTTATAGTAGCCCTTATAGACCGCAAGACCCGCGTGTCCTTGAGGCTCCCAAGCAGCTGCGCCTGCTGCTTCCGCTTCTGCTGCTCCCGTTGCATCTGGGGGCCTGGAGGCAAGAATCCCAAGTAGAGTACTATAGGGGCCTTAGTAAATAGAGTAGGGTTTCGGGACCCACTCTACTATCATTTTAACAACGAGCCACCACCATAGTATTGGTAATCATTATAGTACATATATCATATGGGTGGTCATCAAAAAACAGGGTCCCTTTTCGGCATGCCCCAACTATTAGGTGCCGTTGTTTATAGGGACCCAAAAAGGGACCATAATTTTGACAACCACCCATAAAGCTACGGTTTAGGGCTTAGGGTTTAGGTATCAAATCAGATCACCTTACCTACTAAGTCCGATAGCCTTCTGAGGGGGATTTCCGGGCTTAGGGCGGTTGGGAGCCTGGAGGCAAGGCTAAGGTTTAGGGGGTTTCTATGGGATATCCCCTATCCTCGTCTTTGCTTCTGCGCTGTTCTGGTGCCTGGAGGCAAGAGAGGGGCGAGAGTTGTTGGGAGATCGTGGTTGCAGGCTCTCCTTGTCATAGTTGGGTAGCATTTTAAGGGATCTTCAGGGTTCTTCTAAAGGGATCTACAATTACAAGTTTCCTTACTTAACAGGGATCTATAGGGTTGGGTGCAATTTTACATTTTTTATGGGTACTTAAAACTTAAACCCAATAAGGAATAAACATGTGCATTTTTAATCCTCTCCCAACCATGAACTAGAGTCTCGGGTTTCCGGGCTTAGGGCTGTTCATTGAGTGCTCAGGGTTGGAGGGTTGGGCTTCGGGTGGTTGAGTTCTTGGAGGATCAGGGGACTTAGTAAGTAAGGTTATAATAGGTTCCCGAACTGGGGGTATAAGTAGTCATAGCTATAGTTACCCTATTCGTAACCCTATTTACTGAGTCCCATGATCCTCCAAGTTTGAGAGGTCCTGGAAATCGATGTTTTGGCTGCTTTCGCTATGGTATGGAGTTTAGACTTCGGTTGAGGGTTAAGGCTTACCAATATTATTGTGGGAGTTCCTTACCATACTTGTAGTAGAATCGAGCTTGCGGCTCAGAATCGAAACGACAGCCCTACCTGCACGGTGGCGAAATCCATCCGGAAACATCGACACTATAGA